TCAACCATAGAAGTGGCAGTCGTTTCGGAAAGCTCTGATAAACCCCCTTTGTCATTTAGGTTTGAGAACGTGTTGGAAATGCACCAAATTAACTCCGGAACAGACTTTCTCTCAATTTTCAAAATCTTTTTGGTGCAAAATATGGCCAAAAGTATGTGGACGGAGTGCTTTTTCTTCATTTTGGCTAGACCTCTTAGTTCCAATGAAGGGAAATATTACAGCATACAGTGTCTTTTTTTTTTTTTTTTTTTTTTTTACCCTCTCACTTCAACGCTTCTTAATGGAAGTGTTTTTTTCCATTATGGTGGAAAAGGTTGACTAGTCTTCACAGGTCTGCACAGAGCTCTGCACTGACCTCAACCCCTTCCAACACCTTTGGGAGGAATTGAAACACAGACTGGGGGCAAATCCCTGCAACCAGGCTCGAAAATGTGGTGGAAAGCCTTTTCAGACCAGTGCAGGCTGTTACAGCACACTGCATATTATTAACATATTTTATGTATTGTACTGAATTTCATGACAAAAACAATCCTTTAAGACCCTATCTTGAAGTTGTATGATGTTGCTTCACTGTTTCAGGAGAGGCCTGAATGCATGAATGATCTAAACTGTGTTTTACAAACCCGCAGAGAGTCAAAACATTTTGCAACCATCTAAAATATTTTCCCTGGCTTCAGCCTTGAACATCTTTTAGATGCTCAGATGAAAAAAACAGGCAATTCTGTAAGTCTGCAGACATTCCCACGCAGTTTCCATCAGTTTCATGTCATGCAAATGAACCATGTCTGAAGACTAACTGTTTTAATAATGAGACTGAAAGTTGGGAACCAGGCTGTTTTTTCATTGATTGCATTCATCCCCAAGTGCAAAAAATAAGACTTTTTCACTCTTCACATTGCCTAGGGGAATGGATTTAAGAGCTGGAGAAAAAAAGAATGTAGCATGCTGGATACTGGAGACTGGACTTTCTTGTTTTTTTAAGAAGAGAGCGTTCTCATCCACATTTGTGACCCATCTGTCAGACCTGCACTCTCCCCCTCTGTCTTTGTCTCCCTTTCTGCCGTTGTCTTGTACATGGTCAGTCCTCTGCCTTTGGTTATCAACGTTTCAATGAGGTGCCATGAGCAGTCAGATCACATGGGGAGGTCAGGTCTCCCCTGATTATCTCCAGAAAGCCGCCTGCAAGTTTTCTTTCTTCGGGAAACACTGAGGATCTGAATCATCTCCAGCTGATTGTTGTTGTTTTAAATGTCCATTACTCATATGTTTGATTGGTTGTGTGTGTTGGTGCAGAAAACACATTAGAGATAAATAACTGAAAGTTGCCAGAATGTGTCATGGGCAATGTACGCAGAAGTTATTGTTATTGCGTGATCACACAGTTATGACATGTTCTCCTCAGTATGTGATTCACTGCCAGAGGGTTCAGCAAGGTTACACCCCTTATGGCCCTCCACCCTTGCCTCTGAGAACACCCCAGACCCCCGCCTCAGCCCAATAACCCTGAACAAGAAACTTAGAATAGCTATTATTGAAAATGTTCTTGATTTAAACCTGCTGGACCAGCTCTGTTCTCAGGGGAGGAAGGGACCTTTTAAACAGTTTATTTTTTGTCACTGTCGTATTTGCAACTGAGATTTCTCTGTGAAGGGAAACATGTTTATTTCTGTAGGGCAAACCTGTCTCAGATCCTGTGCTTTCACTCCATCTGCTGGGAGCATCAGTAACAGTTTATAATAATAATCACTTATAAGCAGTGGCAGACTCCGCCCATTTGAGGGGCAGGGGTAAAAAAAATAAAAAGGGCACAAGTGTGCAGAAAATTGGGATGCATTTAGTGAAATATCTTAGTCAGGGTTAGGATTAGTACCTAGAGGGCACTTGGTCATGTTTTATCTATCATAGGGGCATCCAAGTGGGCACTTTTGTTACACTTTTCAAACATGGGCGCATATAAATACATTCAACATATTTAATGTAACAATGAAATTGTGATACACAACAATACATTGGTAAAACTCATCTTATTATGAAATATTATTTCTTAATGCAAGTCTTCGTTAGTCAAGAGAAACAGGGCGAGCAAACATTCACATTTACATTACAGGCTCTGCCTTGTGATTGTACTTTGTACAACAAAGTTAATATAAAAAAGCATTAAGTTTGGTATTTGTAATATTCTGAATAACATAGAAAATAGTCTGATATATTATTATCCCTTTGAAATCTTCCTTTTGAATCCTTTGGTAACCCTCGAGCCAATTACTGGCCTTTGTGGCCTCATCATCTCGTTCAGAACATGTCACAGTCTGATGGCAGCAAAGTGTCGAAAGCAAACTGTCAACCGTGAGGTCTTCATGTGAATGCATTATATATAAAAAAAGACAAATGGCAAACCACACACACTTGTTACACAATAACAAGGTTACCATGCTGATCTTCAGCTGGTATATTGCTGACCATGTTTACCATCTTAGTTTAGTGTGTTAACATGTTACATGTTTTTAATTAGCTACTAAGGCTGTTGGAAAGAGGATTCAGTTAATGTAGAAACTAATTATACATTGATTATTTAAAAGATGTGTTAATGATTTTCTCTAATGTTTTATTAAGATTATATCAATAAAGACTTATTCATACTTAACAAATGCACATGGATGATTAGTTTAGAATTAACTGATTGTATGTTAATTGATTAACTTAAAAGTTAATGGTGTCCTAAAGGTTAGAGGAGGCTTGTGACCCTGATTCCTGGACTAGCAGGAGGAATATGGGTGGGTAAAGTAACCACTGAAGTGCCCACAAGCAGGACCCTTAACCCCCAACTGGTGGTGTGTATTTGTGTAACTGCGTTTTCTTAAAAAAATAAACCATTGCTCTGAGTTTAACTTCCCTATAAAGGTAAAAACGACAATAAAGTGTTACTTTGGTATTAACACCATCGTGCTGGAGAGCGCCACCTGTAGACAGGCTGTAAACACAGGATCTGGGCAGGTAAACATGGATTCTCATGAACACAATGAAACCTGCAGTGTGCGTTTGAATTGAGGGCACGGGTTTTCTGCGTGCTAAAAGATAGCTCTGTTATGGGCTGTGATGAAACATTAATGTGTGTTAATTCCAGTAATGGGTTTGGGCTGTGCTCACTGCGTGCAACAGAATACATACAGTAGGAGGCCTATACCTTCATCCAAGTATGCAGACAAGGCCACAAATTATTGATGTCTTCTCTGGAAATAGAACAGCAGTGTATTGGACTCAGAGCATGAAATATAGTGTGACACGAGTTAATGCCAGCAGCAGAGCGATAACGTTACCTCACATACACTCTGATGACCTATTTCTGCATGTTGCACTCTATGTTTTGGAGCTTTTTGATTGGCTTAGGATTTGAATTGTGTCACACACACCTCCACACTCACGCAAAGGTTTACAGCCTGTACTTTCCACAATCGGAAAGTGTGGGATCGAAGATGTGTGGCTGCAAAGATGGCAATAACAGATTGGATGCCATGGTTACTACTCCACACCATCACCATCCTCCGTCACATGTTGTTGTCACGGTAACGGCTGCTCCGGCGGAAGGGCGCACATGACTTAGGTGAGAATGCGTTACACGGGCTCAATAATGTGTAGACACAGTCCCTGTTGATCTGCTCCACCAGGCCTTGAGTGACACCGAAATGTGCCCGGATTATCGTGCCGGAAACGGTTTTAACCTGCATATGAAGATTAAACCACCTGTGTATTAGATAATGACAGACATTTACAACATTAATATTCAGTGACTATTGTGTTAATTAATGACAGGACTGGGGCAAAAACATACATCTACACATCATTCAAGAGATGAAAGACTTTGAAATTTGGCATATTTGTGGGTTTAATAATGTGTCACTTTCTTTAAACGTAAACTAACTCTGAACATTCAACTTGGGTCAGTTGAAGATTGTGAATATCTGGACAACTCAAGGAAATGGAGAGGTGGAGATTTCTCAATGACTCCTCTATCCAGCCTGAAGGAAAAATCCACCTGCTGCACAATAAAGATTATTGTTTCCCAGAATTGTTACTCCTTACTCATCTTGTAGGTTGTAGGGGTTCATTTATCTATATTCATCTTATTTTCAATTATTTCACAATTTCAAGTATGGATAGCAGTGTGTAGGCTTTTTTCTCCCAAATATTATTGCAACACATGCATCATGTACGACTGAACCAAGACATCCACAGGCCTTTTTCACTGCAGACATGTCATACAAGAAAAGAAACAGGGGTTGCTTATAACATTAACAAGTGTTACAGTGAGCTAAGATGCACTGAAATGGCCAATTTTATAATTATAATATATAGAAATGACTAACACACTGAATATGTAAATATTATAAAAAAATTAAGACATAAAATGTCATCAAAAGTTTATTTATTTTTTATATTTATTTTTATATTATTTATATATTTATATTTATTTAAGCTAAATGCACAGTAACCTAAAATAATTCCTGATGCTGATTATTTACATATTATTTTCTATTTTTTACTGGGACACAATGTCAAGTAAAGAACAGAGAAATATCACTTCCAGCTGCCATCTTTGATGATCAGGACTCATTACAGTTAAAATATGTTGGAGAAGAAACTGGCTGTTTTTAACACTGTGCTGCCAAACAAGCTGTGTTTTTGTTTTAAAGTTTGGTTTACATTTGTCTTTGAAGAAAACGATACGCTCACGTTAGCAGAGCTGGCTAAACATGATGACAGCCAAAGGTAAGTAATGTAAAAACCTTATTATCAACACTTTATTGTGTGTTTATGGTGAAAACAATGAATGGGCACACAGTACAGCTAACAGGATACTACTTATACCCCCACCTGTCCAGCTGTTACAGGTGTGTTAGTAATAAAGCAGCATCTCGTTCAGACCAGAAAGATAACACAGGCAGATAAACAGCGACACCTCCGGCAGACTGTGGGAATATAACCGCGGACGGTGCTGCGGTAGGCGGGCAGAGCAGAGCTGCTGATGATGGAGTAGGTGGGACGAGGCTGGGCTCCACTCGTGGCCGTAAGGACCTGTTTGTGTCTGCAGCACCAGCACCAGCAGCAGCAGCAGTGTTTGTAAAGGCGCTTTGTGCATCGCTAATCCGCTCTGATGTCACGGTGCAGAAGGAGGGGCTGAGCTCTCCGCGTTTAATCCCGAGCAAGTTGTCTGGAGGGACAAGCCGAGCCAAACCAAGCCGAGCTAAGCGAGCAGGCAACGGGAGCAGGGGCGATGTGTACTGCAGCAGCCGGACCCGGGCCTCTCCTCCTCTGACATGCAGGTAAATGAGTGAATGTCATGTCCGGCAGCCGGTGCCGGGAAGCCGGGTTTAGTGTGGGGCAGGAAGGCGGAGTGGGAATGTGTTCGGGTCTTTCTCGCTGATGGCGGATCCGACACCTGAGGAGATTTAATGTGGACCCTCCGGAGGGAACCAGGGAGGCATTTAGACAGGTGACAGTTTGCTGCACTTTATTCCCAAGTGGATGTCAGGCAATGGGGTACAGTGAAAGAGCAGGATGTACGTATCCAGAATAACACCGTGATCATTTATGAATTGTACCATATAAGCGCATTTTCAAAGAGATTGAGTGCAGGACTAATCACCAATTGATAATGAGTGGCAATCTCAAAAGGAAGGCTTTTAACATAATAAAACCGTTCAAGGCCAAGGGAGGGGATTTAAGAAGCCTTCAAAATAAAAGCACTTGCCAGTTTGGCACTTGTTCGTGGATTAGTCATGAATGTGTCTTCTCCCTGTGGAGCAATTTCGTAGACTACATGTAAACACAATGTTAGTAATATGACTATTGATGTATCCCAACATGGACCATATGTTTGCTGAGTGAGCGTGTCTGTCACTGTGTGGTGTGTGTGTGTACGTGTGAGAGAGGGAGAGAGGAGGGGAGAGGATGAATCATGCTCTCAAGAATAGAAAGATAAGGAGAATCGTTTCAAAGTGAGGACAGTTGCATCTAATGATTATTTTCATTATCAGCCAATCTGCCAGTCATTTTTTTGATGAATCATTTATCTTGAATGTCAGAAAAGAGAAATATATAGTCCACAATGGTGTCTTCAATTGACCAACAGTCCAAAACCCAAAGATCCATTTACTCTTAAACAGTTTGAAGAAAAACAGCAAATCCTCACAATTGAAAAGCTGGGGGAGGTAATCTTTGCCATTTTAGCTTTAGATATGTAAATCACTTATCAGATTTGTTGTTTAATTTTCTGCTGATTGACTTATCGAGTAATCAACCAGTGAACTGTTTCAGCAGGGTTTTGGGACATAGTTAGGCCTAATTTAAATAAAATGCAATATTAGGATCTGGGTTTAGGGAAAAGTTTAAACTCGGGATTAAATGTGTGATGTGTGGCAAGCATTTAAATGATTGGATGTACCTTTTTACTGTTGCCTTTTTCTGATCACTGCACCACCCAGTGTCTGTTAAATTTATTTAATATTTGTGAGTATGAAAATTATGGCTTAAAAAGGGAAGTTTGGGTTTTTAAAGTGGGGTTGTATGAGTTACTTATCCATAGCCAGTGTATTACACTGACAGAGACGCCATAGTCAGTGTGTAATACACTGGCTCTGGAGTGTATTACACTATTACACTACAGAAGATGGCAGTCGGCACGCTCCCAGTTTGGAGAAGCAGACAGGAGTACCAGCACAGAAATGAGCGATCAATTTAAGTGCACGCTATATTTAGAATATTTTCATTGCTTTACCTAGCTGACAGAGAGCCTCATACTGAAGCTGGTTATATTTCTCTCTCTAAAGCAGCCAGATTCCATTGACAAAAACAGCAACTTTACCTTGCAGAACACTGGGGCTGCTAGTCTACCACTGCCTCGATCTGAAACAACTCATCTCGGTTCAGATCCATACTAATGTGTTAAAACACCAAAGTTACACAATGACACAAACAAACTAACCAATCGAGGCAGCAGTGGACTCCCGTGTTCTGCAAGGTACAATGACTGTTTTTGTCAAAGGAGTCTGGTGGCTTTGAAGAGCATAGATCGATAAAACGTTTTTCTAAGCGTAATTGATTGCTGAGGGTGAGTGAAATGAAGGGTGAATGCCCTTGGTCATTAGAAATTGTGTAATCATTTTTGTGTAAATACCTTCTAGAAGCCCTTGTAGTCTACTCATCACCAAAATGTCATCGGGCATTTTATAGAATAAATGATTTATCTGTTAACAGGTACATCAATGATGGAAATAGTCATAATTCAACAGCCGCGATTCAGTCAAAAATGTTGTGTAATTTGCTATTCATCATCATTCAGCCCAAGCTTTAGGCATGTAGTGGAGGAAGTTAAAGACTAGTGAATTGATGTAATCAGTGAAGGTCCTTGCAAGTTCGTATAGCACACGTGTGTTGTTGTCAGTGTGTGCTTGTGTCCGTCAGCATAAGATCAGCAAGTTAATGGGCTAGTAAATCCCCCACCCTGCAGCTTTCACTGTGGCCTGACAGATGGAAGTGTAGTGCTCGGCTCACAGCTCTGCAGGCCTGTGTACGTTTCACTGCCGTGCTGCCAGGGCCATCTGTGACCCGGGCAACCCTTCCTCTCTGACCCCCCCCCACACACACACACACACACACACACTCTGAGTCACCCAGCCAGCACTGTCCAGTCCTAAAGTCCAGGCAGAGAGGGACATTAGCCACCCTAGGAGTCCGCCCTCACTCCTGCTGCGTCCCTTTATGTTCCCTCGCCAGCAGTTGTGGTTTGTGCTCAGATTACAGGATCAACATTAACCCTTGCCCTCCGTGTCTGTCCATGTGTTTGATTTTTAAGTCTAGAATGTGTATATGTGCACTGCCTCTTAATGTATTGTGAAACATGAATATGAATGTTGAACAGGAGCTGCTGTACTTCACAGTTGGGAGTGAGCTTATCATAAATTTACAAATCTTACGAGAAATCCACTCTCACGCATACGATGGATGAAATAACTTGTAAATGGACCTATTAAGATAAAAGCAATAATTAAGATTCAGAATAATCTGGCATACTTAAAGGTCCAGTGTGTAACATTTAGGAGGCTCTATTTGCAGAAATAAAATTGTATAATCACCTGAATATGAGAATGGTTGTTTTTGTTACCTTAGAATGAGCCGTCTATATCTACAGACGCTTTGGGTTGCCTTCCATGGAGTCCGCCATGTTTCTACAGTAGCCCAGAAAGGACAAACCAAACACTAGGTCTAGATACCTGTGTTTCGCGGCCACCGTAGCTCCTCCTTCGCGCTTGGTTGGGGATAGTGAAGTGATGGAGTTGCAAGCTGCAATTACACTGCTAGATGCCGCCTAATCCTACACACCGGTCCTTTAATCCAATTTTCTTAGTTGTCTTTTCAAGATTTCCTCACCAAAAAAAGAAGAAAACATCTTTAAGTAATATCGCTAAACAAATAAGTACATTTTCCTTTGCACTATTGTCTTATAAATGTGGGGAAACACCCTTTATGAGAAATATCTTTTTATGCCTGAAGTTGTATTAACGAACATATGCAGATTCCTCGAATGATTTAAGTAAGTTTTTCAAAAAATAACAAAAGACTCATGTCCTCAGTTTGATTTCCCTTTTTTGTTAGATTTTACATCTCATGCATACAGCCAGACATTTATATATTCTTCTGATCATTACGGTCAGATAAATAACTTATGAAAGCAGCCTCAGTGAAACATATGGAGTAGCAATAATGAGAAATGCTTTTAAGCATTCATGTAGGCATAAACAAGCTTCATCCTTCTTTTTTTTTCTTTAAATCAGACTGTATATTTTTCTATACTATACTTTTCTGGAACCAGTTTATTATTCCTTAAATTGTAGTAGGATTATATTGTGGTGTCCTTTCTCAGCTCATTGACCTCAGACACGTCGAAGCCTGCGATAAGAGATAACTAATGGATACTCTGATAGCCTTGTCATATTAAATAAATATCAAAACTGGGCTTCTCACTCACAGAGGGCATTTATTATTCAGATCGCTGCCCTATTCAGCTCTCTCTGTCGGGTCTTATCTGATACCAGAGAGATGTCCCTCCTTGTCCTCCTGCCCTGCCTCCTCCTCCTCCTCGTCCTCCTTTTCTATCTTCCCATCCTGTGCCATCTGCCAGCTGCTGGTGGACGGATGAATGTGGTGCAGATTAAAGTGCACTGCACACCCTGATGAATCCCAGAGGATTTAGGTTTCTGCTATTAGCAATATAGAGACAGGGAGTCCCCGGGCTGATACTGTAAACTGAAGGAAATGCAAAGTTGCAAATAATCTAAGTTAAAGTCAGTGGCATTGTTAATGTAGACTAAATGTGTGTATTTTACTGCTGCCAGAGAGATGGATATTTAAGATATTGATTGCAGTTATTCAGTCAGTCCATCCATTAGCTATACCCACTTATCCTTGAGGACAGCTGGAGCCAATCCTAGAGGCAAGAATTCAATGCCACTTTTGATACTGATTTGTATGGAAACATTTTAGTGTGTATTCAGGAAGTGTTGGTGTTCAATATCCAGTCCTAATAAGGTGTCTGTTTGACATGTGAGGCTAAACCTTTCCTTGGACCTCTTTTGTGTGTGTAATTTGACTTTTCATGTTTATATCCTGTCTCCGTCTATGAGCAGGATTTTCTTGAAGACAAGAGGAGCATGTTCTGAAAATTGGAGTCGGATCACGCCCCAGCCATGAGCCACAAGTATCAGGGAGAGGCATCCGGGGAAGCAGGCGAGGAGCACAAGGTGCCTCCGAGGAGCAGGCAGCCCAACGGGACGACACCCGGGGAGCCTCCAGTACGTCGATCCTGGAGGCCATGTCAGATGCTCAACCAGGATGGAGAACCGAATCCCCATCATCATCATCACCATCACCCTCCTCACCACCACCACCACCACCACCCACCCACCGGTCGCGGACCCCCTCGGCATCGCCGGCGGCCTCCGTCAGGGCAAGGACAGGGGCAGGGCCAAAGCCAGGCTCAGAGTCCTGGTCTGGTCCCTGCGGTGGCTCCTTCCAAGCCGGATGGAGAAGAGAGTCGAGACACTGAGCCTCGTCCCATCCAGCAACCCCGCCCTGCTGTGGCCCGTTACCGCCGTCATGGCGACCCTAACCCCAGGCTCAGAGGTCACAGACAGAGACAACCAATCGGAGAGATGAAGGACTCTGAGCCTGGTGCAGATGAGAGAAAGGGTCCGGCAGAAGTGCAGGTACAGCAACGCTTGTCAGATGATCCTGTAATGGACCAATCGCAGGACAGGGGACCTCCTCACCAAACCCCCGTTGCTGTTGTCACCCCCACCCACCTCTCACCTGGTCCTGCAACCCATAGCATGCAACAGCACCCTCGACACAGTCCTCCTGCTGAGGCGGAGGAAGATCTCCAGGAGTGTAAAGGGGAGTGTGAAGAGGAACCTGAGGAAGTTAAGAAGAAGGACGAAGAACAAGAACAGGCAGAGGATGATGGAGATTGCCATGACGACATGCAGACAGTGGATGACGAAGCTGAGGACCGTGTGGAGAGGGTGGAAGAGGATCAGGAAGAAGTGATGGATGACGTAGCGGAGGACATTGCAGCTCAGGGAAGTGAAATCACTGATCTCTGCTCCGACACGGAGAGCGCCGCCTCGCTCAGTATGGACGGACCTCTCCACAGCCCACCGCCCCTCCAGTCTCCAACTCCTCCTTCATCCCCAGACGTTCCACCCTTCCCCCAGCTTGACCACTTCAGTGAGGACACCAGTTTGAGCCCTCTGCCTGACACCGACCTACTACCTGAAGAAGAAGATGACGATGACGATGACGATTGCTCTGAATCGTGCTCGCTGTCTCACTTCACTTCCAGCTCAGAATCTTATCCAAAAACCTATGCAGACTTTTATTCAGAGTCCCACCAAAAATCCTACCCTGAGCCTGTTTACGAGTCGTACTCAGAGCCAAAATCCCATCCTAACTCTTTTCCTGAGCCCCTTAAGACCTCCTACCCCGAGTTACACAGAGAACCTCGCAGGCAATCTGGTTGGAGGACTGAGCCTAATGAGGCCCAGCAGGAGTCCCACCAAGAGCCCTTTAGCAGCCATAGACAGGAGAATGTACAAAAAGGGGCTCTGTCCTCCCCCACCAAGGGTTCCCATTATTCCACAAGGCAGGGTAGAGACCGCGGTTCCCATCACTCCCCTCTGGACCGCTCAGTTGGCTGCCGGCTGCACCACTACGACGGACAGTCCGACGGTGAGGGGGACAGCGCCGATCAAAGCCCCGTTCCCAAAAGTTGCAGGCAGGCACCTAGACAAGCAGAAACCCAGGCCAAGAGCCCTTCGTCTACGCAGAGCAGCTCAGGCGAGGCCCAGGAGGAGCGCAACACTGTGGCCCCCCCAGGGGAGGAAGGCTCCAGGGGCTCAGGAGACGCCATCAGCCTGGCCATTAAAGACATTAGGGAGGCAATTGAGGAGGTAAAGACTAAGACAGTGCGCTCCCCCTACACACCTGACAAGCCTGTGGAGCCGATTTGGGTGATGAGGCAGGAGGTCAGCCCCACAGAGGACGTTTACCCTCCGCAGACTACAGCTGACCATGTAAGTATGACTTCACTCATCATTAATGCTTACTGTTTTGTTTTTACTGAAAAATATATATCCCAAACTGTTTGATCTGATATTCATGTGTTGAGCTGGACGGACTCACTGAGAATGACTTGTCAGTCACAAGGTAACCACGCCCTAAAGCATACCCTGTTTTATCGTCTGTTTTACTCTAAATGGGACCATAATTTACTAAATGAACATCATAATATATGGAAGAAGACTTACAATAATATATAATAATATATAAGACTAATAAATCAAGTGAGAAGTAGAGTCATTTCTCCATAAGGCTCAATACTATCAGACTTTTAGTTTGCAGTTAATGGAGCTGTCCCCGCTGGCCTGTAAAGAGAACGCACGTTTACTTCACAGATCCAGAAGCTCTGTCCACAAATGAAATACTGTCAGTTGTCTAAATTAAAAAAAATACGCATACAAACAACTCTAAAGCTGTCTTTATTTGTTTGACACATGAACATGAACCAAAGCTATAAAATGACTTAGGTGGTTATATTTTAGAGGTATTTCTTTAAATGACTCCTGGTGCTATTTCTGTTTCTGTCCCAAAATGTTGAACTATACCTTTAAGGCTGTACTGATGATTGACATTGCCGATGTCTGCAGTGTTGCAATAATTAAATTAGATTTTATTACTTTCTGGACGCAAGCAGACTGAAGATTTACATCACTGGCTCTAATTTCATTTTCTGTTACTTGGACTAACGCCCAAATCCTAAATCATGTATTGTTGGAATAAGGTGATTTGCTATAGATGCACTGCAGTTTCAAAGGAGTGATTTTTTTTTTTTTTTGTATTATGATTTATTTTAAGAATTCTTTACATACTTAAAATAATACTACAATTATTATTTTTTTCTTTCTCTTTTTTCTCTCAGTTGTCTCCTCACTCCCCCTCGCAGTCAGTTTCTGAGTCTCCGTCCCGCTACGCTTCAGTTCCAGCTCGGGAACCGGTTAGTCCGCTGAGAGTTGAGTCAGCCAGAGCGTTTCCTCCTCAGCATTATCACCAACCGCAGCCCCAACACAACCATCACCACCACCAAGGCCACCATCCACAGCCGAGGGACAACACGAGGCCGCCTCAGACATACACAAAGCCACAACCGTATGCACACGTGCCGCCTAATCAGCATCAACAACGTCAACATCAGCAACAGATTCAACATCAACAACAGCATCAGCAGCCTCCAGCTCAGCAGCCTCGTCCACAAGTTCAGCCACTGACGCCTCCACAGCCGCCGTCTGTCCAGGAGGTCAGAGTTCACAAATAAACATCCATAAAATATAGAAAAAAAGCTGCTCCTTATAACTCCAGAACTTTCTAGAGAGTCATTTTTTTTTTTACGTTTTCTTTGGTATCCAAACAATCCAGTCACAGTTAAATTGATTATTTTGAATTTACATTTGAATTGTAAAATTGAGATGTAAACTAGCCCCAGTCCACTCAAGTCACTCATTTACACAAAACATGTAGAATAATTTTCCCATATGAGGAAGAAGGGGTCTCAGTAATAAGACAGATACGGTTTCACAATGCCAAAGATATGGTGTCTTTTGCAGTTTGGTTTTAAGTAAAAAAAATAAATCTGATGTGGTGTCAAACATTTTTTATTTTTATTTTTATGAATATTATATTGCCAAGTGACAGTCGTCTGCACATCCATGGCTACATTGCAAAGAGGAATCTCTAATAGCTTATTCGTCATACTTTTAATGTTGGCAATTAGTCAAAATAACTAAAAAAAACTGGTCTCAAGTATCAGACTGCAGCGTAACTCACTGAATCCATGGCAACATGGATGATAAAGGGAGCCTGGCATCTTTTACAAGGTTTATCTGCCAGCAGCTAAGTGGGTGACAGCAGTAAAAGTCTTGCAGAATTTAAATAAGGAGACCTGCAGTATGTGAATAGAAATAAGGATGTTGATGTAGTTTTTCCCTTTTGTGCCTTCTCAGATTCGCAGATCTCTTCCTCAGTTTCCAACATTTGTGGACGGTGAGTGGACTTACATATGAAAGTCATATCAAACTCAGTTCCATCTGCGTCCTGCTCATCTGTCTACATGAAGATAAATACTTGAACATATGACATTTTACAATCTGTTTAGTTTCCTTTATTTTATATTCAAGGCTGTGTTTTCATATTTAAATTTACTGATATTGTAGATGGTGGGTGTAATTTTACCAGATCATTGCCATATCTTCACTTTTAAATCTGTATGTAGTAAGTCTGTGCGCTTGCAGATGTATGCATGTGTGTTCATGTGCCTAATTAGCGCATTTGGTTCATGCAGTCCCGGGACCATGTGACCCTGAAGACCTTATTGATGGCATCATCTTTGCAGCCACCTACCTGGGCTGCACCCACCTGCTGTCAGAAAGGACACCCACAAAGAGCGCCCGAATGCAGCAGGCCCAGGAAGCCATGAACAGAGTACGAGTGAGTGTTGAGTTTATTCTTATAATAGAGGGTGTCTGAGATTACTCCCTTGTTCACATATTCCCTACATGATAAAAAAATATAGTGCAGTATATAATAGGAAGTGATTGGGTATTTTCAAGAGCTTGCCTCATTAGAAAATACCCTATTTTAGTTTTTAATTTGATAGGTACAATCGCTGCCTCTGTTGACTATATTTAACTAACTCTAATTCAAAGGTTAAATGTTGATCTGTATACCTATATATCTTAGCATAGAAATATAATTGAATATGTCTGAATTTCTTATGCCAGCCCCATAAATACTGGCTGAATGGTATAAATGTGTCTGAAATGATGCAATAGACATTAGAATATCCCCATAAGATGGGATAGCCATAAAAAAACATAAAATTTGATAAACTATATATTCATGGTTTACATTTTTAATAATAGTGCTTACAACAGTCATCAAATCCATACCTCCTTGGTTAGGAGATACATTATCTAACACACTTGGTCGTCTGTGATGTAACTGAGGTTTGCTTCATATCTGAGTCTTTTAAAGTCAGAAACCCTCAGCCGGCAATACAGCCAGCGGGCGAAAAGTCCCTGGGTTGTGCACAATGCATCATCCACAGATCACTGCTCCTGATCCACAGTCACACAGGCTCCTCTCCTCAGCTCCACTGGATGTTACATAAACTCTTGATCAAGGCTGCGAAGCCCCGGAGACTGTAAGCCCTGTTTTCTGCTCCAGTCGCGGTTCATGAAGTCAAACACTTGGATCGCAGTGACTGAACTAAATATAGCAGTATATGATTTCATGTGGGTTGTTTTTGCTGGATACATGAGAAGAAATATCCAGTCATAATAGTGGATACACCAAGAAACAGATCTGTGCTCCCTGTGTGAATGTAGCTGCAGTCACTTGAGGGCAGGTGGTGTCAGGCAGTGAGTGGGAAAGATGGCTTCCAGTGACAGCGTGGCATTCAAACATAGAACTGTGGGAGAGATGAGCAGTAAGACGTTGCCATTTCGGAGATCGAGCGAAGAAAGTCAGAGGCGGGAAGAGGACTCTGCTCACTGGATGGTTGACTGACAGTTCCAGGACATCGCCTCCGTTAAGGTCTGAGAAACCTACAGGGAGGGAGAAGGTTAGAGACTGTATAATGATGAGGGAGATACATAAGTCATTTTACATTTTCAGAATGGAAAAGACAGAGTGGAGGCTCGCTGTCTGACAGGCTAAGTGAGCTGGCATCTCACTTGTAGGGATGTACTGATCCGACTCAAGGTAGTGGCTGCTACAGAGGAATAAAATCTGTAATCCTCCATTCTTTTTTAAGTTAAATTAACAGGTCGCTGTAACTACTCAGCCGTTCTTAACTAGTGGAGACATTCATTCACCAACATCCTTTTTAGGCTTGTGCCAATTTTAATTATATTATTTAGAAGGTTGATGAAATTTTGTCATTACAAAGCATCAACCTCATTCAGCTTGTCAAGATATAACACACACAGTTACTGGTGTTATGTACAGACAGACCTGACAAACAGCACAGAGTCTGTTCTCTTACAAAGCAAAACCAACCTGCTAAAAAAACGTTTTGTGGTGTAATAACTTTGTTTTTTGTTGTTGTTGTTGTTTAGAACTAAAGTGAACTTTTTCAACATTTCAGGCTTCAGCAGTACCGCTTCCGTAATAGTACAGTCCTTTTATTGTGAAGTATGTGAAGCAGGAAGTGACAATGATGAAGTATCAGCAGTGGTTTTATGCATCAGTGTGAGCTCACCTCAGCAAATGAAAAAAAGAACAGACCAGAAAACTATATCTAATGTTTATCCATCACATCTGGCTGATGAGTTTAATAGTGTCGGTATCGGGGTCAATACCAATCTGATGGAATAGATTCAGGAGTATACTTTGTTGTATTTTATCAGATTAATAATTGATCTAATGTATTTAGTGCATGTGAGTATTTCTAATACAGAATACATATAAAACATAATATGATCATTTTACTTGCTTATGTAGTGTTTTTTTTTCCAACAGTATAACATAATAGTAAATAATAACAATAATACTAACTACTAACAACATAGTAATAAAGGCCAGATAAACACAAATATTCTTGAGATTCATAAATATGAGAGTCCTCGTCCTCGTAGGACTCATATAGGCATGTACATTTTAATAAAATATATCTTGGATGTCCAAATACTGCAGAAGCTGATGCTCACAAACTGACAAAGATGCAGACATAAAACCGCAATATAATGGAAAATACTGAATACAATAGGTAAAAAACAAATTACATAAAAATCTGTGTGTAAAAATATCTTTCCTGAAGGAGGACACTGAGCTCTGCAGCTTCAGCCTCACAAGCGGGACAGTCCAGGACGGCATAGAAAGACGGACGCTGATTATTATACGAGATGTCTGCCAAATATAAAATGAAATGAAATACTGGAGGTGACATGACAGCTCTTAACAGAGTGATATACGGTGACGTCCACCACAGGTCAGGAGTCAGACTCGAGCTTGTGATGATGATGACGTATAGCCTAAAGAGTCTGCGAGCGGCGAGGTTGAATTGAGAAGATCTGACATGTTTGCTCCGGGACAGAATCCACAAAATAACATTCTCCTGGCCACAGTAAATAAATACTAATAAGCACTGTTGACATAAATTCACTGCATTAATCATCCCATATCACCATAAGCTCCAGTTCACATTAATAGAGGTTTAACGGTACAATCTCTACGCATCTAAACAGCTAATTGTTATTGTTTCTGGGTGAAGCTGGCATCGACAAACCTGTTTATTTTTTCTTCTTATATTTAGGGCTGAATGATTTGTGGAAAATATCCAAATGCAATTATTCCTATTAAATTGTGATTATTCCCTAACTTGAGGCCGGTGTGTTGGTCTACAATAGTGTTAAACAAGTTTGTATCAGTTATATCCACAGACTCATCTCATTGCAGTTTAACTAGAAGATTCTATTGCTGTTCACTACCCGCCTGCTGTCCATCATTAACACTCGACAACTACAGAGCTAGCTGCTGACTGTCTGTGTGAAAATAACAATTAGTGAGGTCATTTATTTAGGAAAAGACTCACCACCCTGCTGAACTGTAGGAAGACACAGTCCGCTCTTACCTGTTCAGACATCAACATGAAGTCAGAAGTGATGCTTCTGTCTTAAAGAAACTATCTTTGGCTGAGCATAAATACTCATTTTTATTATTATTTTGTCCGTTTAAAACCCCACAGATAATCAGAAAATGAAGATTTTGCTTGAAAAATTACTTTGACGAATAATCAATTATCAAAATAGTTATGGATTTTTCTGTTCATCAACAAATTCATTAGTCAACTAGTTGTAATATTATTAGTAAGTCTGCTGTAGAAAGGGCATTACTACACCTACCAACTACACAGATACAGTTGAGAGAGCAAAACGGCAGCACAAGCCCAACATTTGGAAACACAGACCCAGAGCTGTGATGAGGCGTCTGCCAGAAACACATGAGGTCGCTTGTCTTTCTTCGGGGTCGTTTGTGTCACATTGATGAAGAGGAAACTTTTGATAATGTTTGCTGCAAAGGCCTCTGGCAGCCTGCTGTTGTCAGATGTGATAGACAGTAACATCACTGTCCTCCCCCACACACACACACACACACATACAGACACAGACACAGACACACACACCTTTAAGGTCCTTTTGTCCCCTAATTTGGCATTTGGAATAAAGACAGTCTACAGTGAATGAGGCGATCACCCCCCCCGAGAAGGTATTTTCTTGTACTGTTGTCTTTCTTTGTCTCTTTCTCAGTCTCTATTCTGCTTTCTGATCACTACAGGCTGCTCAGAAGCAGGCGAAAAACAGGAAAAAGGTACGTTTGTTTTGTGATTGAACAAGTCTCATGTTAAAAATGACTGTGTACAGATATTTGAGCTCAGATGCTAATGTTAGCTCCATCAGGATCGTTATTTTGTGTCGCATGCAGATTGCACGAGACATCTGTGTTTCGCTTTCATTAAAATGTTATTTGCGGTCGTTCGATTTGATGGCTCTTGACAGTCGTGACGCCAGCATTGCTCTCCTTCGCTGCTGTCCGTCAACCTGTTGCTTCTTCTGTTCACTTCTTTTCTTGTTTTCTCTCCGGCCGTGCAGAGCCCCGACGGGGAGGCTCCGTCCACTGCTGAGGTTGATCTGTTCATGTCCACACAGAGGATCAAAGTCCTCAATGCAGACACTCAGGTATCACAATGATAATATGCATACCTTACTGATCAGTAAATAACTTAAATCCTTCAGTACTGGACGGAGAATGTCTTTACACAAAGAGAGATGACAGGTTAGATTTCTTCACCAAACCTCAGTAAAAAATGTCTCTATTTAGCAGATTTAATGTCATAGCAGTGACCCACAGCAAAATCTGATTTAATCAAGAGTAACTCCTGTCGTGTTTGGATCACCAGGAGTCTTTAATGGACCTGCCACTGAGGACGATCTCCTACATCGCTGACATCGGTAACATGGTGGTGCTGATGGCCCGGGGGAAGATGGTGCGTTCCCGCAGCGCACAGGAAAACCTGGACCACACAGCTGAGCAGACCACCATGACCCACGACGACAGGCGACTGTACAGGATGATCTGCCACGTCTTCGAGTCCGAGGATGTGAGTTATTGATTATTAATATGTTTTATTTTTATCTATTAGCCTATAAATCATACTGCTGGGAAGCTTGTGTTTGCGTTTACTGCTCGCCACTGCCTTTGCAGTAACTGGAACAAGGAAAGCTAACCGAAACCACCCTTGCTGACTATGACATTATTGAAAGCAACACTCATTAAGTTGGAAGTGAGCACTTGTTGTCTTGCTGGGAGCTGGAGCTGAGTGTTCAGTACAGAGGTCGGTCCAGGACAAGTTCAAACTAGCTTTGCACAAACGCTGAAAGCAGGGGAAATACACCTCCCACCACTCATAGCTAGTTAACTAGTCACCTACACATCCAAGAATCCCTTATATCACATGGATATTGTTTAGAATTAGAGGGAAGTGAGTGAAAAGTGAAGATACAGGCTATCACTGAGCACAGCTGTTATTGGTTCGTAAAAAAATGAAGTCATAAAAGTCACCATTTTAAATTTTAACATGTTGAAATTTAAGAACTTGTAAATGTGACAGCTTTGGAGTTGTGAGAAGGCATCTTTGACCTTCAGTTATGTTTCCACCCACTTCCAGTGTTTGTGCTGAGCTAGGCTAAACATTTCTGTTAAGTGCTGAAAAGAAAGCAAACAAGTGTATTTCCCAAATTATCCCCCAATATCTGCCACTAAGATGTGCATTAGAAACTGGGAAATGTACTACTGACTCTGTTCTCAGAGAGAATTTGAGACTTTTTTTAGTAGATTTCAATACAGTGTACCTGGAGCAGCATGTGGCCATTAGAAGAACTGCAGTTTAAAGGATAATTCTGGTGTGGATATATGTCTTATTGTTGTAGGTTTGTTATCGTTCCTATCGGTAATAATAACCCAGTTCGTTGCTGAGATCTGGGAACACGGCCCATTGCCAAAAGAAAATTTGGACATCATTTTATGGTGCGAGGAAAACTGTGGCAAAATTGGTGCCACGAAAGCAAGCAAAGTGTGAATTTCCCCTTGGGGATGAATAAAGTATCTATCTATCTATCTATCTATCTAAGTGTTAAAAGAAGTCAATACTAAACCTACAGGTACAGACAGACAGAATTTAGTTTAGCAAGAAGCTGATTGATAACATGTTTTCACAGCCTTTAAGATTGATTTTAAATTTAAGGTTAGGATTAAGTTACAGTAAGGTAAGTTGAGTACAAGTAAGCAATGCATCAAGTCTGTAAGGGTCCTCACAAGTATTGTACTAGTGTGTGTGTGTGTGTGTGTGTGTGTGTATGTGTATGTGTGTGTGTGTGTGTGTCTTAGCGGGATGTAAACAAGACTTTTAAACATGAGGTCTGTGCAGACAAAATTTGCCAAAGGGACTATAAAAGTTCCCGTCATTCACAAGCCCTGTTTTTTTCTCTCTCTCTCTCTCTCTCTCTCTCTCTCTCTCAGGCCCAGTTGATCGCTCAGTCTATCGGTCAGTCGTTCAGCGTCGCCTACCAGGAGTTTCTCAGGGCCAACGGCATCGACCCCGAGGACCTGAGCCAGCGGGAGTACAGCGACCTGCTCAACACTCAGGACATGTACAACGACGACCTCATCCACTTCTCCAAGTCAGAGAACTGCAGAGACGTAAGTGAGCCAGCAGGTGGCAGCACAGTCACAGGAGTTTTCTCATTCACCTCTTGTGCTTGAATCTATTTTTACCCTCAAAGAAATCAACTTCTGCTGGAATTTATATATATTTATATATTCCACTTTGATTGACCTTTATGGGTTGAAGGAATTTTGCAACTTTGGTAGAACAGCACAGCCCTTCAGTTCAGTTCAGGTCATATTAATGTTTGAACACAAATGAGCCAGTGAAATTATTTTTCTGCTCAGCCTGCTCTGTTAGTTTGCCTTCCGGTGGTTCAAATGAGCAGCTGGTTTCAGGGTCACAGCTGTGTGACAGTTTTCCTGAAAAATGTCATGCAGTTAAGGAAAAAAAAAGTTACTAACCCCAGCATGAAGGTGAATTTGAGACGCTCAACCTGGTCTGACCGCAGACCCTCCTCCCGCTGCTCCGAACGCCTGCTGTCATCTCGCATTTTTCAGAATCGTGCAGTTGGCCGCGAGAATCTCAAAGTGGGAGCAACGTCACTCGTTCATGTCGTTCGGATGACTGCATCATTTCACTGGGAGAGGTTTAAAGAGTTCAAATTGATACAGTCTGTTAAAAAAAGTTAAAAATGAAGACTGTTGTGGAGACGCTTGGAGAGCTCATCCTGTCTTTGAAAAGCTGTGCAAATATGAGCTCTGCATGTTTCCTCGCAGGTTTACATCGAGAAGCAGAAGGGCGAGATCCTGGGGGTGGTGATAGTGGAGTCGGGCTGGGGCTCCATCCTCCCCACCGTCATCATCGCCAGCATGATGCACGCTGGTCCGGCCGAGAAGTCTGGTCGACTCAACATCGGAGACCAGATCATGACCATAAACGGGACGAGTCTGGTGGGTTTACCGCTCAGCACCTGCCAGAGCATCATCAAGGTACGCTGCTGCCCTCACCTCAGTTTAGACCTTACAAAATGTTTAAAAATGAACTTTAATGTGAAAAACCTCTGTTGAAGGTGGTTAAATGTCTCCTGTTGCTAACCAGACTCTTGTCTTCCCTCAGGGTCTCAAGTCTCAGTCCAGAATCAAGATGAACATCGTCAGGTGTCCTCCAGTCACCATGGTGCTCATCCGCAGGCCAGACCTCAGATACCAGCTGGGCTTCAGTGTGCAGAACGGCATCGTGAGTATGGGGACTGACACACACACACACCCACACACACACACAGAGGATGTGGCTGAACTGTGTTGCTATCCTCTTTTTATATGACTGAAGAAGAGCTTTTATTTTGTTAACAGTGGCAGTTTCTTAGCAACAGACATGGAGCAGGGATTGTTAGGACAGTGTCCAAGGACACATTTACAGTTTTTACATGTTTAGTCTCAGAGTCACTGGTAGCTGCTACCGCTGTCTTTACTGTGTGTTTGAGTTGTGTGTGTGTGTGTGTGTAGATCTGCAGCCTGATGAGAGGAGGAATCGCTGAGAGAGGAGGCGTCCGCGTCGGCCACCGCATCATCGAGATCAACAGCCAGAGTGTCGTGGCGACGCCTCACGAGAAGATCGTTCAGATTCTGTCTAATGCCATGGGAGAGGTAGGAGGAGCTCTGCAGGGAAATCAAAAACTCAAATATTTGTTGTTTGTCTGCAGGAAAGTAAATTCTACTTTTACTTTTTTCAATATATTGTCGGTAAAACCCTGCACAAATTCCTCCCTTTCCTGATGAGCTTTTAGTTTTATTGACAATGTTTGATAGAGATTGAAAGAACAGCAAAGTTCAAACAAAAACGCCTGAAAACAGTATTTCTTTAAAAAAAAGCCTTTTACAGTAAAGTTAATTCTCCCTAGTGACCAGCTTTTATTTGTTTGTGCTGGCTCCAGACCTGGTTTTTGACGTTACTTTAATACCGTATTTAATATTAAAAATTGTTATACAAAAAAACGTAAGGAGCAGATTAAGGAGCCCTTTGGATTTCATGACATTACATTTTAAGCTTGAGCATGTGAAATGTTCTAAAAATAACTAACTCATCAGTATAATGTTTGCTTGTTTTCTTTCTGCTCCAGATCCACATGAAGACGATGCCTGCAGCCATGTACCGTCTGCTGACAGCACAGGAGCAACCTGTCTACATCTGAACACATTCACAGTGTTACTCAGTCTATCTTTACTACTGTCATCCATCCTTTCAGTTGTTTTAACCACCTTTCTCCTCTCTCTATCCCATTTGATATCACTTGACTTGCCTTAATCTGTACAGTACACTGTCATGTAAACATGTACATCTACAGTATGACAGCAGAAGACAGATTATCTCACTAGGCCGAGTGTTAATGTGATGTGTTATGTTCGACCAAAGAGAAATCGTGGATCTTATTGTGCGTATTTAGGTGGCAAGCAGAGTAAATATTACCTTTGGTTAAATAGCTGTAAAATCTGAATGTACTCTAATCATGTTGGACCTATACATTGTCAGGGCGGAGGTCAGGTTAAAGGGGAATGCATGTACAACTCTGCTGAATAAACTCTAAAGAAAAGACCGTAAGTTCTGGTTTGTTTTACTCAACAGGATATGAACTGTAGGCAGTTGGCTGTTAACTCAGAAAATAAGTTAAGCTTCATTTCAAGAGCGACAACAAATTACTGCAGCGGTATGCACGCGATTAGCTTCCTCAAAGCTTTTCAGAATCTAAAAGAAGAAACCCTCTCTCATTTTACCGTCCACTTGAACTCAAGTGTTTGATGTAGTGCCATCAGAAGCTGCTGTCCCTTTTTAATAGCACGACTTCTGAAAGGACAGTGGCCTCACAAAATGTTTGATGTGTGATAATCAAAACCAACCACCACTAGCTGGGCCTGCAGCCTCCCCCCTCCCCCCTCCCCGCACTAATGCAGTGTTTTGATTTAAAAAAAAGGAAATAAGGTTGTATCAGAACAAACTGGCATATAACAACTCCACCGGAGCAATGCTTAACCACATCCAGCACAGGCAGGTGGACGTTAACCTGTAAAGAGAGCAGGCTGCTGGTGCTAGTGCCAGAATGTAGGAAGGGTTTCAACTTCTCTCTCAAGCTGACCCTGACTGCCTGCCTGAGAGCGTGCACCGCACTTCTGCCTTTAGAAGTGGTCGGGTGATGTCGTTTGAGGCATACTACGGCCTTTAATCCCTCCAAACTGCTCAAAGACAAAAAGGGGAGACTCACTTCCAAGAAGACACGCTGTAAAAAGAAACAATGTAAAAAAGCGAAATTTATTTATTGAATTTTAGTTTGTTTTTTTTTTTTACACGAAGGAGATCACAAACTAAAAAAAAGAAATCACAAACTAACATTTAAAAGAAACTGAACACGTTCCCGTGTACAAAGACTTGACAGAGCTCAGTGTATATTCAGTATAAAAACATAGAAGCAATAACAATGTGATTGTCTAAAGACAAACATACAGACTGTCAGAAACATCGAGTTTATGCTGCACTCCATCATCTGAGCGTCCCCTCCCATACATTTTAACAGTGAAATCTGTGACATCATTTGTCGGCTCCGTCTGTTCCAGCTGACTCAAATACACCTGCAGCCTCCCTCATTTATAGCAGTGCATTGTAGACAGGATGCATTGTAATCATGACTTCCATATGTTGTATTTTTAACCAATTAGTACGAGATACAGATGTTATAATCACTATACAGATGTTGCATTTATGAGATCCTTCTATCTCGTAATTACAGCGTAGCATCTCTATAATCTCTCTTTGGTATAGTTAATGTGTTTCTGTCCTGATTACTTCTACAACCTGTATGTGGTCAGCGTTCAGTGTATTGGTCACAATGTAGTGAAAATATCTATTTGAACTCTGTTTGGTCCGTTTCAGCAGGCGGTGTCAGTGTCAGGTTGTTTGGTCCATTTCAGAACCTCGTGCTGTCTCTGGATAGTTCTTTTTTTCCGTGCCAACATCAGACTTACAAGGCACTTTAAAATATGCAGCTTCCCAGAATGCACACATGTTACAGTGTAGTGTATATACAAATGTCCAATCAGGAACGTAGAGGTGTACAATAAGTCAGAGAAGACTTGGCAGGACAGTGATAAGAAACAAAGACTAACAGCTATTTGACATCAGAGCAGCTGAACCCATACTGACAGTTTGATCTTCACACTATTCTTGTATGAACGTGCCTGAAACAAGTTAGTTAACAACGCGCTGGGGTGGGGGTGGGGGGGGTTAGTGGCACACAAACCCACTCACTAATAGGACGTCAAACCAAACAGTCTAGATACTTATACAGTCTACAGTGATACATCTGTGGTTTGGTTGCAGCACGGTGTTAGTTAGCTTCAGAGGTAAGCGCCTATATTTCTGAAAAATATAAACTGCCTATCTTTAATAAACTCAAAAGGTCGTCTAACAACACTTACAGATGTTCTAAAGGTGTTTCCAGAACATACAAAGAGCCTGGATAAAAAAAACATTTCATCTGCTGCATGATAACAATTTCTATCCTAATTAAAACCAAGATAGCTGGTCATATTTACATGTTATAAGTTTAAAATCTATATGGTTGTTGTTAGAAGGGCCTGTGGATTCTGGAAATGCATTCAAAACGTGTACTTCTATAACCTGCTTTTCAAAATATTTATCTTTCAGGAATACATGCTTATCTCTGGGACTGCAGTGGCAGTCGACGAGAGCAGAACTGTGGCTAGGTGTTTAACAGGGAAAAATAAAAACCTCTTCAGAGACATAAAAAAGAATATATACACTGAAATATCAGGTCTGTGAAAAGGTACGTCACAAAAACCTGCCATATTTTGTTTAGGAGCCGCGTAGTGGTAAACGACAATATTGTGTGTCGCCTGCATCAATGTACAACGTGTACCGCAGTGAGACAACAGGACTCTGACTACCAGCAAAATTCTGAGAGTTTACATCAAGGTAAAGCTGCACCAGCTGTTACCAAGGCAACAAACGTTGTCTGTTCGTAGTGATGACGTGGGAGGAATCCAGCTCGTGACTTCCTGGTTTCCCAGCTTACAGTTCGGTGTCTTTGTATTTCTGAGCATTGTAGTACCCTTTCTTGGTCTGGTCAGCCAGCTGTCTGCGGTACTCGGCCTCGTCGTCCTCGTGCCCTCTGCTCTCCGAGTACGGTGGCCTGAAGGGAGTCTGCTGCTCGGGATTGGAGCTGGAACTGATCACACAGACAGACAGACAGACGATACAGCAGTTCAGCTTATTTCCCTTCATGAGACTGAAGCCATATAACCTGGAACATCTACAGAAACAGAAATTTGTATTGTGTTACAAAGGAGAGAGGTGCTCTCACCCAATTGGCTGGGGACGGTTGAGGTTGGGTTTTGGCAGTTTTATTGGGACGGCGTAGATGTCTGGATGCTTCTGGGCAATTTCCAACTGTGTAGAGAGCAGACCCAGATATGTCAGAACTAATACAAAATACAAAACATGACATCCTAACTCTACATGGATTGACTGATTTTTGTGTTTCAACTCCCAACCACTGGATGGATAGCAGTGTTAGAAAGGCAAACTGAGGACACTTAAAGCTACATTCACGCTGCAAGCCCTTAGCGCTCAATTCAGTCTTCACATTACTGGTTCAATGTGGCCCATATCAGAAGTTAGTGTGAACAGGTCATGGTCCTCAAGTGAATGAATTCTGATGACTGTTAGACGACTGATGAACTTAGACCTTTAGACCAAATATGAGAGAGACCAAACGTCTGTATCATACTACAACAACAACAACAACAACAACAACAACAACAACAACAACAACCAGTGGCAGATTAAACATGAGGGGGAAACAGAGGAGACAGCGTTCCTCATCAATCCGTTTGCTAACGTTAGCAGTGTTAGATGAGAAGGTAGACCAGCCACAGTTTTTAATTTACAAGCCAAATGATTGAATTACTGGCTGACCTCTACAGTGGGTGTGGGTGGGGGTTCATTCTGGACACTGTTGTTACATCAGATTTCTTTTTTTGAGAGTACTCAAACATGGAAATGACTTAAAGTGCCCATCGCTGCTACTAATCTCTACGGTCGACAGGAGCGATCGGGGCAGAGAACTGTGTTCGCTGCTTCAGGCCCTAATGACAATAACAATAATAACAACAATAACAGTTACTGACTCGAGCACTTTCGGCCTCTTGCAGCTCCAGCATCCTCTGAGCTCTGGCCAGGTGGTCCATCTTCTCAAAAGCTTTAATCTAGGAGGAAATAAATACATGTTCATTCAGAGTCCAGTTTTGATGATTAGTAGGTGCTGCACATCCACAAGGCATGATTCAAAGTGAGTGTGAAATGAAACCTTTGAGTGGGATAATTCCATTAAATGAAGACGGAGGAACACTATTATGATGGATGAGGAGTAATTATGGATTTATAAGGAGGGCAAGACAATGCAGACACATTCAGTTACCTGGTCACCCATTTGCTATTTCATATTAGAAGCAATGAAAGCAAAGGAGGAAGAAAGTGGAATAAAAGTTATTTAATAACTGATTCAAAGCTTCCGTCTTAAACATGAGGGAAAAAATGTCTTAATGCACGGTGAGCCAGAAACATTTCTTAAGGGGAAAAGTAAGATTTGATAGGTCAGAATAGAAACTACTTTGTTAGTCTAAAAATACAACAAACAAAGAAATAATGATACTAACCTTGCCCAGGAAGGATTTGTTTGCGGGGTCCTCCTCCCTCCCCGGGCTCAGCTCCTCCATTGGCTGGTTCAGACGGGCGACGTTGGGCTTCAGGGCCACGGGTGGGGGGAGCGGCTTGTTTCCGGCCGCAGCGTCACTGCTGATGGTGCTGCTGGAGTGTGAGTCAAAGCTCCGCGATGAGTCAGTCCGAGTCTGAGTCCGCACCTGTCACAGGAGAGGACTGTTCAGGATATTATAGGACGGTTACGGTGAGGTTGGTCTGCTTCAGCATTGTGTCCTTCAAATTAAAACGCCTGTTCAGACCTGTGAGCTGCTACCCATATAATAATACCTCTAATAATTTAACTCTGTGTGGAATTTATGTATATTGCAGTTTAAGTTCTTAAAGTCTGGAAAGAAAGAAAACGTAGTAATGGAACTAATATTAAATATAACTCCTCAGCGCAGGAAAGTGTAGGTAGAGGGATGTTATCATTTAAGAGTTTTTGGGGAAGGAGGAGGGGGTGGTGGATCTCACCTTTGGGGGTTCAGGGACAAAAGAAGGGGGAGGGCTGGGCTCTCTGTTCAGCACCTCTCTGCTCCCTGACCTCCTCATACGAGCACGGGGTTCAGGGTGAGACTTCTACACACACACACACACACACACACACACACACACACACACACACACACACACACACACACACACACACACACGGGTTGTAAGGGTCACATTATGCAAACACACAAACCTTAAAACTAGCAATGAATGAACGATGACGAGGATTTAAAGGTGTGTGTGTATATATATATATATATATATATTAAATATATATAAATATATATATATTTATATATATATATATATATATATTAAATATATATAAATATATATATATTTATATATATATATATTTATAAATATATATATATATATATATTAAATATAAATATATATATATATAAATATATATATATTTATATATATATATATATATTAAATATATATAAATATATATATATTTATATATATATATATTTATAAATATATATATATATATATTAAATATATATAAATATATATATATTTATATATATATATATTTATATATATTTAATATATATATATATACAAAATATATATAAATAATATATATATATATATATAAATATATATAAATATATATACAAAATATATATATATATAAAATATATATTTAATATATATATTTTATATATATATATATAAAATATATATTTAATATATATATTTTATATATATATATATTAAATATATATATTAAATATATATATATATATATATTAAATATATATATATATATATATATATATATTTAATATATATATATATATATATATTTAAAAAAAAAATATATATATATATATATATATATATGTATGTATGGTGTGTATAAACACTGCACAGTATTTCAGGCGGTATCAGCGGACACGCCCACCTCATCTGGCAGCACCGGCTCTGAGGATCGACTGATGGCCGACACCGGCTGGGGCTCGTCCAGTGTCTCGTCCAGCTCGTTGTCGGTGTAAGCCCCGCCCTCATCCGCCGTGTCTTCGTAGTCGCTGGTCAGACGGCTGTCCATGCTCAGGTAGTCTGCGCTCATCGCCGAGATGTAGGACATGCGGTCGTCGTGGAGATCCAGGTCCTCCTCTGAGCCGTCCAACTGGGGAGAGGAAGTGAGGATACGGAGTCAGCGCTGGATGTGTTCTCACTCACACGACTCGGTTTGAGTCACATACTTATCAGAGCAGAATCGTATTATCAACGCAGTCATCAGCAGCAGCGTGTCATTCACACAGATTATAGGACTCACCTTGCCCTCACACACCCACACAGCTCTGTCCTGCTGCTCCTGAATGGAATCCTTCACGCTGCCATACCACGCGTCATTGGCCGAGTTCAGGTCGATGGTCGCTAAACGTGCACGAAAACAAGAATGACCAGCAATGAGTAAATTTATCAGTGTGAATTTTAAAGGACCAGTGTGTAGGATTTAGTGGCATGTAGCGGTGAAGTTGCAGATTTTTACTAACTGAACACTGAACAACTGTAGCAGAAACCCACCAGTGAAAAGGTGTGAGCAGGTCTTCCTCAGCTTGACGGCCTGCTCATACAGTTTGCGAGCGCTGCGGCTGGATCCGTTCATGAGGCGGTTCCTCATAGTCTTGACTCCTTGCTTGCTGTCTGGGTTCAGGAAGATGACGATGGGATACCACTGGGTGTAGTTCAGAGTGTCCACAGCTTTGGGAGTCACATCCAACAGAGCGTGACGGTCCTGAGGGAACCGGGGAGTGGTTGAGTGTCAGATGATGTAACAGTATTTTTATGAAGCTGCATGTTTTGCTGGTATACCTTACCTGCTCAATGATTTGTCTGATGGTGTTTAGTCTCACCACTCCAGAGGATTTCTCACTTCCTGCATCCTTGGGCTCCGTTTCTGAGGGAAGTGAAATTATTCACAATGCAGGATGAGGCACATGAGCATCTGTCAGCCTAAAATACTGATTAATATTCACTATGTTCACTATACATTATACAACACTGTGAAACAGAGTGTGCTCCAGTACAATTTAAAGCACTTACTGGCGATGACAAACTCGTTTGGCATGTCATTGGCCAGTTTTTCATTCACTGCGTCGGAGATGGGCCCAAATATCACCACAGGTCTCCTGAAACCAGCTGAAAGAAATAATAAATAGGACACAAGTTCATTCACAAGTAAACAGAGAAACATGGAATACATCAAGAATACATAGGATTTCACAAGTGGCCAGTTGTTAACTTTTTTGGGGTACCTTCACGTAAGACCACTCTCTCGTAGGCGGGGAACCGTGTGGTGACTGGAGTCGCGGTCAGGTCCTCTCGGCTCTTGCGTAAGTCCTTCTTCTTTGCCGCCCTTTGACCTCTCAGCCTCCAGAAGTCTCCTCTGTCGTTGCCCGACGCTGCCCGAGCGGCATTCTGCACATTGGCCATTTGCTCTGCTCTGTGAGACAAAAATGTCAAAAAGCTTAAGTCAACATCATCATAATAACATATTATTTTAATTTTTCTAAAAGTGTTTATTTTCCACACTATGTGGTCTGGAAGGACTCTTGATGAAGCAGAGCTTTTGAATGCTAGACTGTAGAGCTGATCAGAGGATTCAGTTGTTGCCAGCTGCTCCAAAGCCAGTGAGTGATTATAGCAATCAATTTAACAAATACTTAAAGCTAGAGTAGGCAATTCGAGCAACAGAGAGAGACCAGAAGGTTTTGCATTGTGTATGTTCAAGTTATCTATTGCAGCTTTAATCCTACATACATAAGCACCAAGAACCCTGCACACACCTGCTCTTGTTGGGGATGATTCCTTTCTCCAGCAGCTGATTGTCTTTGCCAGAGCGAATTGCCAGCCAGTTGCCCAGTTTGCCATCATAAAGCGTGTCTGTCACTTTGAAGATCTCTCCTCTGGTGAAAGGAAGGCTCTGAGGAGCCTCCTTCTCATACTCAAAGTGGGTCCTGATGAAGAAAGAGTCGCCTCGGCCAGATGCTAAAATGTCCTTGTACACTGAAATGGAAAACACATGAAAAACCAAAAACAGTAAGTCTGGGCCAATTCACTCACTGAGTGTCAAAAAGCCTAATACTTCTACTAAAGATCACAAACTAAACTAAACTAGAACTGAAATAAATAACTCAACCTCACATTATTGTAAAGTCAATTCGGTGTACCACAGGGCAAAATTCTGGGTCTACTACTATTCTCTATCTGCATGGTTTATCTTTATTTATCCAAAAATATAGCATACATATTTATTGCTATACACCAAACTTCAGTGTAATCAGTGTAGTTAAGTGAATATTGTGATACATATTGATTGTATACCTTTATCTGGGTTGGCACTGAATTCTTTGCAGCCTTTTGTTAAGTTAATTATAGGCATGAGAAGTTTGGCTGTATTTGGCACTGTATTTATCTTTCCTTTTTAACCATCTTAGCATCCTTTGTCTATACAGTACAGTACCTTCAGGTTTGCTTTGAGCAAGAATGGTTATATCTTCTCCTTTGGGAACCTCCAGGAGGTAGAGGACAGCATCCTCACGCACCATGCCTCTGAAATCCATGTTGTTGACCTGAAACAGACAAAACACACATGAAATACAATTAGAATGAGTATAGTATAGAACAGACTTAAATACACCATGAGTAGCAGATCAAATAGGAGATTTTTTTACACAAAGTAATAAAACACCAGAACACTGGCAAAAGGCTGATTATTTCTTGATTTACTTGAGTTTTTCCTTTCTCTTTTATTTTATTTTTGTTGTTTACAACAGTGTTCAATAGATGGTACCTTCACCGGAGTCACAGTCTAATGGGGGTCTCCTGCTTTTGAGTCATCTGAATGTTGTATCTGCAGGTATTTAATGTGGAATAAAAGAAATCTAACCTTCACGATCTGATCTCCTGTTTGGAGACCCTCCTGCTCGGCCGCACTGTCCTCCTGAACACCAGCGATGAAGATGCCTACATCATTTCCCCCTGCCAGCCTCAGACCCACGCTGTCACCTTTCTGGAAACGCACCATCACTGTGTTCGGCCTGGACGATGAAAGCAAGGTTTCATTATACAGAGTCGCAAAAAGCAAGGAAAAACCTTATATGCAGAAAGAATGAAATTCATATGCAATTTATAGGTCTCTGGCTTCAGAACCCCAAATAAATATTTGTGATATACTGACCCGTATATTTCCTGGTCCTCTATGCTTGGCTTTAGCGGCACCTTGGGAGGTGCATGAACCTTTGGGGCTACAGTGAATGCTGGCACTGCAGAAACAGAAAATAAACGTACATATTTTCAAGTTGCAGCATTGACATTTACACGGACTCAAAACTGGCTCAAGATCAGAGCTTCGTATGGTCAGAGGGAGACGCATGTTTACCTGGTGGTGTTTCTGCTCGCGTGTCCTCCCTCTCTGCCTGTAAAGGGGGCGTGTCTTCAACAGCTCTGTCAGGAGCTCTGTCAGGAGCTCTGAATGGCGTTGGCATGGCGCCCATTTTTGCCAGCCTGTTGGGTGGGTCCTCCCTGGTGAAATCACAAATTAAATTAAAATGTGTCTAATCTCTAATAGGACATTATGGTGACTACAAAACCTGAGTTCAGCTGTGGCCCTTTGTTGCATGAACCCCACAAACCCAAGCCCCAATAGTTCCTGACTGGATACTGTCAAGATAAAAGTAAAACGGCTGACAACAAATGAATATACAGAGAAGTCTAACACGAGTACTTCGTCGATGCAGAGAAATTCCTCCTCATTGATTTAATGTGATGGACTGATTCATCTTCATGAGGCATAAATCAACATAATCCTGTCATATCCTGATTTTGTGCTGTATTGAACACACTTAATAAACTGGGGACATCTTAGTGAAGCTGGACTCTTTGTAGCTTTCTGTAGCTCCTGGACATAACAAAACTCTGTAGATGGGGGAAATAGTTCATTCCTGTGGCTCAAGATTCAATGACATCGTACCTGGGTTTATCTCTAAGCCTCTCATTGGAGGAGTGGGAGGAGAGGTCGGAGTGGTGGCCCCGCCTGTCATCCTGCGGAGAGTAGGAGCGGTATGACTCGATCTCAGAGATATCTGCAACACAACAAGAACAAACAGGTTGAACAATTTAACCTTTCTGAACCAACTTGAGAGTGTGGAGGTCTCTGATATTATCTTCAGAGAATAAAGAATAAAAACATGTCTGGAGGAGTAAAAATGTTGAATTTCTCCTTGATGCGGCTGTATCTTTTAAATTACATAACAATTACAATTCAAATGGCCCACAGGTCACGGATGCAGAAAAGGGCACAAACACACAAAGTTACGACACAAATGAAGGTCACATCACTACACAAAGTGGTGTATGCCCAGTAATTATATTTGTTACCAGCTTCAAGGATCCTGATGAAGAGAGAAGTGAATTTATCTTTGATGTTGAAAAAAAGAGGCTCGATTCGCCATGCATTTCAACATCGCAGCAGTGATGAAGCATAGCAATACCACTAAAAAGCTAAATGAAGTAGATGCACTTGATTTGAACCTGACAGCTAAAAATACACACACACACACACACACAATCAGTCCCTATTGTTCTCAGAGACCTTACAGAGGGGGATGCTGAACGGCAGAAACCAGAGGGCTGCTGCGGTGCAAACCTTAACATAATGAAATTCTGTCATATCCAATAGTAGGATTATGATGGGGGGATTAGATCACCCTGCCTGAGGCGAGTGAACACTTTCACACATGCAGACACATATTCTCTCACACACAAACACACACACACAAGCACACACAAACACAAGCACACACAAACACACACACACACACACACACACAAGCACACACACACACACACACACACACACACACACACACACACACACACACACACACACACACACACACACACAATGTCCCAAAACCAGACAAAGTGGGTCACAAGTCTTCCGGCTTTTCCACCCCTCCCTCCAAACATTTGGTCAGTGAACAATCCACTCACACCACTTATCTAAATTGGTTTTGACCAATCACTGCACGCCATCTGGTCATGTGACATTAAAAACAGGTATAAAGGAGTGAGTAATCATTGCTGGAGGAATAGTGATGATAGGTTGGTGAATCTCTCGTTAGCTCATAGTTTGTATGAGTTTTGTAAAATATTTGAACACATTAAATATCCAAATAATACTAAATACTGATGAGTGAGTAAAAACTTTTATTTTATGAAGGGAAAACAGGTTCTTGATGGACAATTACAACAACAACAACAGCAACAATGTTTCCACAGTCCATTCATATGAAGTTCATAGCAGTGGGTTTATATATGATGATGGCGGCCACTCGCTAGGTTTGCCTTTACGCTGGATAGGACCTGCTGCTTTTCAGTTTCGAGTATCTCTCACCATCGAGCTCTGAGTCGCTGTCGACCATCGGGGGCACTCGGATCAGCACCTGCCGCTTGTCTCTCTGCACCACCAGCTGCAGCTTCCCGCGAGACTTCTCAATCAGCTTCCCTGCGTCGCTCAGAGACAGGTTTTCTGTCACAGTGCCGTTAATCTGACGGACAGAGAGAGAAAGGAGATTAGGAGACAGTCAGATGCAGATCACTGAGCAAAGAAACAATGCAACAGTATGAGCCCTGTGCAGTTCTTCAGACAGTAGTCGTTATGGAGAGAGTGAGAGTAATAACATTCTGTGAGCAGTTTGATGTTTTCATAAAATAAAAGACAGAAATCTCTCCTTCTTTTGATTCATTCTTCAAATAAGTTACACAGCGTCCTAAATGACCAATGTCCTGAATGTTCAGACGAAACAAGCCCCCTGAAAACATCCCTTTGGCCTCTGGAAACTTGTTCTGAGTACTTTTTTTTTTTTTACCATTTTTGACATTTAATAACGAAAATAATATTCTGACATGAAGCTTGTTAATGATCAGCACTGCGAGTAAGCACCTTAACCCTACCTTTAATATAATGTCCCCTTCCTGCAAGTTCCCATCTCTGCCGGCAAGTCCTGTGTTGGTCATCTCTTTGATGAAGAGCTGACTGCCCAGACGAAGGCCATACTCTGGAATAGATGGTAAAAAAGAATCATCATGTTATAACATGTTACTAGTCATGTTTCAAAAAGTACAAAGTTCCTATTTTGTTTGTCTAAATGGAGTCTGACCATCTGACAGTCTGACAGCAGTAATTTTCTTACCTTCATTGGGCCGGTTCTTCAGCAGCAGCACATTCAGAGGTTTCTCCAGTGGCTCCAGATCTCGGGCTGGGCGGGGCAGAGGGATGGGCATGGCGGCGGGTGATGGCGAGCGCTCTAGACGGTCTCTGCTCCCACTCCGCTTCAGCGGCTCCTCGTACTTCCTCGGGTCACTGGGGACATGCTCACGTCCTCGTTCGAAGCTGTGGTCCCGACCGGGGCCCCGAGCTGGGCTGTGGCTGTCACGTCTGCGGCGCAGGTCTGGGCTGTCGGTGCGGTCCAGGGTTCGCTCGCTGCGGTAGCGTCTGTCTGGGCTGTGGTCCCGATCGAGGGCACGCTCGCTGCGGTAGCGCCGATCGGGACTGTGATCTCGGTCTAATGTGCGCTCGCTGCGGTACCTCCTGTCCGGGCTATAGTCGCGGGCAAGCAAGTGGTCACTCCTGTAGGGGCGCTCCGGGCTGCGTTCTCTGTCCAAAGTGCGACCTCTGCTGCCGTCTCTCCTGTACTGCCGGTCGGGGCTCAGTTCTCTCTCCGCACTCCTGCCGCGTTCCCGCCGGTCATAGTCCCTGTCATAGTCACGCTCACGTGTTTGGTAGCCAGAATCCATGTAGCCTCCCCCGCCTCGCTCCCTCTCCAGGCTGTGATCCCGCCCGCCACCACTCCGGCCGCTGTACACACTGCGACCGTCCTGCTCGTAGTTGTAATCGTCATTGTAGTCGTTGTTGAAGACTCTGTCGTCAGGTGACGGGGGACGGTTCAGCATATTGACTGGAACCTTCCTGGGCCTCTTGACTGTCTGTTGATAAACAGACACAAAGAATGTTTGAATACAAAAAAAAAAGGTCAGAGGTCACTTTAACAATTATCCCATCATAATCACAGTATGCAACTTAAATGAACACTTCATTATTTTAATAAGTAACAAAACAAGAATAAGGCTCTAACAGTAGACCAAAAGCTTTACTCACAACTTTTGCTACTTTGCCACACTTCCTGAGGGTCTGGACAGCGAAGGAGTGGATGGCCCCCTCCATGGGGATGGCGTTCACCTGCACCACACGGTCATTCTCACTAAACACAAACACACATTGTGAACTAAGTTAGTTATATTGTTCTTTTTATAATGGTTTTAATATCAGGGATTTTCATTGCACAGAAGTACAATGACAACGATTTCTTTAATCTAGTTATTTTAGGTTTTCTAAGTTCCAAAAATAAAGACATTACTTTAATACATGACCATGTATGTTCATATGGACCTGAAATGACAGCTGGAACACTAATGGCTTTGTCTCCATTCAGACGTTTGTTCGGAGCCTTTCCCAATGAGGCATATACTGTAACTGCTGCAAGTAGGGAATTAAATCCCTTGAGTCATAATGATAAGCTGGACAGCTTTGTGGTTTTTAATCACAAAAAATAATCAAAGTATATATAGGGAACTTTACTATTCCAGTACAAATCCGTTTTCAGTTGTCACATAAAAGTTAATAAAAATGTAATGCTGATTGATTGATTAAATGAGCCATGGGTTTGTTTTGGAGAACTTTTCCAAAAGGGGTTAGTGTGGATGATATGGATAACTGCTGCTATCATGGATATGTCATTTTATATTGTGTAGCACTGTAAAATAGTAAATTCTGGAAGACTATGTATAAGTCCTGTAAATTCAATACCAAACAAATAAATGTTCTGTAATATTCCACAAAACAAATATAAAATGCCCCCGCTAAACATTTGTATTGCCCATCACGGCCTAATACATACAAGGATATTAAAGGGTTCGCTCCCTCAGTATAAACGGAGTAGCAAAATCTCTACGAGGGGTCATGGTTAAGTAATTCTACTTTTGAATTGGATGGGATGCACCGATACCGAGCTCATGTACTCTGATACCTCACCCCATACCACTTTACAGCAGTGTGATCCTACGTACGATCTCTGTACTAACTGAATGACAGTCGTTACAGTAGGTTTGTCTGTGTAGTCGAGTTTAACTGATTACTAATATTATAACCAAGAAGAGTACGCACAACAACAAGCCATCAGCAGGTCCTCCCTGCAGGACGTCGGACACCACAATGGACGTCTCTCCACTTTCCTCGTTTGGGTTGTCCCGCCCCCCTGACACTGCGATGCCAAAGCCCATCTTTGGATCCTGAAAAAAAAAAAAAAGAAGGAAAAAAGAAAACATGTAAATCATTGTGAGAGAGAGAGAGCGAGAGAGAGAGAGAGAGAGAGAGAGAGAGAGAGAGAGAGAGAGAGAGAGAGAGAGAGAGAGAGAGCGAGAGAGAGTCTGTAATCCCTGTATTATCATGGCTGTATGTGTATTGTACGATTAAAAGGATTCTGACTGATTGTGATTACAGTTGTGCATACTGGAGTCATGTATGGCTGTGCAGCAGTTCACCGCCTACATGTCTATCTTCTGTAGCTTTGTGTGTGTGATTAACAACGATGCTAATCCTAGTGTGTATGAACATGGGTGTCTGTAAATTAAAAATCACTTCCTGGAAATGCAGTGTGCAGTGTATGCCAACGCGCACAAACAACTCTGTTTTTAAAAGGCTCCTCGCTTCTCTGGAAAGATGATTCGGCTTTGAATGATTCTACCTGCCACTGCTCCAGTTTGCCCAGATGAGATTAGGTCAGAGATTTGATGACCCTGTCTCATTATCCCCTCCCTTCCATCTGTACTTAAAAAAAAAGCCCCATACAATTCACCACTCTCCTCTGTGTCTAGCAGATGGCCGTGGAGGCAGAGGGAGGGAGAAAGTGCGAGCAGAGGAAAAAAAAACAGAGGTAAACATGAAGGAACACAAGAGACATGAAGACAGAAGACATCTTTGGTTCTGATATAATAATCTCAAAAATTAATGACATACTATAAAATATTACAATCAAATAATCAAATAATTATTATATAGCTGGAAAGCACTCCTTAGCCAATAAAATACAGACATGTCGTTTTTCAACGGAGATAAAACCACCACGCTGTTATAAAGGGGATTTAAATCACAGCAAATGAAAGCCAAAGGAGCGTGCTGCTGTGTTATTGTTTGCAGCAGTAGTTGAGGCAAGAGATGATGGGATTTAATGGGGTGTAATGGTTGCAAATGTGTGCGTGTGTACGGGGATAGCTGTGGTGCTATTTAATAAAGCCGGTGAGATAGCGGCTCTCACCCACTGCCACTTCCTGTTACTGTACATGATTGTTCAAGGACAACATTTACTGCAATTTTTGAAGATCTCTGATACCGTACTACAAGTAAACATGGCAATGTTTTGTGATTCCTGGTTATTTTTTTTTATTGCTGCTGAATGTCAGATTGATTATGTTTAATAAAAACAGCAGTGTGTCTTTAAAGTTGGATGATAGCAGATAGTGTCAGATCTGACCTGTCAGGCATGTTCAAAGTGTCATCAAGTAAAAGCAACAAAGTGTCTCATTTTTTCTCCTCCAGATGCCTCCACACTTTACCTATACTTTCCAAAACCTACTTTACTTTGCCAAAAACAGAGTTAAAAATATTTTATCATATCAAGTCTTAACCTTGTGAGGCAGCTGGACTCACGGGATCACCAAATCAAGCAAGAACCCATCTAGCCATTTTTCAAAATACACGATTGTGTCCAAACACAGTGTCATAGAGGCACTTCTGGCAGCTACAATATGAGCTATGGGTGTGGTCTAATGCTCAAAAACAACAATGGCCACGGCTAAAGACGCTAGCGTAGATACTGCTAGCATCAGTTCTACCAGAACTGGAGAGTATTTCTTCATTGAAAGAAGAGCAAAGAACAGCACTGAAGGTTTTTATTGATGGAAAAGAAGTTTTCTTGGCTTCGGTAAGAGTTTGACTACGTTATATTGATCTGATTGGTTCATCCAATCACCTGCCCAGTATTTTTTTTAAAGTCCCTTTGCCCTGGTTTGTTACACAGACCCATATTGCACAGTTGGGTTGCTAAAGTCTCACTTTGTCATTTAAATTGTGAAATCCAAAACAATGGCAGGCTTCAAACTGTACCTCTCAAACATCTGGCTCTGTGTTTATATCCTCCATGTTTGTTTTTACTATGCATTTATTAATCTAAATGTATGTTTATTTTGGACATAGTTAAACTGATTTACATTCAAACAGAAAACAACTTGTGTGTGTCATGTGCCTGTTGCTGTAGCACTATATTTTCTTGTTTTTTGTAATGTTTAGTCTTGTCTGTAATTGTAAAGTTAAAATATATATTCCTATACGTTTCCTCTATAATATTTAGCAAAAAAAATAATTGCCACTTGACTGAATGTGGCACATTTCCTGATGAATATTAGTTTATGTAATAAACATTATTCTGAATGTTGAGTTTTAAGCTCTCTTCCACTTTATGAGAGGTGTTCTGAGGGACAGAGGCAGCAGTAGAAGCAACATTGTTTAAAATGCCACTCCGTTAACAAATGGTAGAAAAGAGTAAAAAGTGGACGTACAAAGCAGAGTGTGACAGCTGGCTGTGGAGGGGTGGAGAGTGTGGGGTCACAAGCCTGCAGCAGAGGACCTTTTTTGCACTAAATCTGCTTTTCTGGCTTCAGTGAACCTCAGCACGAGACAATGAGCTCATCGTGATTACCTAAGCTCAACTGGTTTGCTCTGCTCACATAGTTGTACACGTGTTTAACTTTAACAACTGTGTAGGCCCAGGTTCAATAGGCTGGTGGCGAGACGTCCACATTTAACAAAGTATTAAAGAAGAGAATCAAGTAGATGTATGTTACTAGTTATCATTTCTACTCATCAACTAGAATGTGTTAGTAGAGTGTTGAAAGGGTTGTACTGAGAGCTGACACCAGGGTGCAGAATGAACGCTTTGGTCGGCCAGCAAATGGCAAGTAAATATTCAAATCTTACCAGCTCAACAGATTACCTTTTTATTTGGCTGGTGAGTGAAGCAAATGTACCAACCACTTGTATATTTTACCAGCATTTGGCCCTGGCTGGCCCTGAGTGTCTGGTTAGACTCATAATCTTGTTTACTTATTTGATCAAATAGTTCTTAGAGAGAGAGATAGATAGATACTTTATTTATCCCGAGGGAAATTACAGTTTGTAATCCAAACTTTTAGTTTACAGTTTAGACTGTATGTCATTTAGGTAAAAATCTTGTATCGCTGCTTATGTTCAGATAACACATAACAGTATTTGAGAACTTTGGCTTCATCCAAATACCCCCTGCAGAGTCTCACCCCCAACTGTGTAGAATTTGTCACACTAAAATGTATCTATAATTGACTCGGGGGCAACACAATGAGCTGTAAACACAGCACACTACCACCTTACAAAGTTTATATGGCAAACTTTTTCATCCTTCAAAAGCTGAAAAAAGGTTCACACCACACACATTTTTTAGCAGTCATTAACAATGAAAGAGGAACCAAAACTACTATAAACTATAAATAAGGAACTAAGTTGAATTTTAGGCAAATAAAGGTCAGCATAATAGCATCAGCAAATTGCAGTCATTGCAGTGACTCTGTGCCCCACAGATTGAGTATCACTGCACTGAGCAAACATGGAGCAACATTAGCATTTATTTTGTTTGTGTCTACCTTGGAATGTAAATCTGACAGCGAGATTCACTCTCTACCAACCAAGGGAAATATGAGGGTCCGCTACATGCTCCACTATATCCACCATTATACATTTTACCATACAGGGAGGTTCCGGAGCTCACCTTAAAAGCCTAGTTAATCATAATTCCAATTAATTAAAAGAATCCATTTTCATGGTTGTCTACATTCACGCTGGCTCTCATTCAGCAGACAGGGCAATGTCTGTCACATCTGCCCATACTCTCTGCTCTCTTAACTATTAGCTGACTGCAATGTGTCAAACTAATCATTTAAAAGCCCTCCCTGTGCAGCACTGGGTAGAACAGCCTGGGTTTCTGGCTGAAATGGAAATACTGTAAATGAGATGAGGTCTGGTGTGTTTCGGTGCAGATGGACTCACCCTCTGCAGGGTCACGGTGTACTGCTCCCACACGGTCTCCTCCATGACCGGGTTCTGTGGAGAGAAAGGAAAGATTACCATGGCTAGTTTCATTTCACCGAACAGATTAATAATGTATTACGTGATGTAACGACAAAGCCAGTTCATTAGCTGTCCTTACACAAGCGGGAGAACAATGACAGGCCTCTGCCCGGCCGTTTGCAACAAGTTAGACACTTCTGGCTCAGGTCGATTAAATATGGATGAGAACACTTGAACATCAGTTAGCTTTCTTTAACAAGCACTTAAAAATAATTCGGGATGAGAGCACTTCCTCTGACAGACTGTTCCATGAAACCACAACAGGTCACATAAAACCAGATACAAAGATACACAACCACTCAACTTCTAGTCTAGAGATGCAACTAACTATTACTATTTAATCTTTTTTATTGTCGAGACTAACAAGAAACACTCCAAACTTAAACTTGATTTTATTGTTCGACCCCAAAAAGGGAATAAATCCAGTTAAACAGAAGAAAACAACTAAAGTTTTGCATTTGGGAAAAAGAAACTATCATTTCTTTAACTTCACATATTGCTTATCATTAGTTTCATGTTAAGTGTCTGATCAATAATCCAATCAACCCTAATACAGTACAAACTAACCTGGGTGAAAATATTCCACCAGTTAAGACCAAGTGAAAGTTACACAGATCATACCTCAGCAAACGGAGCATTGAGTCAGTTTTGATTTTGAATACTAACATCAGCCCTTACACTTTGAAAGTACCACAATTCATTTTTATCCTAAATGATCTTTTAATAACAGTTGATGCCACTTTTCTGCAATTCTGGATCCCTCATTTCAGAACCAAACTCAACTCAACCCATTTCTGAACTGCCCAAGTCATTAAAAAAAAAAAAAAAATAAGCACACTCAGATCTATTACAGAACCAGTCAGGTCCAGCCGCCTGCCACACATCTGATTAAATTCGAGCCATGGTAGCAGAATCGAACTCACAAGTCCCTGAAGGATACGTATGGTCTTGACTGCATGGGCCCATTTCCTGTGCAGGCTGAGGACGGTCTTCATCGTTGGCGCTCTCCGTCTCTTCCTATCTGCGTCTCTCCCTGTTCACCGCCAGCGGTGCTCTGGCAGACTGATGTGCGCCACAGCCTCCTCCATGGTCACAGCTGCACAACCACCAGCAGCTCTCTTCCTGCATCTGCCCGCCTGCCTGCCTTTGACGTAAGAGGGATTCTGCTGGCCTACATTCAGCACAAATCCCACCGTCTGCAGACAGTGTAAACATAGAGACGCACCAACTCCTGCACAGGCACGCGCTGATCAAACGGCCGAGTGCTCATCCATAAACACAACAACAAATAGCACCACACATTTTGGGTTTGACGTCTGCTCACACCTCAGATACATCAGACACTTATCAAAAGTTTGAGAGACGATTCACACACCAGCAAAGACAAACTGGCACTAAATGTGTGCAGAGTGCAGACTGGAGTTAGTGGCAGCACAATGGTTGGGATTTTAAGTTGTTTGTGGGGTTTTTGGTAATAAAAGGGGAAAGTGAAATCTGTGCGCCGCTGACACCTCATGCGCAGGCTTAGTGAAACGGGGGCACTACACGAGCTGGCAGCACACCCATCATAACCCACTTTTTTGATCTTCTGGCCTACAAGAGGAAACCAGATGACCAACAGCAGCAGTGAGCCGACAGGACCGTGTGAATCAAAACAGGACAAACGCAGCATCTCTATACGCCACAGAGAAAAGAACATAAGAGAGGATATTTGTTTTGGCACTGCCATTTGAAATGTCCATCTGGTCAGGGTTGTGTCTGAAGATTGAGGCAGATGGAATCTATGTTGAACAGTATTGAGTTTCAAATTAAGACTTCTTCTACAACTACCTATGTGGCATTTCTTTGCACCACAAAAGGGAAATTGGAGTGCAGCAGAAGAGAACAGATGAAAGTCAGATAAACGACTTAGAAGCAGCCAATGAAAGTGCCTGGAGCAAGGCCAAACCAGTTTTAATAAGACCGTCTTCTTGTACTGTGCGATACGATTGTGATGGCTGCTCGCAGGCAAGCCTGCTGGATAAGTCGTAGCCTCCTGAGTGTCAGCTATTACATAACAAAACACAAACACATTTCCACTAATGAGGAGGGAGGTTGAAATACTGGGTCATCCTAACAGGACGTGACTTAGAAACAAATTATTTAAAGAAGGAGTCGGCTCTCTTCAGAAAACAGAAATACAGAATGTGTGGGTGGATCTTAGTTATGTAGAGTCTCTATAGGCGACATTCAAATTCAAACATTATACAAAATGACAGGGTTTTTTGTTTGCTTCTTCTCTGGTTGTGTTAGTAGCTCTTACAGTTAGAATTAGGAGGATTTTGAGATGAGACCACAACACAAATGTATTTTCACATCAATTTCTCTTTTGCTATAAGTCCCACACATTTTCATAAAACAATATCAAAAAACCATGTAAGCCAAATAGGGTGTTTGAGTCTTAGTACTCAGTATAGCTGCAAATTAAATGTTTATTCATATTATCTTAAAATGATTATTGTCATTTAATCTGCTGATTCCTTTCTTGATTCATCAATTGTTTAGTTTTTAAAATGTCAAAATGTGTCCAAAGTAATGTCATATAACATAATAAGTAATGAAAAATATTCAGTTTACAATAATGTTAAAACTTAAAGAAAATCCTCACATAGAAAAGGCTGGAAGCAGAGAACGTTTCATATTTTTGCTTGAAAATGAGTCAAATGAATAATTAATAACGATCAAATCCAATTGTTCTAGCTCAGGTTTCAAGTAAGGCTTACATTTTTAAATACTAGTTTCAGTCCCAATGTCAAGGCAGCTGGAAATTTAATGAAGAAAAACGAAAAATGTTTTGTGAAATTGTGTTGAAATTTGACTGCATTGTATAAGATGCTTAAATCGCCATAGCCTTTCTCAAAAGGTAAACATTGCTCACTTTATGAATTCCTCCTGAATATTTGAGAGTGTGCCAACCTCAATACTCAGAGGATACTTTTAGCTGTGCAACTACAGATCTCTGGTTGAAGCCAGATGTAACATATGCAACTTTCTGAGGGAAGTTATTTATAATACATTCAATGTTTGCTTTAAACTCAAACCACCCAGCAGTCCTTCATTAGGCAGTGTGACCTTACATATAGTGTCAATGAGTCTGACATGTTTCTGTGTGCGGCTCATACACAGAAAGGTTGAACAAGTCTGCCCCCTGCTGGTGGCACAGCAGCGTTACACCGGGAGGCCCAAGAAAGAACAACACACCAGTACATAAATAACGTCAAAAACAAAGCCATTACAATAGCTTTGGACATTTGTATCCTTTAGTTTGTAAAGTACTACGAGTCACACCACCGTTAACAGTTCCTCCTTTAAAAAGTGGGTCATTAAAAACTAAATAAAATTAAACAAAAGTGTTGCTTTGACCACCAAAGGACAGACATACCGCTGAGCGCACTGTTTATAAGACCAGGCGATCAAACACGAGACAAGTCGATATATCAATACGAGTTATAGATTGAGAACAACGTTTAAAACTGATCAGTTAACACTGGACGTGTTTCTACTAACGTTAAGTAAAGTAGTGTTACTGAGAGTAGCCGATACCACAGCAGGTGCAGCAGGATGCAACAGGCTTTAACTGGGACTCATGGAAACGCCTCAATCTACTTCTCCCCTAAAATATAACCTCATACACAACACTGAAACAGCAGTGCATCAGTGCTATTATCTGTCGGCTGTTTAGGAATACTTTGAATGTATTTATGGGAGTACTTACGGTGAAATACTGAGTTGCATATCTGTTCAGAGAGAGCAGCCCCCCTCCGTTTACTGGCATCACGCACTTTGAACTGTCCGGGACTAAAGATTACAACTAAATACTTAGATAGATGTTCCTGGTCGGATGCAGGAGTTTAAAGTAACGTTTTACAGCGTAGCAACTGTTAAAGTCTCCTTTACTTTACTTTAAATATCGCACTTTGCTTGCAAAAAATAGTAAGACTAAACATTCAGGGCAAAAATTAGCGCCGACTCCTAGCTTGGTTCAGGTTATACCAAAAGTGAGCGGGGGTGGGGGTCAATTTAAAAGTAACTGTGATGGATAACATAAAAAAAAAGCAACAAGTTATGACCTAAACCTCGTTCAACTCTATTATTTGGTTATCAGTAAGAACAGATTGGTGATAACATTATCAGTACATGTACGGAGGCGGCTTGCACCTGTTACACCGCTGAGATGGATCCGTCCAAAATCCCCATTGATTTTTAGGGAGCCTGCTGTGAGGCTCCCAGACAGACAGCACAAAAACACATTCAGTACTACACTCTGCAGAGTTTAACTCACTCACAGAGACATGCCATTTAAAAACAACATCTGAGCAGACAGAGGGCTTTCTTTTTTAAATGTCTGTCTAAGTGTATAAAACAAATTTATATCGACATACTTAACAGCAACTGCCTTAGTTTAGTGTGTATAAAATATTAACAGCCCTTCAAACTAAAGATAGCATCCCAAAAAAGTATGAAACCCAATATAGTCCTAAGATACCTCTACCACCAATACTTTTGACAGGGCAGAATATATTTGTTATTAATCTTTTTCTCTTAGTTCCCCACCTCTGCAGCCATTGCAGCGGTTCATCCAAAATATGCTGGGTGAGGTTAAAGTCAAGGCTCCTGCAGACGCAACCACCAAACTGGGAGGTGTACTTGTTGATGGACATGCCTTTGTGCATAGCAACATTGTCATGTTAAAATGGGAAAGGACCTTCAACAAAATGCTGCAACAAAGCAACAGGCACACTATTGTCTAAATTATCATTGAACTAAACCTTAACATTTACTTTGACTGGACCCGAGGGCCCCAAACAACGGAGAACAGACCCAGAGCAAAAGAACACCAATGTAGGTATGTGGTTTAGCCATATAGAGCTATGTAAAAAATGTTAAGGCTTTATGCATGAGCAGCTGAAACAAATGTGTAGAACAACTAGATGGCCATGTGCAGCTGTCCCACAATAACCTATTGTTGTTTGTTTGTGTGTGTGTGTGTGTGTGTGTGTGTGTGTGTGTGTGTGTGTGTGTGTGTGTAATACTATCCGTTCTATCCATTCAAGCCTGCCCTTTTTTGGAATTTTATCAGCACGAGACAAATCACAGATAAGAATACCAGCTGACCCTCAAAATGTCCAAAATCCTTGATTCAAAATGAAATTTAACCATTTCCTTTCAATATCCAACATTTTAACGAATCCAAAAAGCTTTTCTACTGACAAAAAGGACACCACTTTATCCAAAATGCTTTATTTTAACGGAACGTCTTCAAACATGAAGTAAAATTAAGGTCAATCAAGGCAAATCCCACATTTCACATCAGCGGTATTCTGTGAAATGCCCTTAAAATAGGCCATCCTAATGCAAAACAGCTTCACTGGCCTGAATAATTTGTGTGACCAAGTCATTAAAACAATGAAGCTTCCGGGACGTGACATGTCTCTCTGGTTAATCATCATCCTGTGTGCAGGAGGGGTCACTAAAGCGTAGTCGTATTCAAATAAGGAAAGAGCAAAGAAGTCTGGGAAACACTGACTCACTAAACCTCATATCCCCAAAACATCAACGTTTCAGGAGAGAAGCAGCCTTGTTTGCAGCTTACAAACTATTTTTGGGATAAACAAAAAAAAAAGGCTCAGCTCTGTCCAATGATGGGATTATGACAGAGTTTCATAAGATGAAATCATGACATTTACAACAAGAGAGAAACACACAATCATCCAAGCAATGTTAAAGACAGCCTTTTCAATTGGCCCAAAAGCAACCTCAGAGTGGATCAGCATACACTAATCTGATTTACCGTGACAAAATAAGTAACTACATATATATACTTTATGGAGGAAGTTAAGCCATCTCGCTTCCTTTTCATGTTGAGAGTTGCACATGCACAGTACAGATCGGGCAGGATGTATCGACACCACCAATCATATCTTTTACAAACACACATTGTCTCATGTGACTTTCAACAATGCTTAATGTTTAACATGTAAAACTGACATTGAAAACAGTCAGTTTAACCCTGACTGACTGGCAAGTACTATGCCATCTCCAACGCCAAACCAGTATTTGTAATTTGCAGTGTGTTGCTGTATTTAAAGACTATAACATTCAGAGGCACCACATTGAACACTGAAATTGCAAGTTTCGTGGCCACTGTAGTTTCTCCTATATAATTCACAGCCTGTTCTCATTCCAAGGTCCTCAAATAAAGACACAAGTGGTGGTCAGTTAGTTGCAATCTGCAACTTCATTGCTAGGTGGCACTAAATCCTACGGATTGGTCCTTTGAAATAACAGCTTCAAAGTAATTTTGATGCTACACTGAGTTACACTAACAGGGTGAATGGTGCCTCTCTAATTCCCACTCTGTGCCCTGTACGCCTGTTCTTGCACTATGTAACTTTTTGCTCCAGGTCAGGGTAAGTGGCAACAGTCAAACCCCACCATCTATATCACCGATTTTGGTGAATCATATTTTATTTTACATTTGCTTTCTGGTTTTCCCTCTGATGTCCTCCGGCTGCTCAGCCTCAACTCTATTTAATTTACAGAGTTACCTGATGGATAATAAAGTAACTGCTGCAAAACACAGCTACTGTTAGCTAATTAGTGACTGGGTGCTCAGAACACTGAGGGAGTGTTGTTGGAGGAGATGCTGACATAGAGCGGCGCCGGCATCATGCCAGAACTGGAGCCAGGTGAGCGGGCAATATAACCGGGCTCAGCAGCTTCTGTGGACATAGCTAATGGCAGAGGTGAAGACTTAAGAGGACGACGGAAGAAGCTAAGAGGAGAAATGGAGAGAGAAACCACTGGACAAGAGTAAATTAAATCTTGGACTGGCCTTTAATCGTTGGCGAGAGCTTCATGAAGTAGATAGCTTCAGACAAGGGTAAGGGTTAGACAAGCTGGCCTTCTTGCTGTTGGACTAGTCAGTAATATTAGCTGCCTTGCTATATCTTGTGTTGTTGCACTTGCTTAACGTTTGGCTGTGTTAGCAAAGTCGCTAGTTTTTGATCGTAAGTAATATAATTATATCAAATGTACGGCAGTCCATATTTACCACAGTGGTACTGCAACTCGGGGCGCCAAATCGTAACAAAAACCAAATGTTACATAATGTTGCTTTAAGATGGGAGCTCTATTACCCTGGTGCATAAAAAGTTAAACAAGGTTTTAAATAGGCTGCGGAAAGTCCCATCTACATTTCCTGGTTTTAAAATCTAACCCAATTGAATTTATGCCTGTGTTAAAGCATAATATACATAATGAATATAGCTGCCTCATGCTCCCATGTTGACTGGACTCAAATCTAAAAACCATAAAGTATAATAAATGCTAATATTCATGTTTCAAGTCTGAGTGCAGACATGTTGAGTTTAAACCCTAAAACACACAGTTCAGGGTCAACAGGACACACCAAACCAGCACCAACATTGAACATCATGTAAACCACGTACCATCATAATAGCTGAGTAGCTGCGCGAAGAGAGGCGGCGGAGATACAAGTACTGGGCTTCTCTGGACCAGCAGAATTTGCGGCCGGACTTGATAAGGTCAGTGCTGGTCTGGTCAGGGCCAGGCTGGTCCCTACACACATGGAGAGAGACACACTGTGTTAAACATTCAAATGTTTTCAATAAGCTTAGAGAGAGAGAGAGAGAGAGAGAGAGAGAGAGAGAGAGAGAGAGAGAGAGAGAGAGAGAGAGAGAGAGAGAGAGAGCAGTGTATGACATGTGACCCCAGTATTATTACCCATAAATACTTGTGCTATTATCTTACATGTTTTGAATTTGCAGAATAGTTTAGTAATTATCAGAGGGACACCACTCATTTAACACATAAAGCTTAGTTTACTCATCATGTCCGTTACTAGTCAGCCTGTGAAAACTTTTATAGTCTTGTAGAGGAGCTTTTTCAAGTCTGTGAAAATAATCCTGATGATGTCAAAGTGACGTCATTGGGATTATCTCACGGTGGTCTTTGAGACTACAAAGTTTTAAGAGAAAGATGTGTTGCAAATAGTTTGAAAGACACAGTTCAGTTGCATTGTGGGAAATGGTAGGATGCAGTGTACTTGGAGCTTGACCCCGATTAGGTACTAAAAGTCAGGAAAACTCGGCCTCTTGATCATCTGCATTGACTTTGACCTTAATCTGTCTCTTGTCTGCCCCCCAACTTTATGAAAATGCAACACTAAACTCACTGGACTACCCCTTCAAGTGCAGATGTGGGCAAAGACATATTCAATATACTTTATTTGTGTTTAGTATTTTCTGTAAAATATACAATGCAGACTTTTCAAATCAATCTGCCCTTACTCCATCACTATGTAATGCTAAAACTGACAAAGAATACGGAAGTGAGCGAGGCGAGTTTGTAGCGAGATCATTTGTAAGTAATTATTACGTCATCCAACGTATTGATAAGTGCATCAGTATTTGTTTTTGTGAAGTTGAAATGAGTTATTCTGTGTTTTGAACAACGATACTTGTGTTGAAATAAATGAACTAAATGTTTATTTATGTGCTCTGACACATTCAGAATCATTACCGTTATCACTGAGCAGACGGCTGTTAAAATCTATAAATTTAAGTAATTAAATCAACATCTAGACGACTATTGGCTTTATTTACTACTAGTCGACAAGGAAAGGAAAATCTTTAGTCTGGGGCCGCCCTAATAGCAGCTCTGTGAGGCTGTACTTAGACTAGTTTACATTAGCATTTGGTTCAAAGCCCTGCCTAACATGCTCACAATGATAATGTTAACATGCTGATGTTGAGCAGGCAATGTTTGACATGTTTACAATCTTAGGTGAGCTTGTTAGCGTGCTGATTTTGCTAAGTAGCACCAAACACAAAAAGTACAGTTTTGCAGGTATTTGGTCATTAACCAAAGTTTTGGATTAACTTCAGCCTGCTGATGGTGCTACATGAAAGGTTGAGGGATCACCAGAGTTATTACAATTCATCCTGAGGGGGAAATGAATGTGTGTACCAATTTTCATGGCAATCCCTCCAGTAACTGTTGACATTTCACTCAAAACCCCAAATATCAACCTCGTGGAAGAAGATCACCAAAGTCAGTAAAATACATCATCTGGGAACCATGAACAACTGTACAAAATATTTCACTCTGGACAAGTGACCAACCAACAAACCATCGTCATAGCTCCATGCCTCTACTGTGACTAAAAATGCCCCCAAATTCCTGGTTCCAGCTTCTCAAATGTGCCCTTCTCTGTTTTATGTAATTGTAAATTGTCTATATCTGGGCTCTGGACTGTTGGTAAAACAAAACAAGTAATCTGATTGTCACCCCGGCTCTGGGATGCTGTGACAGATATTTTTCACTTTTGGTTTCTACACACTAAGTAATGCTAGATGAGAAACTCTAAGTTTCACAGGGATTAAAGATTATAACTATCTCCTTTTTGCAAAAGTCCAAAGAGCAACTAAAACCTTGATTGTTATGGAATTGTATACAAAATATTTCAAAAGACCAAAGGATCAAAGTAAGAGCTATAAAATGCCCCGTTTCCCAGAACTAAGCCATCCGTGTACGGCTGTGAGTAAAGCCAGTGGACACCAGGCTCACATTGATACTACTGACTATAATACTATAATCTGCAGTCTCACTTCAAGAGCAGAATCTCTGACCTGAACATGTTCGTACATGTGGCGTTTCTCCAGAGCTGAAACAACTTTTTTTTTTTTTTTTTTCAACTTCATGGCAGCGAGTCAGAAACGTGGTTTCTGATGCATTCAGATTGGATACAGTCAGAGACTGCTGTCATACTGAGCCGACAGTTTGAAAAGCAGATTTCCTCTGCATGACTAAACCTGCTGCTCCTTACACACCAAGAACAGACTTGTAGGTTCAGTAAAAACACGATAAAGGGCTTTGTATCTCCAGGAACACTTTAATCCAATATATAACACACTGGCTTTACTCAAGCAATTTAGCATTGCACTTCCATAAAGTTTGGTTGGAGAAGGATTAAAAAAAGCATGATCAAATGTTCAAGAGGCTGAGTTTTTCTGACTTTCAGTCTCTAGGATGAGTCAAGCTCCAAAAAGTCACCCTACTCACTCACCCTACATGCTAAAACTCAGGGCTGTCTTTCATCAGACTCTCCCCACCTGGTCCACTGCTCCAGTTTGTAACGCAGGCTTTCTTTTATCAATTCAGTCCTGAGATAACCTTGAGCTCAAGCAGGTTATGTATTGGGACTAGTACTGAAAATGATCAAACTATCTGTAGATAGTAGAAGATTTTGGCATCGGAAGCATTGGCATCTGTAGTCCGAGAGTATTTGAGCGGGCTTTAGTTGTAGCTAAACAGTCCATGTAGAGAGCAAAGAAGAAGGAACACATTTGCCATATTCAATCTCGGAACCATCGGCGATCGTATGATGTTGATTTTGCTTTTTAAAACTGCATTCATATGCCGATATCTGTTTATAGAGATTAGCTGAAATGTGTCTTTTCCATCATTCTTGCGCATCAAGTTGCTAATCAGACTGCAGAGGAAGTACTGGTCAGGATATCCACTGGTTATACAGGAAGCCCAGAAACATTGGCTCTTGCCCCCAGAGGCTAAACCGTCAGAAGATAGCCGATGGGTTCCGAGATTGCACCAAACCAAACAAAAAAACTGCTCGACATTTTCACCAAACTAACACCACTTGAGTAGTTGTTTGACTTTGACAACTATTCAATAATAATGTTTAACCCCTTTCAGTGGAATCACATCATCGTGATATAAAGATCTAGGGTGCATTAATGGAACATTAATATGGATGTGATGAACATCAGTCTGATTATCTAAAAGTGTGGTTTTAGTGTAGATTAGGTTCAATTTAATTCTCGTTGCACACAAGGAGTGCAATGCTAGGCCGTTTAGCCAACTAATGGGGTAGTATATTATGAAGGGTTCTAGCTGTGCTATAGACTAAATTAATAACCCAATATGACAAATGTATAGTACTAGTGAATGCAGCTATGATATGTACAGTATGGACAGAACCATACTAGCCCTACTAGTATATGCAGTAGAATGAGTATGGCTATAATATATACTGTTTAAACAACCAGTAAGTAGGTAACATTTACTGTGCAGTGAAAAGGTTTTGCATTTATATGCTGTATATTAATGTTAAAACTGTTCACATCTGAAGCCAGAAACTGTTTTACAGTAAGCTTCATGTTATAGTTCAAATTAAAACAAAATCACAAAAACAAGGTCAGATGACTAGAACAGCATCAATTCCTGTAATAAAATAAAACTTACTACAAAAACAAGGGCAAAGACAAATGACATACGTAGGGTTCCAGTTCTCTCCTTTGAACAGGACATAGCTCATATATGCATTTACAAATGGGGATTTCAAAGATGCAAAAAAAGCTGCTGTTCATTTTTCAACCCTTGCTGGTAGAAACGTGGTTTGTCTGAAAGTATAGTAATCAACAAGTTTGATCATTGCTAAACAATTCCTACTTAGACTGAAAGATGATTGTTGTGCTTTAACATTTCACCGCCCACCTACAGGACACTAGAACTATATAGTACTTTCACTGGCTTTTAACTGGGACATTGTTTCTAGAAAGATACATTGATGTTGATGGACCATAAACCAAATTCCATTTACTCCCATTGTATCAGAGTGGAGACTTAAAACCCAGGCAAATAAAACCAAAAAAAAAAACTGCCTGGATGACCAGATACAAGTAAGCTTTTGTTTGTTTCAATGAAATGTTACAGGTCAGTTATTACATTCCATCTAAATCCATCTGTTGCTTCCCTGAATTAGACACTAAAAGGTATTTCAGAAACATTATCAGGATTTAGAAATATATCTGTTAGAAATAAACAGCTGCAGCAGTCGTTACAACAGTTCACTACTACTATGCACAAGCTCTCTATGTGTGTTAAACATAATGACACACAGCCACGCACACAACCACAGTGATCTAACTCACCCCGGGGGTCTCCACAGTTTTCTGCCTGGTGGCAGAAGCTCCCGTTTGTTCAGCGGTACAATCCCAATGGCCGCCTGCATGATCGTGATGAACTTCTTAAACTTCATCTTCTAATTCTCTTCTAACAGCAACAGCATCACACACACACACACACAAACACACACACCACACTGCTCTGACTGCTGCTACACTTCCATCACTCATCTAACGAAGCGACAGACAGAGATTCAACATCTCCTTGTTTGCTCATCTCCTTCTGCATCGTCAAGACTAAGAAACTTGTCCTATCTTGCCGCCTCAGCGCATCAGTTTCTCCATGACAACGAGCCACAGCACCCTGAGAGGCGAGGTCCCCGTGGCGTGGCTACTACGAGTCCTGTCCCCAACCGCTGACTCTGACAGATGTCCTTTTGGCTATTCTGAGCGAGGGGGGATAAAAAGAAAACAAACGTCCACGTTCCTGCCAGGCGGTGGGCAGGCCGTGAGGGGATGACAGCACGTCACTCTTACATAATTCTGGAGCTTCTCTGGACATTACACTAATGAAAACGCAGCCTGTGCCACCACCACTGCTGCTGCTGCTGCAGCCGCTGGGATAATTGTGGTACTAAGCCCTGACAGATCATGTATGCTCCCCGCCCCCTCCTCCTATAATCCCCCATCCAGGCTTAGTCTTCTCGCCATTTACACCAGGACAGACCCATCTACTTCCCCCCCATAGTCTCCCCTCCACCAGGGCTAACCCCGTATGGAGGTTTATTAACGACAAAACTTTAATCAATCTGCTAGTCAAGATTTAAATGTGCACAGCGACAGATTTGTGAGTACGAAACACGTTTTCAGAGCAATCTACTGATTTTGTGCAAGCTTCATTTGAAATGTGCTCTCATTACTATCTCCAGCTGCTTCACTCTGAATGAGTCATTCAATCATACAATCGCAGGACTTAAAGGCAAACACTATCGTGTATAGTTTTCTTTTCTATTCTTCCCTGAAAACACTTATTTTGGTGTTTCAAACCCTTTCACGATGCCATGACTGGAGAAAGACCAACTATGTGTCAGTCGTCCTACGATTACGACAATTCGATTTTTAAAATTGGCCTAGTAATTCCCTAAAACATTAGGATTAAATAGTGCATTTGTTGGGGACTATTTTCAGCTGTGGATTAAGACACATTTAGGGCATTATGTACATCTCGCCTAGTGAAACAGACACACAACACTTGTAAGCGGGACTGTTGATTTTGGTTTCATATAACTTGACAAAATGAAAAATGTATTAGAATATCATCAGACACAAATTCAATCCACACAATGTTTTTTAGATCTTGCAATTCCTTCAGATTACGCAATTGTTTTGCAAAGAAACGGTAAAACTAAAGGATATTTTAAGACCAGAGTAAAAAAAATCAAGAGTCAAAAGTCTTTGTAACAGTGCGAGGACCTGTTTTCCTCAAACATGGCTGTGTGAACCGGCTGCTGCTCGGACCAAGCTTGTCTAATTAACCATTTATAAAGTTACTGAAACTCAACAATTGCGAGTTCTTTTATATCAAGCCTCTCTCAGACCAGAGTGAAAAACGGCGCTCCCATGGCTCAGTGTCCCCGATTTGAATCCAGTTGCATCTCTTGTTCACTCATTTCCTATCATCTCTCCACTATTGCTATCTAACAAAGACGTAAGTGCCCAAAATAAACATAAACTTAAGACTGTTTCTCTAATGTTCGATTTAAAAACTGACGTACTCAACATATGTTTTGCACTCACTCAATATTTTGGTCATTAATAAACTTCCATAATGCATCCCCAGCCTTCTCCCCCCCCAAAAAAGTACGCACTTCTTCTATCTCACACTTGTGCAACCCCCGGCCTGCAGGCCACACCGCCGTACAGATTAAATGTCTGTATCTTGTAGTCCCAGAGTCACCATCTGACAACAGGCCGCCATGTCCTGAGAGGTTGGAAATAAATAAATAAATAATCTTTGTGGCCTCTTGATGAACTGCCAACCAATGCAAACTCCGGACAGGATTTTTATCCCAGCAGCTTGGACGTCTGGATTACGGCTCTGGATGGTCGTGCCATGAGAGCTGCTGCAGATTTCACTGAGCAGCAGAAAAATCCTGCAGCACTCCAAGGGGGGCTGAAAATACCAGGAGCACAGCGGGGGAGACACAAACATAAGAGTCTATTTTTGAAAACGTTGGGTAACAGCAGCACAAAGAACTAGAAGGACAGAGGTTTTTTAAGTTCACCCTCTGTGTCGTCTTTGTCAAAGGAGCTCAGATTAAGGAGCCTTGTCTGGGATGAAAGCAGCGAGGAGACCAAACCATTAAGCTGTGCATAATTCACACAGCGGCATGACATTCACAGGCGGTTTTTATCATAATCCAACACCTTACAGTAATCTCACAGAGGACATTCATCCAACCCCAACTGCATCCAGACAGTGTATATGTATTTGTAGGGATACAAACACTACTCAGATCAACATGCAACCAAAGGTGCACAATCACAACTGTGTACACCTGGTGCTTGCAGAGGGGAGGCGTCAGTAATCCATAACCTGTAGCCCTGTAGACCTGTAATGGTTCTCCATTTTCATTTTCTTCAACCACACTTGTTCTGCATGTGCACTTAAAAAATAGGCAGCCAGCCCCTGTGGACAAAAATAGTAGTGTTTCTACCACCTCATTTCATTGATTTCAAGGGGAATCTGACTGAATCCAACCCGGTGGCAGGCAGAGCCAATCTTCTCTCCGATGGTCTTGTGTGCTTATGGAGGTCATATAGAGGCATCAGTATTAAATTGAGACTGTTTAATAACCAGTTAAAAACTTAATATGTTTAAATCTGTTTGTGGAGAACTGTTTTGGAGCTTAACATGACAGTTAGGCGGAGCCAGCGGACTTGACATACTGCAAGTTGAGCTGCGCAGTTTTGACTCGTCCATAGCAGGAAACAATGGCGGCTCACCTGGTCACACACAATCTCGTATTACAGCTAAACAGAACACTAAAATATGTTTCTGAAAAGGTTTTAAGTGAGAAATGGTCAACGCAGTAACAAAATCTAGCTTCGTATTTGATCAGCAATGCCTAGACTGACAGTTTAATCTGAGTTTTGTGCACTGCGCTGATCGGACTCACTGAGTGTGACCTGTCAATCATAAGGTAGCCCCACGCAAAAGCATACATGACTTTATCATCTATTTTACTGAAAATTGGACCATCATTTACTAAATGAACATCAAAATGTATGGAAGAAGATGTAAAACTAGCGATTGAGACCATAAACTCTTTAGGAAACTGTTTACTGAGCTCATAAATTAATTGATAAGTCGGCTCATTCTCCATTAGAGTGAGTGGGATCGCTGTGTTTTTGCAGCCAATGGAGCTCCCCCTGCTGGCCTTTACATAGAATGCAGGTTTTGAGACACTAGCACTGGTATTCACAGTATCTTCTTTTTAATCTTTCACTCCATGCTTTTATACACAAACACAAACAAACCTTCAGGTCTCCTACAGCAGTGCCATCGATTTGGTTTTACACAGATGTTTGTATGATTGTGACTTGTAGTGATATCCTATCCAAGATCTGAACAACACGTTTAGCTTCTTGGCTTTTTTTTTTTTTACACTCAGTTGCTGCATTTTCATTAATAGTGTACTTTAATTTAGTTTTATGAGTAATTAAGTAAAATGTAAAGTAGTAAAAATAGATATAGATTCAAAACATTAATATAGAGAAAAACAATATGTTTCTTATTTTGTTTCTGTCCATATTGATTAAATCCACGGTAAAATTACCGTGGATTGTCTATGGAGTCTGGTGGCGAGCAACAGCAATATTATGGCTGTTTCTGGTTTAACAAAAGACAGAATAACAATCTGAGCCTGTCAGGGGCAAAAACAAGCACTGTTAGTGGACGTACTTTGACGGGTGCATTTGTCCCCAAGGACGTACATGGCAGCCATAGCTGCCCGTTTCGCGGCTCTTTTCTCATCCAGCTCAGTGAATAATAGTTTATTTCAACCAAACCAGAGTTAGAGATTGTTGGAAAGACAGTGGAAAGAATACTTTGTGAGTTCCATTTTACTTCAGCCCAGTTTCAAGTGTGTTTTACGATTATGTCCTAGGTAAAATTACAGGCTTTGTCACTGGAGTCTGGTCGGCCATAGTGCCCATTGTTTTGGTCTCATGTTGGCGCTCTAGTGCAACAATGAGTGGCAAGTGAATTTTGTACATAAAACTTTTAAAAGGTAAGGTTACGTGTTTTTTCTCCAGCTTAAAACTTTACAATCATCAGTATTTTTCCTCTGTCCAATATACTACAAATGTTATGAATAGGAACTGCATCAAATCTGCAGGTCAGGGCTTTTATTTTTTTTAAATGGTTATATATTAAAATTATGAAAGAAGGAGGAGAGAGATTCATTCTTCCGGCTAATTCCTTTGTCGCTGCATGTTTTCAGTATTTAGTATTTAAGTATTAAGTCTGAGAACTGCCCTCTATTTTTTTTTTCTTTTTCCACAGGGTGAGCAAATGTAGCTGGAGTTGTTTGGTCGTCTTAATGCTTTTACATAAGCGGTTTGTTTCTTTGCCCCTTGTCACTTTCCCTCATGTTTGAGTAGTGCTGCATTACTAAGGCCCAAGGCCATTATGCAATGTCCATATGCAATGCATGTGCGAGCCAGATGGAGGGACAAATGCCACTCACAAATCTGTGATGAGAGTAGAGAGAGAGGGAAAGAGAATCAGTGTGTGCATGTGCCCTGCACAGGTATAATCTGGATCAGCAGAGAGCATGAGGTGACCTAGAGAGGCGAACTAGACACTGGAAAAATATGACATATTACAGTTTTACATGAAACAAAAGCCTGTTCATCTCACTGCTGCAGTATTTTTCCTTTCAAGAGCTGGTAAAGTGACATAGTGCAAGCTGAAGAATGAGACAGCAGCTCAGTTTAGCAAGTACTCACCACAACCAGTCTGATGACAACATTTCCTAGAATTGTTTCTGATGAAGTTTACGTTCTGCGATTACACATAGTAAGTCTTTCAAGGCTGATTCTGATTATTTGTTTGAGCTAGGATCAGCCAGCAAGATTGCAGGACAAAGCACTGTACATTGTCTGACCCTTACCCATTCACACACCAATGCCCGTGGAGCTGCCATTCACAAAGCTGGCCCGGCCATTAGGGGATATATCTGAGGTTCACTTGTGGACAGGAGCAGCTAAACCACTGAACCAAGCCTGCAATTAGTGGGTAACCGGCTCGATTTACTGAGCCGCAGCCTACACCTGGTTATACTTTAGTGTGGGTCTTTTTCACAGAAGACATAATGTAAGTGTAAATCATAAAGTGATTGATGGCTGAGTGGCGGAGGTATTGTGCATGCTGGCTGTCACACTGTGGTAGGCAGGGGACAATATGAAAATTTCATGTCACGATTTTTAACACCAAAATAACTGCGAAACACGATATTACCGTGTTAACATACTTCACTTTACATTTAGTTAGGAAACATATTTATTGCCTCACAGAAAGACCCCTCATCTCCCTGTTCTTTACTTCAGAGTCTATACTATTTCCACACATCCGGTTTTTTCTGGAAAGCCGAGCCTTCAGCCATTGTGACAGTCTAAGGATTTTAGAATAACTGGAAACATTTGGGCCGCCCCCTTGTTCCTTTGTTTAAAATAAAATCAGGAAATCAATATAGGACTGTATGCTGGAGAGGTAGACAGCTTTTTTCATGTCAAGCCTGCAATAAATCCTCCCTACATGTAGTTTATGTATAAGGCTCTGTTCTTATTAAAACTGTTTCAACTGTATGGTAATTTTAGGGGATTTTGGAACATTATAACCTTCACGTAGGGAGGATTTACTGTAAATTAGAGTAGGTGTTTAAAGGTTTTACACACCGCTGTACAATCATCTGAATTACCTCTCAGCATGAGGCAACACCACTCAAGTTTTACATTAAAATTCAACAGCCATAAAGATGAATAAAAACACAACAGTTTCACTTTATAACCTCCCTACATTTAGCCTGTATTAAGCTATACATAATAAACTGGCAACTGAGTGTATTAACTCCTGCTGTCAGCTAGGATAGGCCTCCATGTAGTGGAGTGGGACAGCCTAGCTACATTACCCTTAAGAGGCGGAAAAGTACAATGCAAGTCTCACACAGTGATAGTGTTGGCTGCCATTTCAGGAATGGTATTTTCCCCCTTTGGACTTATTTTTGACGACTCAAAATAAGTTGTAAGTTACTCCTCTGAAACTAAAAGTGGCTGTCTGCTGACCGGTAAAAACACAAAGCACACACACTAACTAAATACACAACAGTACAATGGCAGCCCAGCCCCACTCTGTTCCTCTCATGTATTTACACTGCAGCTACAAGCACACAGACACTGAGGCCTCAACGCACTGTAGGTCACACTTGAAGTTTGGCTAACAAGTAACCATTAGATAAAAGAGAAAATAACAGACTGCTGCCTCTAAGAGCACGATAAAAAAAATGTTGTTCCCTCCTGAACCTGCCGAAATGCAACCATACGACCTGTAGGCATCAGTACAATGTCCTAATATGGCAGTGAGCGAGAGCCACGAAGGACGGTGGAAACATGTCGACGTCCCGGGCGAACAGGGCGATACACTCACCGTCTGCTCCTGCTCCTGTGCGGCCAGAGGTTAGTCCCTGAAGTGCGGGTGGATGTGAAGGGTGCAGAGGGCGACGAGGGCTTCAACGGGGAGAAGTTTTGGGAAGTATTTTGATTTCGTCGCGTCCTAATAATGATTTCCTGGTTCTCGCAGGTATGTGGGCGTGGCTTAGATACTGCAGGTGTGTGTTAGGTCAGGGCTGTAGTTTCGGATGTGACTCCCTTCGGGTGCGGCAGGTGGTGTCGTTCTCCTGAGTCACCCATCCTTCGGCCTAAACGTGACACGATGACTCAGTTTACTACAGACACATAAAGAAAACAGCGGACACCGTGAGCAAATTCATCTTGGACTGATGGGAAATGAAGGATTTTTCCCCATCAGTCCAAGATGAATTTCTGTTAATAACCACACTAATTCTAAGTTATTTCATTAATTGATCTTTAAATGGGCAATAAAAAGAGAATGGATTAATCGATCAATAATACCTGCACTGTATTAATATTTATAGCCTAAATCACCAACATGAAACTACTGTATGTATTTTTTTCAATCACATCACTTCTGTATATAAAAAGCTGTATATAGTGTACATATTTATAACACTTATTCTTCTTTTTCTATTTCTATTATATCTTGTATTTCTTTTATTCTGTTCTTATTTAATGTGTATTTAATGATCTATTGCGTTGTATTTGGAGCTGCTGTAGCCAGTGAATTACCCCAGTGTGGGATCAATAATGTCGTATCTCATAAATCAGTCAAATTTAAAAGGTGTTACTTAGAGAATGAATGATTGATGAATATCAGTGACAAATGTGATAAACCATGTGCGCATATAGCCTATGTGAATAAATCACAAGTAAGGTGTAAAGTTATGGGTTTTTTGTATGTGATTTCATACATTTCATATGTGGAATATCACCAGACGCTCATATCACTCGAATTTCTCATAAGAATGGCAAATATGATTTGTCATCTGAGTAAAACAAGGCTACTGTTCTTGTTTATCAGTCAGTTGCCTGGGATTACATGAAAAGTTACATTTATTATCTAAATCTAAATTAGACTTAAAATGTTTAACATGTATCGTACATATCGTAGTCTAATAATCACATTATATTGTTTACACTGTGGTCTTGTCAGCATATCAAGCTCAACTTTGCTCTGCAAGATATGAAAAGATATGTTCTTTATGTTTGCTTATCACCTCAGTTTCTCTACTTGAGTTTCTCCCCTTACAATCACTTTGCATACGAATGCAAATACTGTTAGTGACCAGATGCTGCCACCTCTGTTTTCTACTCATGCAGAAAAGCTACAGAGTACAATAGCAACCGGCTGTGATTTTGGCACTTGTCTGACCGGTTCAACCTGTTCAGGTTAAGACACTCTGGCATGTCTGATGTTATAAAAGCCGAGTATAAGATCTGTTAACGCACACAATTTGTCATTTTCTAAATTAAACTCCACTCCGTGCTGAGAGGTAACATTTGCTGAGCTTTGAGCCACAACAGCCACTGTGTCATCTGGCATAGTGAAGTACAAGTCATGCAATATCTGAGAGGGAGAGAATACAGATAAAACCCTTCAACAAATTCTTCAGTAACATAGGCAAATATATGTTAATTATATTTGTTTACAAATTTGTTTGCAAACCCACCACTGCCAGCTATTTTAAAATCACACTTTAAAACAGAAAGTAAGTAAATGTACTTTGTTCATTTCCACCTCTGGCAGATGTTTTCATCCCAGTCAGATTAACCTAAATCCTCTAAACCTGCAGTGTTGGCCTCACACTCTGCTCTGTAAAACCATCAGTGGGTGAAGACCAACACACTTTACTGCACATTAAAAAATAAATCGATTGAATTGAGCCAGTGAAATAGTTTAACGTTAAATGAACTTGGATGCACAAAATATATTTATCTTTACTGTGACTTTAACATTATACACTATAAAGCAATCTGCCTGTTAACCAAACAGATTCATTGTATCATCCTTTAATAGTATATAACAATGGACGGGACACACATGCAGACAAGTAAAGACAAAGCTTACCGTCATTGACTGAATGTCTGTCTACAGTCTGATTGTATTATTGCTGTGCCCCCTTGTGTCTAAATAAAATATGACAATTGATGTGACTTATGCATATTTAACTTATTCATGGGATTTTCTTGACTCCTACAAAAGTTTATAGAATTAAACTGCTATTTGCTGACGACTGTACGCTATAGGTTTTTGTTAAATACACACAAATATATTCATGTTTTAAATTTCTCAGTTCACTTTTCCCCTACTGTATTTGTGCTGGAAGATCCCTTTCCACTATATATGTAACTGATGTAGTTAATGTTTTTTAAAAAAAATAAATACTGGTAATGACTTTTTAAATCAAAATGTTGGGTATACACTTAGACAAAATTATGATTCTCAAAAAAGCACATTACATTAAATATTAATTTATTTCACAGACAAGTCCAAAGTATTGCAATATTACAGTTGTAGGCCTATAAATCTCATAAAAGCACAGGTTTTTTAAACTTTTGAAGGCACATGAACAAAAAGAAGACATTTGACATAATGTACAATGTATGGTCATTATTTGCCTCCAGGATTCAAAACAGTTTTAATAGAGATGAAATGTACATTCTCTAGGGAAATGACACAGGGAGGCATGAAAGGTTGAGAACCAAAAACAGGTTTGAAGGTACGTGATTACAGCAGTAAACATTATAACATGAAAACCATCTTATAACAAGAAACAAGCAAATACTTTTTATCATGAAGGCAGCGGATTCTGTATGTTTGAAAGAAAATACACAAAGGATATAGAATAATTAATTATTGTAAAATCATCTATACATAATGTTTGTAAGGTAGCATAACACTCTCTATCACTCATGCGTATTTGAATGTGTCGACAGATGAATTGGCATTTTTCATTCAACATGGCTCTATGTAATTATATTATCTGAAAGCAACAGCAGACAATTATTTTCCCTGCAGCTGATTCAGTTACAATTTAGACATTTGAAACATTTGAAACAGAAAATCAGACATCCAAGACTGAAACTTTTTGAGCACTGTTGTTGAACTAGCAGCAAAGTGTACAATAACAGGAGAAGAAACTGCTTCGTAGTGTTTTATATTAACACAGTGGTTCAGTGATCTCACCCCACACAGACTGTATCCCTGTCTGCTGATAATGGGACTAACAGAACCAGTGGTTTGGCACATATATTTAGTTTTACTCCGAAGCGAAAGGCACAGAGGCACAGAGTGATGCTCACAGTGGAGAAACTGTTACTGCTTGTAGTTTTTGTCACATTCACACAGTTGTGAGGTCCTCCTGATGGCTGTGAGGTCAAAGGTCAGACGTACAGGTGGCGGGAGAGGAGTCTTCACTCATTTCTCTTCACTAGAGAACAAAAAAGATGTTTGTCATGTTTGTCATTTAGGTAACAAAGGATAAAAGTTGGTGTTAAAAGTTGAACATTTACAATCTGGACACGGATGGATTACTGAATGGGCCTATGGGACACAGAGACTGTGTGTCTCTGACCCTTTAATATTAAGTTACCTGCTTATAACAGGTGTTTTTTCCTACTTAATACTACAGTCAGCAATTAATTAGCTTACATTTAGATTAGTAAAGCAGCTGTTTTACAGCAGAAAGCTGAGGTTTAGGGTGAGTCTTAAACCAAAAGCTGGACTTAACATTGATGGTTAATCTGCACAGGGCGGGGGTGGTGGGGCTGGTAGGTATGAGAGAGGTCCTTTTTCACATCTGTGCCAGGGGCCCATTGTTTCATAATAAATCCATGCTGCTGTTATCTTCTTTAATACTCACATTAGTCTTGTGAAAATTCCATACAGCAATGCAATACAGTTCTTACATAATTCTTTGTGTAATTTAAAGGACCATACCACTGTATTTTGCTTGACATTTATTTAAAGCAAAGACATTAGAGTTCTGCTGGGTTCAGGCCTCAGTTTTAGCATTGTGCAGCCTGGACCCTGACCCTTCAACCGTCAAAGTCTTTGTTATCCATGAAGGAAAAACAGGCTTCATACTAACACAATAACAAAAACAATCTCCTTCATCCATTCTGATGAGATGTCTCCCCCTGGTGCGAAACCTTGTACATATCTCACTGTATATACTGAATAGGGCTCAACTAATTTCATTTTTATGTATCCAGTGTATTTCTTTTAGGATAAGGAGGTTTTTTTGTATCATGTGACCTCTTTATTGTAGGTGAAGCTGCTCTGAATATATACCGTGTAACCTGTTTTTCCTTCACATGGATGTTTACCTGATGAAGACCGTGTCAAAATATTACTTTCTTAATCTTTTGGAAGCCTGCTATATTTCCTCAGCGTGTGTGTGACGTTACTGCTGACCAGTTTCCAAAACATCCGGCAGTGTTTTATTAATAGTATTTGTTTGGGGTTTTTTTACCCTTCAGGCAGCAAATGGTTTCCATAGACTGTAAGGTTGTCCATCAAAGGCAGCATCATTGATCGAATTATTTTTGTCGAAGTTGTGATAACACTATGAGAACAGATTGACTTGGGAAAAAAATCCCTATGGTACTACACTACAGTAAACTTAATGCAGTGTCTGCCTGAAAGGAAGGAAACTATTCCAATATTTAAAACACTAAGACAGCTTTGGAAGTTCAGCAGTAATATACAGTGTATAACATGTAATTAATTGGGTCAAACATGCAGAAACATTGTTATGATCCTTTAAATAAATACAAAAAATTAAATAATGCAGAAAAAGAACAACTCTTTCCTCGTACTATAGACTGGACTTCATTCTATTTTGTGGGTTAAAGGTTAAAAACAGCTGGGAACATCTCTCGGACCAGTTAAGGATAAAGGGCTGTCATGTGTTCAAGAACTAGATTTCTCTTCCACCCTGACTATAGTTTTTGAATCCCACTGTTTTTTTTGTCAGAGGCTTTGAGAGTAGATTAACTCCGACGTCTGCAGGCTTCCCACAGAGCCCGAGGAGAACTGCTTAATGTGGGCCGAAGAACAGCTTCACATAAGCCTGAATGAGGATTTGGTGCTTATGTAAGAGAAGTGCTGCAGAAAGGGGGATTCATGGAGGTTTCTCAGGCTGACACAGACGTAAGGACTGAAGGGGGAGAGCAGGGGACTGGACTCTGCTGAGTCATACAGTATAAATGTCACAGGATGCCAGTGGGGCCTCTAGGACCCAAGAGCCACCACCACCAAAGAAGAAAGTTGATGGAGCTGACATCAAACAGTGCCTTTTCCAAAAGAGATTGATTGGAAACAATCAATAGGATAGTCTATGGATGTCATTTGCTGCTTACAGTTTATGGATGCTGGAACACAAACGACTGATCAACTCCAGCTGGGTCGCCTGGGTGAGACTGTGTGACGCTGAAAATGCAGAGACACCCAGTGACCCCTGGATTCATTGTGAATAATGTTCCCAAATACACCAGTACAGAAAAGTATTAGGCCCACTGTTATTTGTGTTTTGTTTTAGAGAAAATGAATTGTTAAGTTATGAGAATACTGCCATAACATTATGAAAATATCGCATGAGTATGTTGTAATATCACAAAATACCACTTATAAATACCCCCTTACCATAGATTCTATGACACTGAAACTTTTGAGCCTGATCATCCCAAATTATTTTATCCTCCATCCTTGACAATATGAATTATATCAGATGTTGTTGAGTAGCCTTATATCTGTTTAAAATTAAAAAAATCTAGGAATTTTCCCCCAAACTGTGGCCCCATACTCTATCGTACACCAGGTGTCACAAACTGCGTACAGCACGCAGCATTTAACCACTGTTGACTGTTAAAGGTAAAATAAGGTAAAATTATGCCCATTGTTCCGAAACCACCAATAGTCCAAAAAGTTACCAATTGGACCGAAAGCCCATTTGTTTAACAGCTCATTATTCTGAAAACAAACACCCACTGCTCCGAAGGCCCATTCCAAAAATACTCAGTCTGGTATCACCAACTTATGTACGTAACTCAACTGACATAACTAACATACCTATTTTAACCCTTACAGGGCACTTTATAGGGACATTTGAAATTTTAACCATGGAGTGTTATTAGCGGATATAAGAAGACATTTTTTCTTTTTTGACTTTTTAAAAAAGTTTCAGTTTTAGGCTGCAAATCAAAGTCAATGATGTCTAGGTGGGCTAGCACAAGATCAATCTGTGGCACAGCAGGCCTCCTCTTCCCATAGAAGGACTGAGCAGACAGCTGCTGCAATATACTATGAAAATATATAATATATTCCATAAAGTAATGAAAATATGATTCACTTTATTGAATTCATGTAAAAATTCATATTTACCTGCACCCCAGCAAATATTGGCCTATTTAGGCAAATTTCTGATTATTTAGATTTTAATGGAAAAGGCTGGAGAGATTCTATATTTTTCCTGAGGCTAAATGCTACAGAGGATAGGGCCTATTGAGAGACAGACTAAAACATTGTTTGTTTTAGTCTATTCATGGGATTTGGGATTTGTTGTCAAGCTAAATATAGAATAGCACAAGCCTTACCCTTTAACCCTGGAATTGAAAATATTTTTAATAAAGATTGTATAAAATAAAATAAAATAAAATAAAACATTTCCTACCAAGTAGACGTCCAGTTCAGAGTCTGACTGGCTCCTGCTGAGAGACGGCAGAGGATCGTCCAGAGCAATTGTTGAACTGGAGGCTCGTCGGGCTTCACTGCAACATAAGAATACAAATAAATACAGTAAACGTGTACTGAGCGTTTGAACAAGAGACTAAATAACTTAAGTTGAATCAAGGTTAAAAATATCACTGAATTTCAAAATAAGATAATAATGAGAAGTTATGCAAAATTAAGAAAAAGAAAAATGAAGCCCACACACTTAATCAGGTTCTCCTAATACATATATTTTTTACATGCATTTTGACCACATGGGCCTTTTTCAAGAAAAAAAATACAATACTATACACACAAATATAATGAAGTGATCAAACAATCTCAACTTTTCTAAATTCCTGGAAAACTGTGTTGTTAACAGACAGAGCTTAGATCTGAGAGCTGCAGACAGTAAAGTACCTGTTCTCAGTGTCCTCTTCATCATTTCTGCTGGACTGGAAGGAAACAGCAGATCTTGGCAGAAGATCTGGTTGCTTGGAGGAACTGTAAACTGTTGCAAAAAGCAGAGGAAATATGAAATGACACAAAAGAAATGTACAGAAAACGTTGGCTGCTACATCATATAAAATGTGAGCCTACAGTTTCCATCCAGGTTGTCCATGCTTTGGGCCTTCTTCTCCTCCTTCTTCTCCTCCTTATGTGGGGACAGAATCTCCTGAGAGGCTGACTTTACTGTATAGAGGGAATTCCTCTTCCTCTTCGAAGATGCTCCTCTTAAAGCTGAGAGACACAAAGAGAGAGACTATTAAATATAGAATATGCTGAATGCAGAATACAGGGTTATGTATGTGTAATGACTTACGATGAATCTTTTTAAATACAGTCGAGCCCATGAATTTCAGAAATCTGTCCGCATAAAAACTGGGCCTGTGAACCGACACTGTGTCCTGAAAAGAAAAGAAAGCTGTCAGATACACACACACACACACACACACACACACACACACACACACACACACATAGATAGTTGGACAGGCAAGGAAGAGGATGTGAAGTTACATACCCCATCATGTACAAGAGCTTTCCAGGAGTGCTCCACCTTCTTGATGAACCTGAAAATAAGCATTGAAAATACATGTATCACCTGTTTATTATAATAATCATACACATACCGTATACTGCATGTCTATGGCGCCTGGTGGCAAACTCTACTGATATCAGTATATTCATATATAAAGTATATGTTAAATATGTTAAATCAGTAGAGAAACATAAACAAGTGTGTACAAAAGTACAAATGAAAAGCTTTTTTCAAATTAATTTTCAAGATTTTACAATGTTATTTCTAATTAATCCTTTAAGACAGAATAAGAAAACTAAACTAATTTACTAATTAATTAATTTCACTTTCAATTTCTCAATGTTAAATTTTAAAGTTAATTTTAAAGTCTAAATGAGCCCTCTGGTGAAATGTGTCTGTATACAATAGAGAGGAACTACAGTCTGAAAAGTGTGTATGTCTGTGTGTGATACTGCGCTCACCTGTAGGACTGAAGGATGTCGATGATTCCTAGGAAGATGAGAAGGTTCTCATCTTTATGTTTGGCTGGAATTCCACCAAATCTGGAAAAAAAGATGCATTCATGAATTTTTCAGTTTTTATAATGGACATTTTAATTCCCTTTTAGATGTTCTTAATAATTAGTAAATTATAGCTGTAGCACACTACACAGTGAATAAATTGGAAGTGTGTTAAGCGAATCATAACCAAAAGATAACTGTCAGACTGTAATGGTTTTTTCACACTGCATAAAAACATCTCTGGCAGTGACCTACTCACAGCTACAAAAATAACTCTAATATAAAACCAAGGTGTGAAATGTGATGTTATGTTCTCTATTTCTGAATATTACATGACATACAAAGCCCCCCCCCAAAAAAAGGGAATAGTGTACAAAGAAACTGCAAAAGGTTTTCTCACGTGTCGTCATCAACCACTGGTTCGGGGTCCTTAACATTCCCCTGGATGGACTCGAGGGCGGTGGAGTAGAGGACTTTCTGTCCTTTCCTGCTGTCACATCGGCTTCCTCTGCCCAGCGGCTTCCGGTCCAAAACGTGAATCCCCAGTAGGAGACTGTAGTCCATGATCTTAAAGCTCTCCAGGACCTGATGGAGGAAAGAAACTCAGAAAGTAAGCTACTCCATTTTAAGGGAAATTAAACTAAAAGATAAAAAAAACTAGGAAAGTTAAAGTAGCACACATTATTACAACAACTGCTTCATTTAGTGGCTGAAGTTGTAATAAAAAGTCACACCTTTTCCATTTACAACAGCCAACAGTAACTTCCCAGTGTTAAAGTTGAAGAGTAGGGTCCGTTTGCACATTAACTGTGTGCCAATACAGCGCTACTAAAGATTTCAAAGTTATTTTTTGATATTTTTAGATCTTCAAGCTGTCTCATCACAGTAGCATCATACTAAACAACAAATTTGCATGCATAATGACATTTTCTTTAGTGAGAAAATACTAAATCGGTAGGTTTAGTATGTTGTATGGAATAGGGACTGACACTTTCTTCCTTCCTTCCTTCCATCAAGCATGACCTCTGATCTCCATCAGAGTATTATGTCACTTTCTTTTACTATGAGATATTATCCATTTAATAATAAGTATTTGACTAATGTAACGAAACAAGACTGTAAATGGTAAAATAACATTTTAACCACCCAAAGTAAACTTTTCTTAAACAAGCTTGTTGACCTCTCTTCAACATCCACGCAGGTACCAACGGGACTAAACCCGGATCTGCACAACCAAAAGTACAGTACGTCTCAATCCCTCTGACCAACACTGATGTCATGAGGTAGCTCTGGTAAACAAAGGGCCCAATAAGAGAGGGCCAGATGGGCCAGTTTGTGCTCCAGAGTCCAGCTGCTCAGCCTGATCATGAGTCAGGTGCTCTGCTCTGCTGGGCGTTAATCCTCCATCAAGTGGCCACTGTTGTTTCACACTAATGAAATAACAGGCAGGCGCTAATGAGGTCATCATAACAGCCTGAGATTGAGCAAAGGGAGCGTGGCTTACTGAAGTGGGCTGTCCCGGTTATATAATGTTATCGAAGGGGCCGAGCCGGTGCGGTGGTCACTGGCTGAATTCAGTTCAGGCTGTGTTGCGGAAAGATTTAAACCCTCTGTGAGCGTTCTTTGGGCTGAAATGATAAGTCGATAAACAATGCTATTTATCAAGCAAAACTGCTAGACATGGTCTGGTTTCAGTTTCTCAAGTGTGAGAATTTGCTACATTTCTCTCTTTTATATGACTGTAAATTAAATAACTTTGGGTTTTGGAATGTTGGTTAGACTAAACAAGACACTTGAAAATGTCACTTTGGGCTCTGGGAGTTTTTGATTTGCATTTCTCACAATTCTTTGTAATTGCATAGAGAATTTTTTTTTATATAAATTAATTGGTAATGAAAAAAATAGCCCATTGCAGACTTTGTCTCATTCCTAATAACATAAAGATATAAGTTTAAACATTATAAAAGCATACCAAACACCTTGATGTTTGACTGTCCCTAAACTGCTACCTGCAGATTTCTCCTGTTGGCCTAAGGTTGTTGCTGTCAGTTGGCCATTCAGTATGATCAACGTTGTAATCCAAAGCCAGATATCTCAACCCCTATTGTCAGTTAATTTGATGCATTCATGGTCCCCAGGGATGAACCCTAAAGGTTTTTAGGTGCCTCTGTGGGGTTCAAATTCACTTTGACCAACACTTTGGCCCATGAAAACGGATCTCAAAAGCTCAGGGCTGTTGTTGGAAGAACCGCAATCTATTTATCGCCCTGTCATGGAGACTAATACCACCTCCTAATCCATTGGCAGCCAAGTGTCCCCAACTGATTGGACAGCATATCATTGCCACAAATTCTTTCCACTGGGATTGTAGTGGGATCTCACAAAGAGCTCATAAAGATTAAAGTTTCCTTTTGGACTCTTTGTGACAATCTTGTTCTTAGACACTGTTGTTGTTGTAAACTAGAAGTCAACCAATTGTAAAGCTTGATTTCATATTAATGGTCCCCAGAGGATAAACTACTTCCATAGTTCTATGACTTTTCGTTTACCGCCACCTTCAGGTCACAACTCTTACACATGATATCTTATAATCAAACAGGCAACCTCTAGCACCACTCCTCAGGTCTCAATTTATATTTTAATTTACTAGTAAAGTTCTAAGAAAGCACCAGACATCATCTGTTAGGCTATATTGTTTGTTCTGTCCAACAGTATAATGAATATTTTAGCCTTTAGATTTTTAGCCTTGTTAAAAACGTTTTAGAAACATTAAATGTAATTTTGCTTGTAAAATGAATTAGGATCACAATAAATAAGTGAACATGTAAGAATGTCTCGAGGAGTGAAAAATGTCTGTAACTCTGCCTTGAATGCACTAACTCAATATTTTGAACAGAAAAGGCATTCCAAGATCTTTGTGTGAACACACCCGACAGTCCCTCTGCAGGGTCTTCATCAGGGCATTGTAGGTGTCTGAGTCGAAGTGCAGGCCCTCGTGCATCTCCTGGAAGTCCAGGTCTTTGAACGTGGGCGATTGCTTGGCGCTCTCTTTGCGCGAGGCGCGGCGTTTGTACGAGGAACCCTTCAGGTCGTACTTGTAGTGCATCTTCATTGCGCACGGCAGCACATTGTTCATCACCACCACGCGGACTGTGATGCCGCTGCACTGGATGCAGTAAAGGCCGTAGAACTTTGGCAGCAATGTCCTCGGATTCTGGTTCAGATTCTATAGTAACAAAGACAAAGCAAATTTTATTATATATATGTTAGTCATACAAACTTAATTGATTTATGAATATGGTTTTAAGCTACATGTAGGTCCCTCAAAAAGATGAAAAAAGTTACAGGAATTTAAATAAATAACCCCGAAAGGACATGTCTCAACTGAAAAGCTGGTTATTTGTAGTTCAAAGAACATATGAACACACAGGAAGAACTGTGAGCTGTTTCACCACAAAACCTTCCCAAAACTAAGATGGTGGTGGTGGTGGTAAGAGGAGAAATTTAAATACCAATCAGCTGCGTGTAAATACAAACTTTAGGGTAGTCAAGTTATTGCAATGAATGTAAATTATCTGATATGGCCACATTCAGATGTTTCTCAGTAACCACCATGGGCCTGATTTATAAAACATACACTTAGGGAATGCTGAAAAAAAAAAAAAACTTTTCTCACCAAATAGTTAAGAAGACTTACTTGAAGAATTTTTATCAAGAGACTCACTCCTACAGTAAAGTGTGGGAGGAACCTTTGAGTGATCTCATGATTAATCACATGTATACTTTAAGCAAAAATAGCCAATCAGACACAGCCTACATCTGGCCCACTGATCATTCTTTCTAAAAAAGATACCTCCAATAGCACTTAACATGCGGAAGAGAAGTCCCACATAGACAGGGATGACATGAAAAAACCCCTCCTGCTACTGGTAGGGGAGGTATACATCAGAGAAAACACACAGTATGATAAGGGGAATTTAATACCACAGTGACCACTGTCTGCTTTGCAAGAGACTGCAAACAAAATGAATGCCAGGTGCAAGAACAAATCTTGTCGTTTCCACCACTGAGGAATGCAAAAAAGGGGTGTAACATCCTATCAGAAATTTGCCCTGAGATAAGAGCTTACAAGAAAGATGCAGCTGCAACTCGTAAACTAAATCTATGTGTTCTCCAGAAAGGTTGCTCAGTGGTGTACTGAATAAACCTCAGTGCCCCTTAAGCAAAGGTCACCAAGTGTATCATCCACTGACATTTCTATGGCTACTGGAGCTACTGGAGACTACTTATCATGATTCTGAATGCAGTCTTTGTTCGCACATTCAAGTTTTTTAAATTTTGTTGTAAGTAAACTACAATAATGGTTATACATGGGATTCAGTCTTATTCACAGGTCGTCAAATATCAACATTATGGGCCCGGATAGTAGAGCCTGGTAGAGCCACGGCGCACCATGTACCAAAGTTGAATCCTTGCTGTAGCTGCCCAGGGTTCATAACTGACCTGTGGCCACATGTCATCCCATGTTTACATATTACAGCAAAAGAGTAAACTAAAATATATTTCTAAAAAGGCAACATTTGAGGAGAGAAATAGGCAAAGCAGAACAGAATCTTGATTCATATTTGATCAGCATTGCCTAGTTTTACAGTTTTAACTGAGTTTCGTGATCGTGCTGCTTTGGACGGACTACATTTGCATAAAGTTGAAGCTGAGTCCTGCTTATGTAAATTCATAAGGTAAACAGTCAGTCAACTTGCCACCGCGTATCCTTCAATTACTGCAGGGACAGATCAGTTGAAAGATCCGGTGTGTCTGTACCATTTTAATGTCCCCACAGGGGCGTTTTTGGATGCCCTTTCCAGCAATGGACGCTTATAGTCACAAAATAGACAAGGAATGGAAAGCATGGAAATGACTCATCCTGTGGACACTCAATGTGAACCCATCCCACTCAGGTGACATAGTATAAAGATCAAGAAACTCTGCACCTGGAGGGGGTGGGGTGGATGGCTCCAATAAACACAGGACATTTACCCAGGAGCCTGGGGTTCATGTTCCATGTGAAACCAAAAGTAATCACTGAGTTATTTTAAGTTTAAAACATAAACCATGTGCGAAAAAAGGCTTCCTGGCAGGAAGGCTTTGTGGCGGTCTAATGCATCTCACAGTGACGAGGTGCCGTGTGCATCAGTATGAGACGACGAGGGGCATGACAAAGAGTTGTGATTTGTTGACTAGGGATGAGAACGGGTTGGGGATGTTGCCTTTAACACGAATGTTCCTGCTTGTTGAGGGGTGAATGAAATGACTACCTCTGATCATAAAATTACACTGTACACAATTATGGCAGTGGAAAACGACCACTGGGCATGTTTACCAAAAATGTGTTGGTGTTAAAGGCACATATTATTAAGTTAAGTTAAGTTAATTATATGAAGTTAATAAATAGAGTTTATTTTACAATCTGTAAGTAGGAATAAGTAAGATATGGATTTATAACTGTATCTCTCATTTAAAGGTACCCTGTGCCTGTGGTTTGTACTGATGAGCAACACTAAGTGTTTATAAGAAAACTCCTCCACAGTCTACATATGTCTAGACTTGCACTTTTAGCAGTTTGATAAATATGTGTAAATGCAGTGACAGTTTGTGGTTGAGGAAGGCGCTCACCATGTAGTAACCAGGAAGCAGCTTTTGCAGGAACTCGGCCTCTTTATGCTGCACTGTCTTAATGATGAACTCATCATCGCTGGTGAGGTAGAACCAGGAACTGCTGGCGCCGGGGTTGGACAGCTCGATCAGAGGCTCATTACAGATGGAATACTGAAATTCAGAATGATGCAACAGTGTGAGCAAGTGTAGCAATGGAGTCAACTGAAACTTCTGCCACATCATACTGAAAAGGAAAAGATGATGATGTGAATCTCCACACTAACCAGATAGTCGTCTGGTTTGATGCCAAACAGCTCTCTGAAATAGCGAAAGGCCAGCGGCGCATACGTTTTCAGGCGGAAGTCTGGGAAATGATGTGCTGGAGTCAGGTTGCTGCCCTCACTGGGGAACATATTTAAAGTCAGGATAAGAAAATGATCAAATGTACAAACACAAAACAGCAGCTGGCTTACTGGGATACTTGAATTGAACAGGGCCATTGTTAACATTATGAGTTACACCTGAACTTTTTCTACTATGAGTCAAAAATGTCTGCTGTGAGAAAGGACTATTGCAGAAACGTGTGGTTTTCTACTAAATTACAAGTTATTTGGTTGTACATTTCCAAAAGTGACTTCCCCATTTTTGCGAGGTATTTTTGTTATGGGTAACAATACTTTAAGCTCATGCCCAGTCTATGTTGTCTTTTTGACAAATGATGATTGTGTATGAATTTGTGTTAGAATTAGTCAGAAGACAATAACTGCTTCACACCTATCTGACTCAGTTCCATACTACTGTAATCTTGTAGACGTACAGTGTTGATCAAGTGCTTAGATTATTGAACAGGATGTGATGTGTAATGGGGCAGAAAACTACTATCCACAGACATATTGCTGTTTTTTTATCCCCCTACATTTCACTGCAGTACACATAGAGACAGATATTCCAAAATCTTGGGAATATTGCACATATTTTGAACTCATTCGTTTATTAACCTGAAACTGACTTTGAATGTGTGCTTTAACTAAATGTCAACAATAAAAATGTGAAGAAAGGAGAGTGTACCTGGGCAGGAAAACGCTCTCCACCACAGAGAAGTCCTGCATGAGAACATCTCTGTCTGGTTTTGAGCTGAGGTTTCCCACAGCGTAACCGATGCCCAACTGGATGGCTCCTTTCAGGGCTGACGCCGTGGGCTGGCAAACCATAACAGAGAAGAGGAAAACATGTTGTTTAAGAAAGAAATTAACTACTTCATCATTGACAACTGCCTAACCTTTCACCAAAATCTGCTGAAACCTGTCAGATAGTTTTCAGCATGCAGTGTGGCTCAAGGGATGGCAATGTCAGTCAGCAGATCTCATGTGTTCACAGTGCCAATACTGATGTTTAGCAGGTAATATTTATTAAGTTCACCATCTTGGTTGACAGGGTTGGGAGGATTACTTTAAAAATGTAATCCAATACAATTCAGTAACCTAATCCAGCTATCACAATTTTAAAGTAATATAACTTGATTAGTTTCCCTTTCTTTTGTATTACCTCAACACCAAATATGTAAATAAAGACAAGATAAAAGAAGAATCAATAAGAAGTATTGACACAAGTGTATTCTTTAAAACAACAGAACAATATCACAAAAATGGAAAATGGAAAGATTTGTAACATCAGAAGTGTGTCCTCTGTTCAGAGTATTTTTGAAGAAAAACAGATGTATTTTATATTTGTAATCCTGCTAAATAATTTTCACTTTTACTAAATGTAACTGTAATCTGCTTGCGTCTTTTTTTTATGTAACTGTAATGGATAGTGTGATACAGTGACAGACAGTCAAAAGTGGATGGCTATGCATTTATGTTTTTTATTTCACTATTTTATTTCACTATTTTTACTATTATGCAAATCATGCATTACTGGTTTAAATATATAGTATATATATTACCGCTGTAATTAGCAGGAAGGCTGTTGGTTTTGCAGGTATTTGGTCATAAACCAAAGTATTGGACAAGCTGAAATTTCTACCTGAATGTGTGTACCTAATTTCATGTAAATCCATACAATAGTTGTCAAGACTTTTTACTTAAAACCAAAAAATGTCAACCTCATGGTGGAAAAGTCAGAGGAATGCCCTTTAAAACAAACTGTTTTGATGGTCTAATATAAGCTCCTCATAACTACAATAAAGAAGTGTGGAGACATTTTGACTACAGCATGAGGGACCTAATATAACCACAATATATAAAGAAATCAGTCTCTCAAATAAAATAGAAATAAAATGACTTGAAGAATTTTCTTCCAATAAACTGAACTGCAGTGAAATCTCTCTGTAAACAAAAAAAAGCTGATCAACCTAATCATCTTCTCCATCACCATTCTGTTCCCTTCATCACCAAACAGATCTGTTGCGCAACACAGCTGACCAACAAAAAAACACACATTTAGCTACAGTTAAGGTGCTAACTGTAATTATATATATTTATTTTCATTTTGATGGACTTTTTTTTACCTTCTAGATTTTGACTTTAACTTTAACTGCAATGTACAAGGTTTTATTAATAATAATAACACTTTGAATATGCAAAGTCTGTGTTTTTAAGGAGTAGATGAGGCCAATCTAATAAATTGTAGGATTTTGTTTTTATTTGAATAACCTTACACAATCATTTTTTAGTTTTGATATCAGCAGTGGTGTTTTAATAGTGCTGTCTTCCAAATGTTTGAGCCCTTTACTTAATTGAAGAGACTGTGGTTATTAGTAATGACCCCTGCTTACCTTTTTATGGTCCTTTGACACTTTGGAGGTTTTGGTTCCTCTTCCTACACTGTCAGTGCTGGCGGTTGACATCTTTTGGGCAGAGAGAACTTGATCAGAGGGAAGCTCGGATGTCCTTCCTCCAACTGTGAAGCAGGCTGAGTTCCTTTTTCCCCCCAACGATGGCTGACCTGACACAGTGATTCACCTTGAATGGGCTTTACGGAAACTGCATTTTCCAGGTACGCCACTCCTGTAGATGAGGTAGAGAGAAGAGGAGTTACACATTTGCATGTATGTCAACGCAAAGCAAAGTTTCAGCAGGTGAAAAACTGCACAGGTACGTCTGATAACCCAGGTTGCACTAGCATTTCAGGGCAATAACAATCTCATCTTGTTAAGATTTCTAATTTCCCTTTCCATTAACATCTTCCATATGACTTACAGAGCCTTAAAATGTGCAGACCTCTCTGTCCAGGGCACTGCTCAGTTCTGAGGGACCACCAGTGTTTTTGTCAGAGTCTTTAGCTCTAGAATCCGACACAACAACCCTTGATCCTAATTAAGAAGGATTGGAAAACCATTACATACCAAATTCCCCTGTTTTATAACAGTAGGCCTATGCAAAGGAGAATTTCTTGCTTACATAATGTGACCCCAACTCCTGTAAAAGGCCAGACTGATGTCCAAAACAGAGACAGAAACAACAAATACATTTCCTGCTGCAGTGCTTCAATAAGGAGTAGCTGTGGTGATTGCTGCTTTAATATTTTTCAATATTTTTGTATACTAAGCTATTGGAGGCATGGGAGCAACTCCAGAAAGGTTTATATAAACTATTACATAAAGATTCAAAACCTGACATTTCTATTCAATATATATTGGTCTGTAAAGAATTTAACAATTTAGGGAAATAGAAAAAACAATGACAGCAGTACAGAATAAAATACTGCAGCAACAGAAGTATTGTTTTGATACTGAGGCATATAAACCTGAACCTTTTTGCATATCAATGCCAACATGCCAATCTCATACATTTTTATATTTATTATTTATTTTTTTAAACCAACATAATGTGCCCTTTGTTTCTTACACATACAGATTCCTTTCATATCATATTGACTTTCTCTCATTTGAAAGCGTTGGATACCTTTAGCCATAGTAATTGATCTTGTACATGTTGTTTTAAACCATACCACATCTCAAATTTTAAAGGCTTTGATTTGATCAGCAACAGTTTTTGAAAAGTAATGTTGTTGATAATTGGTATGGCTCTCTTTTAAAGTATAAAAATATTTTGTATGTTTTATATGTTTTTTTCCATGCTTCCTCATAGTAAGCAATGTATGGAAGTATAAGTGAACAACACAAAGTATATAATGAAGCTTGATTTAAGTCCTTTTTTATACAGTATTGCAATAGGTTTTGATATTTTTGATTGGACATCATTTATATGTGGTTTTCACGATAATTTATTATTTTTAATAACTCGGATTTCAGACGTTTTCACCTATGATAAGTTTTGTCTTTGTAATGATAGTCTGTTATAATAAACACCAACACTAACTAACATTTTACAAGTTTCAGTTATTTTTCCAGCATCAATAAACAGTTTCAAATGATTCACAGAACAAAGTAAATTTCTATCATCTGTAAATAGAATACATTTTAATTTTTGGGAAACCTATAATATATCATAAATACATAAGCTATTTATTTACAAAATAAACAATAATGGGCCTGACACTGTGCCTTGAGGAATTCCACAAGTAACCTTAAATACGTTTTTATTAACACTATTCATCTGAACATATCGATACCTATTTTACAGGAAGCTACTAAACCTGGAGTGTGTAACCCTTCTAATGCCATATAAATACTGTATTAATTTGCCTACCTGGGTATTATAGAGGGTGGTCTGACTTAAGCGCTAAAGGCTTTTCCCATGAGGTGTTTGTACTTTTCCTGCCATGTTGCTCCAATGATGCAAACATTAGTGTGTGAAACACAAAAAGGTTACATTCCGAACAAAACGTCTATTTGTGTCTTGAGCAAACTTGCAAACTTCAGCACAGATCCTAACAAACAAACCCCTGTTTATTTTAAGTACTGCCTCAGGATGTGGTGTTGCGGTCTGACTCGAGGAGAATGAAACAGTTTCATAAGCGTCATGATGAGAGTCCTTGTTTCTCCAGGATTTGCCTTGCATTTAGGTTGTTTGCCTGTTTTAATTGGAGGATGAAGAGATCAAGAAACCTGCTAAAGATTAGTCATTTTTATAAACAGACTTAGTGGTTAGGGTAGTGAAAGGGGTTAATTACATATGTACAGTATGTGACAGTTCATTTCATGCTTCCTCTGCAGCACTTCACTCTGAATGACGTGAGAGCACAACGTGGGCACAGCACTTTGGACTAAGCATTTGTAAGTGCATTAGTTTGCCTTCTGCATAGTTATAAAGATTAGACGCATGCCTTTCCATTCAAAACAATGACAAAACAAATTCTTAGTGTTCCTAATTGCTATCACTAATATCAAAAATAATAAACCAGATTGCAAAACGATGATAGATAAAAAGCAAAAAGGCTTTTGACTGTGAATGTAAAACAGGTAGTGTTGTGTAGTTTTGTAGCATGTATAACTAATGAGTTAGGGGTTCAATTCCCACCTGGGACATAATAAATGGAGAATTGCAAGTTGTTGTAAGAAATTGTCCAATCACTGACAAGTATTTATATTGCTGTAGCTATATACTGTATATAAAACACAAGTTAAATCTTCATTATGTAAAGGTTTGAAGGCTATTTTTATGTTTAATTTCCATTTCAGTGATATCAATTTGCATTTATTTGTAAACAGAGTCTACAGCTGTACCTGGTGCTTTGAACTAAGTGCCAAAGTTAGCCTGCTAACATGTTCACAGTGACAATGCTAACATGCTGGTGTTAAGAAGGTATAATGTTTAACCATGTTCACAGTCAGATTAGCTTGTTAGAATGCTGACATTTGCTAATAAGCACAAAACAGAAAGGACAGCTGAGGCTGATGGGAATGTCATTGGTTTTTCCAAGTTTGGTCATAAACTAAAGTATTCAGCGAAAATACAAATTTTGACCTGATGATGGCACTATGATGTATCATCCAAAGTTATTACAGTTCATCCTGAGGGGGACATGAATTTGTGTACTAAATTTCATGGCGATCCACCCAATACATCCCAAGATATTCCACTCAAATCCCCAAAAATGGATTGGTGGCACTTAATGTCAGAGGATTACCAAAATCATTAGGATCATCTGGGATCCATGAATATTTGTACAAAGGTGGGTGCAAATTCATGTAGCAGATGTTAAGATATTTCACAGGATAAGTAAAGATTTTGACCTGCTGGTGGTGCTAGAGGAAAGCTCACAGTAGCACAAGTAGTCAGGTTTAGGGTTCATCCCCTGGGCACCATTAATGTCTGTACCAAATTTTGTGGCAATCCATCTAATAGTTAGTGATATTTTACTAAAAGCCAAAAATGTCAATCTCATGGTGGTGCCACAGGATAAGTTAGGGGATCACCAAAGTCAGTAGGATTCCTCCTCGGGGGCCACAAATGTTTATCCAAAATTTTATGGCGATCCATCCACTAGTTGTCGAGATATTTCAGTCTGATCTTAAGTGGTGGAACTACTAACAGGCACCACTTTGCTAACTCTAGAGCCGTGCCATTAGTATGGCTCACACGGTTCATGGTGGCTGGCAGGTGTCATGTGATTTATGTTATTTAATACGGACTGATCTTTAGCAATTAAAACAAATTTCAACGGAATTAACATACCATTAAAAAAGAACTGGTAATATAACAATAGCCTATGAAATTTTACAACAAATACAATACAATTTAACAGCACCACAGCCTCCAAAATGACGACACAGTTCAATCAACAACATGACTTCAACAAAAACTGAACATTACCTTCATGGAGGTAGGATTTGTTACAGGGTAGTTGTATTAGACTACAAAAGTTGTAGCTAGGTGTATAGGCTGTGCAGTGTATATTAAGTAACTTGTCAGGCTTAGGTGAACTCAGGTGAATATTTAAACCTGCGCTCTCTTACACAACATGCACACTGCAGCTGTTTTGCATACATGTAAACGATGACAACCCCATCCAACTTAGTGCCGACATTTTACTTTATGTCTCTGACTGAAGGGAAGTGGAGCTGGTTTCCTTTTGTGATAGCATCATCAGCTCATCTTCCTCCTGAGCGACACAAAAATAGCCTGTACAGGCTGCCTGACACTATTCTATTAGAAGTATTAATTATTCACAACAGTAGATAAACAACTACAGACCTACAGCTGAGTCTAACTCATGCAGAAACAGAAATAAAAGTTAGACTCCATCCTCACTTTGTAATAGAGTTGACAGGAAATGAATGCCTTCTTACCTTAGGCATGGCCGTATGAAGGCGGTGGTGGCTGCAGGTCAGTGAAACAGCGATGATATGTCGTGTGATGTAAACTTAGACTGACTGACTGACTGACTGACTGTGGTGTGATGAGGAGCAAAGTGCTGCAGCGACTAGAGCATCCTCACCACTTCCTCTCTCTCTCTCTCTCTCTCTCTCTCTCTCTCTCTCTCTCTCACTCCCTCTCTCTCGCTCTCTCTCTCTGTCTGTGTCTGTCTTTCTCCACCCACCTGTTGTATTATTCCCCAGCACCTATGAGTCAGACTAAGTTGTTGTTGTTAATGTTGCAGTAGAGGTGATGGGTAAAAAAAGACCAAAGCCTTCATAGCATTTTCAACTCTTTCTTATTGGCTACTTTTTATTGCATATTATACACTTATTACTGAATTGTGATATTTACATTTGACCTTGTTTCTGTTTCTACTTCTTTTTTTTTTTTTTTAATGTGTAATCAGTTTGTGAAACAAAACATGTTTAATTGTTAATATGATGATAATGATGACTGTGTGACTATATAGTAAAGCAATTAAAGCTTTTAACTTTTAACTATTAACTATGAATTTGGTCAAAGAATAGTTCTAATTCCTAACTATTTATTTTATATTGCCTTTATTAGACAGAAGACAATAGACATATGATAGGAAATGAGGTGAAAGAGAGGAGGGAAATGACATGCAACTAACTTCAGCTGGACCAGGGGTGTAACATTAACTCAAGCACTGTAGTTAAAGGTCCAGTGTGTAACATTTCGGAGGATCAATTGGCAGAAATGGAATATAATACTCATAGGTATTATTAAGGAAAAGTCCAAAATATAAATACAGATTTGTTTGTAATTCTTTATTCCTCTACCATTAATCAGCTCATGGACTCTCACATTTATCTTGTGACCCTTTGAAGGAGACTTGACCCCTATGTTAGGAATCACTGGGCTAAACTAGCTCACTGTATATAAAGCATTTAAAACCACAACACTAAAATGCTGCTTACACACTGATGCATCTAGCAAACTAATAATGCACCTACTATGCTGTACTGACGTCACTGACATCTAACTTAACAGTTGGCAGGCTTATAGTAAAAGAACATGCAGTTTGCAATATTTCATGATGAATGCTATAATCAGCAATTTCTCCTTCTCTTCTCCTCCTCCTCATCTGTTTCCTCTGTTTTCTCTCTTTCTATCTACATCCACAGTATGTCTCATATTGTGTGTATCTCTCTCTTCCTCTGCCTTTATCTTTCTCTCAGTTCTGCTCATTTAAATTAAACTGAGCTTCAGTGACACATCATTTATTGTACACATACTGCACATTGTGAAAGCACAAAAGGTGGGAACTGGAACAAAAGATTAGATTTGACCCGCGGTTACTGTTCACAGCTCCACAGACACATCTGTGAACAGTTGCGGTTGTTGTACACATCAAATCAACAAACATAGTCTCTTTAGTGTCTTTCCAGGCTGCACATTAGCTCCCTCACTCTTCCCCACAACAGTGGCAAAGCCAACACATTTTCATAGGAGTGCCTGGGCCGAGACCAGTGTTCACTTCGGGGGGTGGCACAGTGGTGTAGTGTTCTGTGTGCAGCATTCACTGCTAAATGAGCACCAAGCTTACACATACACCATCAGGAATCATATACAATAAAATGGGCTTTTCTTTTTTTATATAACCATCATTAAACAAAACAATCTCTCATACTGCTATTAAAGTATGTATCAGCAGAGGTTAGGCGGTGTACTATTATTGAGAAAATTTGGGTGTAGAAGAAGATTACTTCTTATCTTTTCGCACATCCTTCCTAGTTACACATACAGTCCCCCACACATATGCATAACATCAGAGATCAGAGAGGCTGGGGTTGCTCAAGGCCTCTTAGGCCATCAAACCAGTGACCTTTCGGTTGCTGGCGGGCCTCTTTTACCTCTGGACCATCCTGCATGTAAAATAAGTTCACATTAGACATTATGCAAAAACTCTGTGTCTCTACTTAAACTTGTCAAAAGTGCAGCAATTTTGAAAATGTCCAGCGTACAGCGGTAGAACTGAGCCAAGTTGTTTGTTCTTTGTTCCAAAGTGAGGTTACAGCCTGGCATAAAAATGACTTGTCGGATACAATGGCAGTGTTTCCCTCTGACCTCTAGGGGGCGCTGTTGCAGCTCTGTCACACCTTCCAGTTCCAAATGGACCACTTAATCTTCTGTAGATCTACTTTATGGTAACAATCTGAGCTGCTGTGTACTATATTCCTGTTGATTGTCTGAGAACTTGCATTTTAATTTTTTTCTTCCCCCACTTTGTTTCCTTTGTTGCTCTAGTTCCTTCCTCACTTTTTGCAATCTCTTTTGTATTATTATTTACTCTCTATTGCTCTACCCTCCCTCGCACCGCTGTTTTTCTTCCTCTTTTTCTCTCCTCCCCAGCTATTTGTCATTTTTCCTTTTAAGTGGGACAGAGTTCGAGTTGTTGGAGGTTTGTTTGGGAACACCAGAGGGGACAGGCTGCCTGCCAGTCGGCCGTCAAGACAGGACTTGAGGCCATCAGATATCAGCTCAGTCCTCCAAGATTCAGCACACAATCTTTGTCATATTAGGCAGCGATACAGCTGTGAGCGTGCCGAGCTGCTGGTTTGGGTTTGATGCTCTAATATTTCTCCCTACGTATACTTTGCGGGGCGCAGAACTAACAGGGTTTCTCAGTGAAAGAATGTAAGCACTTGTCAGTATGTAAGGCCATGGGTCTGAATCTTTTAGACTTCACCCCCCTCATTAACAAGCTGAAAACACTTCAACCAAAAAGGGATTTTAAAAGTCCCAATCATGTGTTTTTCTCTTGATCCCAATCCTTTTTTTAAATGTAAAATTTTTATCCTGTGTTATTTTTATTGGAACATTTTTGATGCATTTTGTAAAGCTTTAGAATTGCTTTTGTGTATGAAATGTGATATAAAAATAAACAGCAAAATTAGTTGAGCAAATTAAAAATGTATGTGTTTGAAAAATGTATCTCTATAGGATTTACTATCTGAAGTGGATTGTTAATTTCGAGTCAGTGGAGGGCTAAACTGGAAGTTAACGGACCAGGGGAAGTCTCTAGTGGACTTGCTCTACAAGCCCCACAATGTGGAAATAATGCAGAAGATCCGGGTTATTTCATACCAGGAAATCAAACCTTTTTTAATTTTATGCGACACTGAACTGCCTCCATAAGACTGAACGGAGCCTCATCTCCAACACTGTATCCAGTTCTCCTTTAATACATCCATAGTCCAGAGGGAGCAGTGTGAAATCTGACAAATTGCCTTAAGTGATGTCACTTGAGTCAGTGCCTGTTGGGGCTGAAGACGACAAGTGAAAAAGGGTGTGGAGTTAGAAAGACGTAAACTTACCAGATTTCTGTAGCCCTCTCTGCTTGAAGCTAGCAGCTCAATGCTACATTAGCTGCTTAGTGAGAGTAGGAAAAACGTGTTGCACCCTCTTGTTCCTTATGAATTAGTTTTTTATTCAGATGATGATGTTTCGGCCTTCGTCAAGCTCAACAGTCATAGTAAGACACAGGCACTGCTATTTTATATAGGCCACACCCTAATTGGTGGCTCTAATGGTGATTAGATAATCATGTTCCATCATTAGGGTGAGAAAAAAACAATCAGGGGGCCTTCAGTGAATGAGACCTTTAAACAGTGACAGGAGCTGAAGCCAATCAAATTATTTCAAACAAAACAACTGGAACCATGTCTCATATCACATCGAGATTTAAATCACACACACACACACACACACACACACACATATATATATATATATATATATATATATATATGTTAAATATCTTTAAAATCTTTTGACAATACATACATTTTGAATAGATTTCTTAAAGATATGCTGTTAAGTGGTGCATTTCCCGGTATAAAATTGCCCAGATTTTGGGTTCTCAGTCAGATCTAGTCAGGACAGAGACTACAAATATGGTGACTCATATCTCCAAAAAATCAACATAGCGACGGCCAGAATGCCACCACAGATTAATGGTTAACGTCATAGTGGATTTAGATTAGAGTACTCCCCGACGACACAATGTGTAAACACACTTTGATGAGTAAATTCGGATGAATTCCCCTTGAAAATAATGAAATGATGTCACTTGGTTTCAGGACACAAATTGCTAGTAATTTCTAGAAAATGAAACAGAGTAAACTGCTGTGAGAACAGGTGGACTCTCTCTATCATATCATGTTTTCATTCAAAGATGATTGTAAGACTAAAAGACTGAGTGCCTTGAGCCTGACCTATAAGGACAGTTAGATAAACATGTCTAAAAAATGTCATGTTATGTAATGGTTATTATTATTTTTATTATTATCATTATTATTGTGTACAGTCACAATCACAGTATATAGGCTGTAAACAGCGTGAACCACTATTTTTATCATAACCTACTGAAATAATATCCCACTGTCTTTGCTGGATATTTTGCCAATCAACTGTTATTCATATTACTGTGTTCTTTCACGTGATTTGACTCTTTATTTTTCGATGATGAGTGTTGTTAGCCTGAAGGTTTCCTCAGTTTATTTGGGTGTGTATGAGCAAGTTTCTTCACAAGGCGTTTCACCACCACCATCAACCACAATATTGTGGAAGTCAGAGCCACAACATGATGACTCAGTAACAGGAAGGTTTTATTTCTGAACCAGTTTGAAATGGAGGACAACACGCATTGACGATAGTTTTCAACACAACCTGTAATAGAGTTCTTTGTTGTAATCGACAGGTTGTGTTGGAAAGCAACCCGGATGTCTGTTTATCTAACACAGTGTGTATTACACACGCGTTTGTTGATTGTGACACATCCTTTGTTTCAGAGCAGTTCATTCTGTCGGCTTTAAGTCTTTTTCAGCGAGAGCGGATTGGTTCAGAGTCGCTGTGTTGATGCAGCTGCTCACCAGTCGGAGTCATGTCTTCCCTCATGCTGCTGGGAGCCTCTCAGACACCTAAGCAAACACATAGAGACAGGTCGCAAATGAAGAAATGCATTATTGTTTAAACATAGAAAACTGTAAGAATAATGCACAACGTAGCGGAGTCAGTGTCCTGGGTATCAACACTCACCTGTGCCTGTTCAAAACACACTCACAAATATCACAATACCTAGACCAGTGGCACCTGTATTCATATCTGTGCAAAATAGCCTCTATAACAAGTGTTATCACTCTTGTACATGTACATTTACTTTTATTTACTAATGCCAAATAAAATTTGACAAACAACTATCACTCGTGTAATATTTATTAACAAAATAATTTAAGAATTCATTTTAAACTGTAAAACTGCATCAACACACCCCATTTAAACTAGAGAGGTTACTCAATTAAAAATTAGGCACAGTAGTGGAATGCATCAAAAGTATTGGTAGAATAAATTAAAAATAAATTCCTAACTTTTAGTATAGTTATATATTGCAATAATAATGTATGGTTGTCACAAAACCCCACAGCACACCTGGACTTGCCTCACAGTGCACCATTTGTTGCTGTGGTGCACATATAAACACCACACTAAAATCTGTCAGAGAGCTACAGTTTGATTTTAAGGTGCTTCTTCCAACCAAAACTACTACTTCAAATAATAATAATAATTTATTATTTTACTTTATAGACTCTAGAGAGGCTAGCCTTTGGACTAAAATACATTAAAATAATAATAGTAATAACGTGAGACTGTGAAAGAATGTTCTTTGAGGTCATGTTTCACTTTAAACAGATGAAACTTGAAGCATCAAACCACAAAGTAAGGTACCTGTCTCTCCAGGTGGTCAATGTGCCGCTGGCGTCTGTCAATGAGTCGGTCTCGGGCTGAAACCTCTGCGGTGAGACTGGCGAGCCGTCGGGCCTGTTTATCCATGATAACCTGAAACACAACAAGGATACCAGACGGTGAGAATAGTCTGTCACCTCCACTGATAAATGTGTGTCTACTATAGCCCGGAAACTACAAATAGATAACACACAAAATAATGTTGTTTTAAAATATTTCATAGTTTTTTAATGCTTAAAGTTTTAGAAAAGCTATGCACTATAATGGCCAAAAGTATATGGACATCCCTGTGGTCTGCTTCCAACTTTGTGGCGACAGTTTGGGTTTCTTGTTGAATACAGCTCAGAGTCCTTATGTGCCTGTGTGTTGGTGTCACCCAGATAAATACCTTTCTATTTACTGGTTAAGTTGTTGTTCTTGTTTTCTCACTTTAGTGTTGTTGATATCCAGCTGAGTTTGATCCCCCAAAGTCGGCTCGGTCAGGCTCCTTAGTCTCTGGAGGATCCGGTTCATCTGGTGCTGCGTGGCTCCCTGCTCCATCTCCAGATCGTCCAGCCCCTTCTGCAGATCTCTGACCGCCCTCCACAGCCTGTCCCCCCTGGCACTCTGTATCTGCAGGTCCTTCCTCACCTGAAGAACACAACATTACATCACATTATTCAAAGCGATGAATGATATTTTTGTCACAAGTTGACTCGTATATCAATCAGTCTTTAGACTTTTTGGAGTCATTGACTTTATACCTCTTTTTTTCAATATACCATTACATAGAAGTCCCTTTCTCTGGAACAGCTATAAATCAACTTTAAATATCTCGCTGAAATAAAACCCTTTATTTTGTATCTTTTATTTCATTTTCTTTCTTAATCCTCTCTTTTTAATTGTTTTGTTTGTTTCATCCATCGTCTGTGTCTGATGGTGATTGCACTTGTTTTGTTTTTTTTTAGTTTGTCTCAGTTGTGCAAACAAATAAACACTATGTCCAAACAAATACATTTCAGAGATGATCTTCTCAACCAGAGCAGCCTTCAGTGAGACATGAGAAACCTTTACAGATCTACGTCATAGTGCAGCCACAAAAATCATGGTGTCATCAATGAATCAATCATTCATATTGCACCTTTCAGGTTACGTAAGGTCACTTCCATAATATTAAACAAAGATTAAATCAATGAAACATGCCATGTTCACCCTTAAATATATCAGCAATTTCATCATGGAAGCATCAACTCTAAAAGAGGCATCTTTTAGACCAAAGGTAATACAACTATTTAAATATTTTACTCAGCATAAAGAGTACAAACCTTAAATGAGAACATAGAGAATGCTGTATACTGTACATTGCATTGTTGTGTGGGGGAATGAGTTATTTTAACTTCCTCAAGGTTCACAGGGGAAGATTGGGTATCAGAAGCAAAGAGAAAAAGAAGAAAAATGCAAATACACATAAATACATGGCATAGTGGAAATTAATGTTGGTTTCAGCCCTACCAACTTATAAAAATGGATAGAATGCTGTGTACCTGTGGGTCAGGAACCAAGATAAAGTTTGGATGTTTTTGTCTGCAGTGGATTTCCTTTGTAAAAGGATTCTTGCTCACCTGCCTGTGAGTCCGTGCTGACTGTAAACTCTGCTTTTGAAGGCCCTCCAGACTCTTTGTGGCCCCGTCCAGCTCTGCTGCCACCTGGTCTCCCTGCTGCTCCAGCCGCCCGGCGTTCTCCTCCACCCCCCGCAGCAGGTGAGCCAGTCCCAGCGAGAGCATCCTCAGCTGGGACACGGGGACCTCACCTGCCTCCTGTGATGTGGAGGCATCACCTGGTGGAGGGGCACAGAGTCCCACCAGCAAAACAGACAGCTGCAGCACTCGGCTCGCCCCCATACTCATACAGGATTTCATCAGGTGGAGACTCTAAATCCCTTTCTGCAGGTCTAGATCCCAAATCTTGAGAGCCCAGAACCAGATCTGATGAAGGCTGCTTAAAAACTCAGGAGTGGTGAAGAGCTGAATCCACATCTGCCGGGCCTCTAGTGTTCTGATGTGCGTCAGATGTTCCCTGAGGAGGTCTGGAGCTTAAGAGTGGTGAAGGATAGAGGGATGAGGAGAGGGAGGAGAGCCACACGGAGACAAGGGAGGAGTTCCCAGACTGACGCTGAACTATAAAATAGGAACATTTGAACCAGAGGTCTAAATATTCTATTCCAAATAATAACCAGAATTGGTCACACATCACACAGGCACACAAGACATTATATAAAGATACCTGTATGACCGATCAACAAAATTCTCTGTTGCTGATGAATTCTGATAAAGTGCTTAATTTGAAGTGAATGCTGCAGGTTTACAGTTGTCACTGTAACACTTTGCTGAACTTTGGACACTTTTCTCCTCATGCAAATGAGCCTGTGTTGGATTTATACATGATAAAGCAAGAGAGACATCTACTGGCTGTCTGAGGAACTGCAATGAGCTTCTTTCTTGTTCTGGGAGGGGTACTGGATGTACAGTAGTGCATTAATCTGAACATGTTTAATGGCTGGATGTATTACTGGATTATATATTACTTCTTTGACATCAGGCAAGACCCTTCTCTCTGTCATATTCCTATCCATACAAGCTGCCATTTTGTGGCCAGTTTTCACTACCAGTGTTTTAGACAAATATCTGTCAGACAGATTCTAACCTGGAGAAAGACCTGTAGAATGTGACATGCACACTTTGGTTCCCAAGAAAAACTATTTTTGGAAACAACTTTTCAGGTTCCAAACCAAAAATTCAAAATACTCAGAATGGTGCAAAACTAGGTGTGTGAACTGGAACAGAGCTGGTTCCCTGTTGGTGGAAAGGAGAAATTGAGAGTTTATGCCCCCCTTGCATTGTTTTCAGGCAAAGAAGGCAGCTGTTTTAAAAAAACAAAAAAAGCTCTGAAAAACCACTGCATGTTACCTGCACAGAACCAAAACGGCAGACAGACACAGTTGGCGACGAGCTGGTGAACACTGTGGAGCATTTAGCAGCTAAAGAGCCAGATATTTCCCTCAGGTGTCTGCTGAATGTATAAATAGACAGCTGTTTGCTAACAAGTTTTCCATGTCAACTTAGTAAGATGATAATGTGTCATTGTAATGTTTAAGATTGACTTAATGAAAACTGGACTAAAATGTCCATTATCATCAACTAAAATTATATGAAGCTGATTAAATAAAACTTCAGATCTCAGGAAAACAAAAAAAGCTGGCAAATAAAGACCAGTACACTTCCCCACCCGTATAGGCTCCATCTTCTACAGTCCACGGAAGGACACAGCTGCTATGTTCCATTTTCTTCAATGACTTACTTACTTTGCTTGCAGTTTGCTTCGGCACATGAGGTTGATGACCATACACTAAATGTGCCATAAAGCCAAACCTATTAACTAAAATAGGCTGAAAAGCTTAGCTGCAGAGTTGGTGATAGTTCTCTGTGGGGTTCAGAAGGCCTTTTTTACACTACAGTCATTTGCTATATTGCTAATATAAAATATTACCAAAGATTTCTGATTTTGGGAACATTTTCTAATAATTTGCCCCTACAATTCAGGTTTTTATTCCCTTATGTTGGAAGTAAGCTTATTCAAACTATTGTACTATGTAGAACTATTTTTTTGTACTCATTGTATTTATAGCATGTTTTTAAATCAAATAATCAAAAGCTTTGTTAAACTGAATTGGATTGAGACAAAACAAGACTTCCTACACTCAGACTCAGACTCAGGCTGAAAGAGCTGCTTTGTGCCAACGAGGGACAGACCAACAAACTGTTCTTTGAATTGTTTTGGAGTGGGGGAAGGCCTAATGCACAAACGACACTATGTCAACTCATAAAGCCTGATTTATAAAGGAGAGAAAGGCGTCAGTCTCAGCCCACTCCTTCCTCCTGGCATTCAGGATACACAGGAAAGCTGCAGGGAGGCACTGTCACTGGGCCACTGCATGAGTGATGCTGCGGAAAACAGGATACAGTAAGTCAATATGCTTTCATTATTTTAGGAGACATTTGAATAATTCTGATATGGATTAAAGGAGTAAATGATTTGGTGTAAAAGAGATGCAACAGCAAATATTTAAAGGTACTAAAGTCATCGTTAGATGAAAACCTTATATCTTATATCCATATGCATTGTTTTCTCTGTATCCAGTGTAGTAGTTTTAAACCAAAGCATCATAGAAATGTCTTAATTTCTTGATCTGCTTGTAATCTTTCAATTTAAGATATAAGACTAAACCTAAAACTACTCAATGATGAATAAAAGACAAATGCTAGTGCTCTTGGAGAAAATGGTTCAAATCTTTTTTTTTAAAATCACATCCAAAAACATTATGAGCTGGAGCAATGTGGAGGTTATGATAAAAAGCTTTTAGGTGCGTGGCTTGCAATACAGTTCAGCCATGCCTTCATCAGCACAAGATTTTACAGTTGTATCTCTTATCTTAACAACAGTTTGTGCTTATTGGTTGTATTTCCAAGAGTTAGATGAGATGATACAACTTTGATGTTTCTGAGTGAGGTATGTTGCTGGGGCCAGCAGCCAATTAGCCTAGCTTAGCATAAAGACTAGAAACAACAGGCAAACAACTAGCCCTGGTCTGTCCGATGGCAAAAAATCATACCCACCAACAAAAGCTAAATCTAAAGCTCACTAACTAACATGCTGAATCAGTACACAAAAAGAAATGTAGAAAATGATCATTTATGGTTTCAGGGGGAGTTGCGTGCTGTAGCTATTTGCTGGTGCTATAGGCTAGCTGGTACCCCCTGCTATCGGTCTTTAGAACAAGCTAGGCTAATTGCCTAGGACTAGGTTTGCCAACATTTAACATTTTTACGTACTTGAAAAGCACGTTGACGTAAAAATTCAATCAAAAAAATGTTTTCTCGGAGGCACAACCACAGCTCTGCACGCTAAGACTGTTTTGACAAGACGCTACAGCCAGGAGAACCAAATCTGCTAGCATCAATCTGTTTTGGCTCCAAGATCGCAAGAAATGTTGCTGTGTGATTCGGTAGAGCCATGCTTTTTTCCCATTAGCGGAACATTAGCATACTTTTCACCAACTCTTGGGATCTGAAACGGGCTGCTAGACTTTTACAAAGAGGCAAACGGAACAAGTGAAGCTATTGCAGGATGCATACTGCATGTTCTGTACAACAATGGTCTGGGTCTGGACAATGTTGCTGCGTATTTGGCAGATAACGCTTCAGGGAATTTTGGAAAGCATCATTTGGGTTACTGGAAACTAAAGCAGGCAAACACAGGACTGATACAGTGTCACATTGTTCACAACTGCCTTTAAAACAGAATGAAAGGCTTGAGTTTTAATGTTTAAGTGAATATGATGAAAACCTACAGTGAATTTTCATCATTGACCAAGGATGTAGCTTTGTGTCTGGTAGTAAGGTGTCAGTCATTGAGTCATTTTTTAGAGGTGTGGACATCTTGTGTGTTTATGCATATATTGCCTCCATCCATGTGTATCCATGTATACTAAATATATTAATTTGTGTGTGTGTGTGTGTGTGTGTGTGAGTGTGCCTTAGCTGCGTGTTGAACACTAACAGAGTGAGATGGAGCACAGAGCGGTGAGCCCGGCACGCAGGCATGTATGTGCTGATCAAAGCTCTGTCACATGATCTCGTGGCGCCCTCAGGGGCTGCTGGTGTCCTGCGTTCAGGTTGGAGTCTTCAGTGCTGGTGGAGAAAGAGGAACAAAAAGGAAGAGGAGTTTTGTTTAAACATGGCTGTTTGAATCCAAATTGCTATACAAAGTCATTGTCATTTGTACTCTCATTCAGGCACATAAATGGAGTGGTGTCAGCTACAATCAACCAATCATTTCCAACAAACCTAGAGCCACATATTTAAATAGGAGTGTGAAAAAGTTGCTCCTGTTCTTTGTGTTAATAAATAAATAAATAAATAATTTCACTCCAGTGTTTCACTTAATCTACAGTATTAATTTGTCAGCACATGGAGCAGAGCAAATGTAGACACTGGCAAAAATTGTGTTATTGGTGGCATGTGCTGTGGGAATCCAGGAATTTAAACCTGTTCTTCCACCACAGTGCTCTAATACAATCCTTCAGGTCTCCACCTTTCATAAAGGCCCCACCAAGTCAAGCATGATTTGACTTTGACTCCCAGGGGTTTGGAGGTCAGAGGTAGGGTGGCTAAACAGCTGGCGGGGCCAGGTCACATGCCACGATCACGCTTGGTATGTCATGCCTCTGTGGATCAAACATGTAAAAACTGAAACCCCAGCAAGCAGGATCGAGCGTGTTATTGTAGTGTGATTCCCATTAAGTAAGCTCCATCAGTCACACGCACCAGCATACAGCAGGATGGTGTGGTTGCAGTTTAGCTTGAGCATGTCGTGTTCACTTTTAGTTTGAACGCGCTCATACTCTGAAGACGATATCTCGTGGGGATTGAGTAAGAGCTAAGAATTTATTATGAAAATCATTTACGTGACATGAGAAACTGGGATGAGTGACGGGTTTAAGAGGCAGCTGTGGAGCTGTGCAGCCACGAACCATAAATCATTGCTGATTGGCTGAGGAGAGCACTTTTTCACTGCTGGCACCGTATTTTCAATAAGCTTTACATCCAAGACAAAAACAGCCCAACAACAATTTAAAGGTTAGCCTGCTAAGCTGATAATATAAAATGTCTGATATTTAGCTTCAGGCTCAAACAGATAAACCTGAGATTTCACTATCAGTCCTGCAGGATCATGTCTGCACATGCAACCTACACACCTGCCAACACCGTGCATTGGGTTGTCTATATTAATCTCTGTATGTGATTAATATGAGGTGCGTGCATCATCACTATATGGAATATAAATAAGGCGTGGGACAAACTGTAAATGACCATAGTTAATTAAACCATAAATCTTTACTGATTGGCTGTGGAGATAATTTATTCACTGCTGGCTAGATCCCAACAAACCAAATGTGGGACAAAGATGTTTGTGTGGGACAATGTGGGACGTGAGGTAGTCTAAAATTTTCTATAATGTCTATCTAACTCAAAAAATAAACATTTCTATTCTGCATCTTAGCTCGTGACATCTCTAAGCTTTGCCCTCTGTTTGATTCAGTAGCACACAATAGACTACTCAGGTTGGGCTGCAGGTTTGATGTGAAGGAAATAACAAATATATTTCCAAATCCTACATGAATAAAAGCATAAAAGGAAGCTTAAGTTTCACAGCTCATATGGTCTTATGATTGTCTGCGAGAGTCGCCTTCCACCGGTTTCACCCAGTTAAAAGTATAACTTGCATAGCTTGTGACCTGCTGGTGGCTCACAGTTTGGTGCATTGTAGCACAGACGGTAACAGGTTAACCTGGACTCGACCCGTGTGTGCAGCTTAAACTGACATCAAACACAGTCCCATGATGACGGCCTTCCCTGCCGTCCTCACAGTCATTAAAACCAGATTTTAGAAAAATATCTGTCATGCAGTGATTTGACTTTTGAAAACTAAAGCCAATAAAAATGTAGGACATTGTCTCAATATATAAAGAGATAAAAAGCCTGTGCAGTCCCACAGAAAGTGTGACACCAGGTCACCCTACTGCTGGCACTGTATTTAAAAGAGACCAAAAGAGCCCAACAGCAATCTGAGTGTTAACCTGATAATTATGATTAATCACCAACTCCTGAGAAAATGGCTCCACTATGGTCACCAGCTGGTCGCTAACGTGTTTGGGCAAGTAGCCTACAGTCAGAGCTTTTTTTTACTTGAAACAGCTGGTTGCTGCATCTTGAAACAATGCTAATGATAGTGCTAAAAGTGAACCAAAACAGCTACGTTCTCATTAGCGCTCTCATTAGCCTTAAGGTGCATTGGACTAACATTCATCACCGGTCCAGCAAAGCACTGGCAAGTTAGCATAGTCTCTTTGAGCCTGTTAGCATGCTGATGTTACCATTTATGGCTGTATTTATGGTCATCATAGAATAAATGATCACTTATTCCCTCATATAGACTGCAGTGCATATATTCAAGTTTTTGAAGAAGATGTCAGTGTCCAGAACGTATAGGCCAAACCAAACACAGGCACTGTAGAGCCTACAGCCGAATGCGTGTTTCGCGTGTTTTGCAGCCACCTTCGTTTTTCCTTTGTGTTTGGTGAGTGAGCTGCAATCTGCAACTACACCGCTAGACGCCACTAAATCCTACACACTGGACTTTTTAAGTAACCTGGATTTGTCTGTAGGTGCCCTCATAGGACAGTTATTGACAAATTTTCTTCTTCCTCATCAATTTCTTCTTCTCCTAACCCTCGGAGTGCAGCCTGGAGTAACCTAACAGGGACATGTGTTGCCACAAGCAAATTTCTACGTCTCATTAGGCGGTTTAGGTATTGCTCCCTTGCACCGTGAGTCCACCGGTGGGACCAATAAAAGGCTGTGATGGGAGCCAGAACCTCGCTGACAGGTCACACTGTCTCTATTACTGCAGAAGGAGACACAAATGAATCTGGAAGACTCTGGAAGTATTGCTGGTGTGTGGCAGCAGTATCATTTGGCACACACGTACCTTGTTCTGTTTGTCATTACCTGAACAGCCCTTCACTTTATTGTTACTCCAGAGCAGTTTGGCCCAGCTCAGCCCAGACCCCGACCATATATTTAATCAGTATTCTTTTAATGAAAAATCAGCCACTAACACTCTCCCTATGTTTCCCAAACATAAGAAGAATACTGTAACTGTAACCCCAACCCTTACCTATCATAAGTTCAGTGCCTGGCTCTATTCAGGGAGCAGTGCTTGCGTACAAAAGGTTTAGGGACTTTAATTAAAAACAAAGGTTTACGCAGTGGAGCTAACCACACTTAACACACTTGTGTTTAGTTTTACGGCTTTACAAGTTTTCTCTCTGATAAATGTAGTGAATTTAATCTGATTGTCATAAAGTTCCATGACTTTGTTCACACAGAGCATCTGAACACACAAAAAGCATTTTGATAATGTTCATTCAATCCTGGGTGTTTAATTTAACTTTTCAACACATGTGGCGGTCATTATAAATGAATGGCTGAGACAATTAGTGTATAAAATTGAGTCCAGGCACATGGCCATTCATCAGATGGACACACTTCCTCTCCCAGACCCCCACATGCTTCTTTCCCCAGCCGGAACCACATCTCACAAACAATCACAACATTGTTTCAATAATAAATAGAACTTTTCTTCGAGCAGATCTATAAAGCTTTTTTGAGGCCTCGCTCACAATGACTAAACAATACTGAATACTGAATAAATGTCAGACTCTTCATAATATCATTGATCATGATACTGTGAGAAGGACAGAGGCCAGGAAACTGACATTAGAGGACGAAATGTCAGAAGACACATACAACAACTACCATGTGTTGACCAAAATGGGCATGACAACACACACAATCCAACCACCAGACAGACTGTGACAGTTTTAGTGTTTCTGTTTTTGTTGTTGCAATAATGTTAATGTTTTTTATGTGCTTAGCATTCATTCTGCAGTACAGTGACATTTTCATGTGTACTTTTGTCCCTTTTGCACTAATAAAATCATACTGTTCAGTTTTAACTGAACAAATGTCCTTGCTAAACTTTGACGCAAAGTAATGTTTTATAAATATGTTTCACTTTTTTTACTCAAAAACAAGTTGTATGAGCTCGGGTCAGTGAGTCATAAATAGCAAAATAGCAAATAGACAAAAAGACCAAAGACAGCACTAGGTATGATTATAGGTTTATTATCAGGTATAATCCCGTGTTTATCTGAAAGTTACAGCAACTAGAGGAAAGTAGGAAACACACCTATCAAAATACTACAAAGGTTGGATGAAACTATGAGGTCGCTGAGATGTAATTAGTATCAGTCTGCTACATAGTGCATGCATACAAATGTGATCGCAAGAAAGCAGAGGTATGAACACTGTGATTGTGGCTCCAAACAGAACTATTAGGAAGAGAAGTGTGGACCCTTTTCCCACTAATTAGCTCTGGATCTTCCACCAGTTCGGTTCAGGATACAGTAAAAGTCAGCAATCCTAAATAGACCTGCCTCCTGTGTGAACTAGCTGAATAACGTCGCCCCATTTTCATGCCTAAATATCGCATATTATACCTATAATACGGGGAATGTATTTAAAGCATGATACAGCCTGATTACATACCATTTAACACTGTGTTAAACCTACCCCATACGTATCTATAGCAACACTCCTGTTAACCCTGTGTTGATTTGAAATCCAGCTTTAGTTGCATACAAGCTACAAACTTTTAATGTCTAAATATTTATCTGAGGAAAAAAAGGTTCTCTCGTTTCGTCCAGTCACTGACTGTTTAAACCCATGTCCCAGAATGCCCTCACACCTGCCATGAGACTTGCCCACCCAGCAGAGCCAGGGGGTGATTATCGTTAGTTACTATCAGAGGAGCACGCTGTCATTTTTATTTCAGAGCCCGACTTCCTCGGGCCTCTCTGGAGTTCCTGATATAGGCGTAGCAGTTAATGAGGGAAATACCCAAAGTTAAACCGAGCATGGGAGCCTGAGAGGGGGAGAGTGGGGGGAGGGAGCACCGGGGGGACTGGAACGTGAGAGAAAAAGTAGCAGGAGAAGGGAGAGAGATGAGGACAGAGGAGTGTGTTTTTCCTGGAGGACGGAGTAATGTCTCTGCTGTGGCTGTGTGGGTCTCTGGCATGATGATTTGGGACAGAAAATAAAAATCACATTGCCAGGGATTACTACACTGCTACGGTGTCTGCTACTGCTGCTTCTGGAGCTGGAGGAGGATACCTGTTTGGTTTTTTTAGGACAGTGTCAGACTTTCTTTTGCTCTGTTTTTACACATTTTTAAGAAAGGAGTTCTTCAAGCTGCCAGTCTGTGGATTTCTCTGAAAGAACAACTCTTCTGAGGCAAGATCAGCCGATTGGTGCGTTTTTGTCGTGTTGTATCTGCTGTTTCTGATCAGGTGCAGAGCTTAGTCGACTGCTGAACAGGGAGTCTTAGCAATTTGTTCACAGTGGCTAAGTTCTTCACTTGTACAGACTTTATGGGGAGGTATGGCTGACTGAAGATCTAGGCTATATAGTCCTGTCAAAAAAGATACAGCATATTTCAAATGATTTTAAAGGGTCAAAATCAGACTGTAGTCAGACTGTAAAAGTCTTTTAGCATACAGAAATCTAAAACCAATTTGTTTGTGCTCTTGTTGTCATTCAAGGAAAAGGCTGGCGACAATCTATAGTTTTTTTTTTTTTTATTGAAATAGAGCTCCATTGTTGTCAAAAACTATTAAAAACACATCAATGAGTCACACTGATTTCCAGTTTAACAGATGAAAAGTTGAACAAACTGGGAAAAAAAGACCAAGCCAGCGTATTGACAATTCCATTATGAATATTTCTTGTATGATAAGTATTGTAATAATAGTCACTTTTATGTAATTAGCCTCAAATAACATCCAGTATAATATTAATTGAAATGAACACATCTGGACCACAATGGATTGGTGTGCAACACATTTGTGTCCCCGCAGTGAGAACTTTTGGACACTTTGGGATCGTCGTTACATCTAATAAGAGCCACATCTTCTCTGTCTCAGTCTGCCTCTGTCGGCCACATGCAGCATTTCTTTCTCTTGGAGAATTAGAGAATTTGCACATACTGGTTCATCAGATGTTTATCAGAGGTTTTGTAACTTCTCTCCCTTTGTTGTGCAGAATGACTGACAGTTTGATACACTGCCAGCTCAACTCATCCCTGAGAAATTAAATTAATTTTCCCTATAACAAAAAGAAGATTATATTCAGTGGCAAACTGTGTTTACTTTTCCTTAGGACTGATGCTATCAGATAAGATAATATCATATTATAAAACAGTTCATTAGGAAATATAAAGACTCTTTGAGCTGCCTGCAAGTAATTACAACAAGGGAAATGTGTTTTGCATGGAAATCAAATTCCTGCCATGTTTCGTTTAATGTGCAGAATTTGACACTTCTCTCATCTGCGTGGACCCACCAGAGGACCACACGTGGAGTCTCTTGACCACCACGGTCTTGACATTACTCAGAGGAAACATCTGGCGTCCCTCTTGTGCCTTCTGAGCTGAAAGCAGTTCGATCAAACATACTGGCTCAGTTCAGCAGGAACAGGAGTCTAGTCAACACACAGCACTGTCACCAATACCCAGTGGAGGATCTGTGGTGAAATCTGAAGGAGTTATCATGGAGTGGGATAGCACCATTATATCAAATCAATGTATTTTTCTTTTTGCCCCTACAGTGAGCTGTGTGAATACTGTATGTGCAGAGTTTGACTCTAGAAGGATGTTTTCGCATTCATCTGCTGAAAGTGGAAAGTTTCTCTGTGCTTAAATCTGATTTTAAGGGATTTGGAAGTTAATCCTGGTCCAGTATGCAACTTGTACAGTGTGATGTAGAACCCTGAAGCCACCAGTGCACATAGACTGAGAATGGACTTTACAGTGAAGCAAGAGATATTCATCGATCCTAAATGTGGAAATTAGACTTTCTTGTGGAAAAAAATAAAATATACACACATTAATGTTCCAAGTGGACTATTTGTATATGTGTCTTAATACATGTTTGGTGGGGATCCTTAAGGAAACATTAATATGACAATTCTGAAAGTTTTCTGTGTTTGGTAAAAGACAAAGATGGTTTATGACATTATTAATATCTATTTTATAACAATGTGTGCCTGCATGTCTCATAATAGTGACTAAACAACCCAAATCTTTTTCTCATGCAGAAACTTCCTTCATATACCAGAAGTGATGCTACTGAATGTGTCTGATGCAGCTGTTGGTTGCACTCAGTGTCTCTGTGGTTACAGTGACGAACTACAACAGCACGTCAATATTAACTTCTCTCTTCTGGTCAGAGTGGTGTAATCTGTTCTGTTCATACCAACGTAAGGCAGACATAACAGACACTGAATTCTCCTGAAAACCTTTATTACTAAAGGTTCAGGAGCAGGGTCACACCTGAACCACACCTCTAATCACCTGGCAGGCTACTTATACCTGATCAACCCCTTCTGGGCCTGTTTGTCCCAGTTTTCTCGACCCACCCACCCTTTCTCTTCCCTTTCATCCATTCACCTCACCTCACCCCTACCCTATCCCTCCCTCTGCTCATCCCTTCACTGTCCCGCCCCTCCTCCCTTCCTATTCAATCGGTGCATACCTCTTCCACCTCCTTCACATTCTACGTACCGTCTGGGGGCTGGAGACCGAACCCCCACACTGAGTCTCCCTCTGCCCAACCTTCAGCACGTCGTCCCAGACCAACCTAACAGAGGACAACTTCTTCCACCTTCATCTATTTTTAGCATCAAAACCTCCTGAATTTCACATTAAACCTTTAAATTAAATACTGCTGTGGTGTGGTCCTTGCTAGTGAAATTAATATAAATGTGATTCTATAAATGTTGTGTTTAACAGAATTTGGTTAAAATAGGGGGTTAGAAAACGAGTTATGAGAAAATATTTTAAAGTAGAAGTACAAATTTAAGAAACATGATTTGAAACCAAAAAGTATGACCAAAGAGCCAAAATCTAACAGAATAATGATGTTTTTCTTTGAATGAATTTGTTGTGAGCACTTGATATCCTCTAGAGGGCAGACTCCTGCAATGCGACCTAAATCACCAGAAGAAGAAGAAAGAGGAACAACAAGTTTCACAGCGTGCACAGTGAGGAAATAATTATTCCCTTTTAGAAAATACTATTTAAAAAATCTAAATAAGACCACCATGTTACTTACAAGCATGTTCAGTTTGGAGACTTTAGAGAGTCAGTTATCTGCTGTAATGGAGACTCTGGTGAAAGGGGCGGTGGCGGAGCTCAGCACACTTCTGGACCAGTACCAGTGCTCGGCTAACGCCAAGGCTATGGCCGCTAAGCAGCGCTCGGTTCCGGCTACGGTAACGTTAACTCCCATGAAGACCGAAGAGGAGGAGAGCGAAGTGACTCCACCGGAGGAGAGGCGACAATTGAATAAAGCTATAACGGTACACACACGGTGTTGTCTAACGTAAGAATGGGTTAGCTAGTTACGTTAGCGGTTGTACAGTTGCGGAAAAAACTGCGTCATCATTTCAGCTAGTGTGAGAGAAACTTTTATGTTCGTCAGTTTGACATGTAACGGTATTAAAAACTACACTACCCATGAGCCGTTTCGGTTGTTGCCATGGAGAGGACGCCAGGGCGATTCAGCAAAATCCAAATTTTTGGAGTTGTTGAGTTTTTTTGGTGTTCAACTACGGGTCAGCGTCAAATAAACAGTTACTGACAGGTTAAAGGTCATAAAGTGCAACAATAAATCTTTACCCAAAGCAACTTTTATTCAGCTTTTACTCTTGTGAAACCATATTACTAACCTTTTTGATTGTAGGTGTCAATGGTGTAGGACTGTAAGTGGTTTCTCTATCAGTTAACCTCTTGACTATCAAAAAAAGTCTATAAAATGTGTTCAAACAGCTTTTATTGTACCACCAACAGGCCCAAACCCAGAGATGTTCCACAAACAGTGATAGAAAACGGGGGGAAGCAGCATCTCCTCACCTTTGAGAAGCCAGACTTTACATATATGGCATTTTTCATTTATAATTGTGTAGACAATTTTTCGGTCACTCAACAAATCAGTTCATTGACTAAATGTTCAAGCGCCGTGTTTAACTCACCACTGTCATTGCTCTTACCCACGGCTTTAACAGAAGCAGTTTGCATCCCTCATGGAAGCGTGGGCCAAAGGTGCAGTAGAGAAAATACTGATAATGCTGAAGGCGTCTATGTGTGAGGCGGAGGATGGTCCTGCTGCCTCGAGTGACAAGACGAAACCGACGAGCATGAAGACAAGATCAGGGCGAGTGGCCGGGCCCCAAAAGCGTAAGTCAGTTACTGGCTTGGAGTGGCTGCGCAGAGGCATTTTATGTATATTACACAAGGTTTTATATGTTTCTTTTTAAATGACAGAATCAGCGACCAGGAGCTCACGACAGAAGAAAAAGAAAATGAAGGGAGGACTGGAAGCAGCAATAAGAAAGGAGAATGACCATATGTATTACCGAGGTATTTACTGATGACATGATTCCTTCAGTGAAATCAATATGAAATACCAACCAAAAACTTCAGGTCTTCACTTACTCCGAATTCTAACGGCTGCTAAATATCTGTCACTCATAAAACAATCCTTTATCCTCGGAGCAGATTCACTGGCAGAGATAAAGCTTTGTGCAGTTCCACGTTGGATTTGTTCCTGGCTCATAGTAGCTGTGACTGGACAGACTCAATGCTCCGTGAAGCATACCATGTTTCTGAACAGAACATTGTAGCTCTGTTTTAAGGAGAGGTTCACTGAAGTTAATCTCACGTTTTGTGTTTTCAGAGGAGCAACAGACGGCACTAACGGCAGCAGCAGCTGACTCAGAGTCAGCCATCAAAGCTGGTAATTAATGCTTCTTTACAAGCAGAACGGATACTTCCTGTGTGTGAGAACAAGTACCAAAGTGCAGTCTTGAATGTGTGCGTGCAGTATACTGGAATTGTTGTTGCCATTTGCAGTTGTTGCTGTTCTCTTTAAAGTCACTGATATTAAACATTATATTTTCTGTCATTATTTTAGGTCATTGTTTCACACTGAACCTGAAAACCCTGTTTCCCTGTCTTACAATCTAGCTGTGCTTCATGAACAAAAACATTCAGAAATTGTATTCTAATTTGTTGTGGGTTGCTGTGTTTGACTGTGTTAGCTGTTTACATCTCACTTTGTTTCTTGTCCGCTAATGAAGCTTTGTTTTAGTTTCAGCTGATGCAGCCCCACCTGAGACTAGCTCTGGATCTCAGCCTGAAGCTACGCTAACAGAGCCCGTCTCAGAGCTGGCCTCTGATGTAAGCAGGGAAGGTGTCGTCCAGGAGGATGGCGGCACTTCATCTACCACATCCAAGATCAAAAAGAAGAAGACCACCACAGGGCCATTCAAATGTCCTTCTTGTGACAAATCATTTGCTCTCAAGTGTTTGATGGACAGACACTATCGGACTCACTCCAAACCTCACCTTTGCTCTGAGTGTGGCAAACGTTTTTCTGGACTCCAGGGGCTCATCGCACATTCAAGACGTCACACCGGAGAGAAGCTTTACAAATGCTCAGACTGCGGGACGGAGTTTGCCTACAAGTATACCCTCGACAGACACATGCGTCGGCACAGCATGAAGAAACCGATCACCCACACGTGCGCTCTGTGCGAGGATCAGTTCACCGGGCTGTTGGCGCTTCAGCGGCACAGGTGTTGTGCCTTAAAAAAGACGTTTGTGTGCTCACTTTGCCCGGAGACTTTTGAGTGCAGACAGAGTTTGGCCGATCACGAGAATCTACATTCAGGAAACAGAGATTTCGTCTGCGAAATGTGCGGCGAGTGTTTCTTCTCGTCCTCGTCCTTGGCCACTCACCGGGTGACTCACATGCAAAAGGAAAACTGCTGCGACGTGCTCGGCCTCGGATGCAGCGACCTGAGTGTCCTCAAAAACCACCTGAGCAAACACACGGGAGAAAAACTTTTCAACTGCAAGGTTTGCGGCAAAGGTTGTAGTCACCTGAGCGCTCTGAAGCACCACATGCTGACCCACACGGGAGAGAGGCCGTACGTCTGCGAGACCTGCGGCAAGCGCTGCGGCCACGCCAGCGCGCTTCAGAACCACATGAGGATCCACACCGGGAAGAAACCGGGGCAGCAGCCAGTCTGCAACGTGTGCGGCAAGAAATTCCGCTGCATGGTCAATCTCAAATACCACATGAGCATCCACACGGGGGAGAAGCCTTACGCCTGCAATCAGTGTGATAAAAAGTTCAGCAACCCCAGCAATCTCAAGTTACACGCGATGACTCACTCGGGGGAGAAGATGTACGGCTGCAACATCTGCGGCCGGAGGTTCACTCAGTCCAGCAGCCTAAAGCTGCACAGACAGATCCACACAGGAGAAAGGCCGTATCGCTGCTCGGTCTGCGGGAAAGGATTCACACACAACAGGGACTTCAAGAAACATCAGAGTGATCACCAGCCAGACGGAGATGGACAGTCTGAAAAAACTGCAGTAAAAATCTAAAACATTTCACCGTTGTACGCACACTCCCTGTACCTGACGATAAATACTGTGAGATGATAGAGACTTGTCCAGCGTCAAAGATCTTTAAGTCCTGTTATACAGAGTTAATAACTGCGGCTGCATTAGGCCATTGCAGGTTTCATTGCAAGTATAACATAACAGTTTCTTAATCGAGTTTCCAGAAAAAAGTTCTACATCGTGACTTAAACTTGCAAACACTACATGGCCAAATTCTGTAGACACACCCACATGTGCTTGTTGAGCACTTAATTCCAAAACCAGGAAAATTAACGGCTGTTCTAACTTTCCATCAGGGTTTGGAACCTGGCTCACAGCTTTATGGACCCAGAGGTGTTAGATGGGGTTGAGGTGCGGGGGGGGGGCATTGTCATCCTAAAACAGTCTTCCCCAAACTGTTACTGTTACGCCCACTCCTAACTGGAGTCTTGCATTATTGTGAAGAATTGAGAACTTTATTGTTCCAGAAAATGACACAGACAAGCAATGTAGCTTTCCCCGGACTGCCTACAACATATGAATAAAGTACCCAGTGTGTTCAAATGGACTTCTCAGAAGTTGTGTAAATGTTGTTAAAGTTTGTTCCGGGCTGTCTTCATTAGTAGCTGTTGACTCCTCTCTTTCTTAAAGCAGTGCTCACTTTCATTTAGTTTCTTTTCACTTGATTGGTTTTACTGGAATCACACAAATTACTTACATGTGGGTAATTTCCTTTGTCATTAAACAAAGGAAGGGGAGGAGGGGGTAAATGAGCTCAATAAAGGAAGCAGATAACCTAAGCTAATTAACACTTCATCGTGCCCGAGACCTTGTATAACAGCACTTGTATATAAGTACTGGGCAGGCAGGGCGACTTAGAGCAACGCTGGGATTCTGGCAGGAATACTCAGTTTATTGAAGTTTTATGAGGAGCAGTAGCTAAATGTACACTGGATGGATATCACTGGGTGTCACTAACAATACTTTAAGAAATGAGTGAACAGTTTTACACTAACCTGTTTGGTCCATCACTGTGTAGTGCACTATACAACAGCTGGTGTGAAATACATGAAAGATACACTCCCTGATTGTTTTACAGTTCCCTTAATCCTGCCATTTCCTCCCGGCCCACTGTTGATGTTTACAATTTCAAATGAAATTGAATGTAGTTGCTTATAACATTTATTTATTTTTTTACAGTTTGAATCATTATTTAAAAGAGAAGTTCATTTTTTTGGAAATACAATCTGCTTTCTTGCAGAGACTTGGATAAGTAGATCTAAACCATCCCATTATTGTACAGTAAATATAAAGCTACACCAGCAGTTTAACTTAGTTTAAGAGGGGAAACAGCTAGTCTGGCTCTGTCCAAAGGTAATAAAATCCACCTACCAGCACCTCTAAAGCACTCTAATTATATCGTTTGTTTAATGCACAGGGTTTATGGGCCCGTTATGTTGTGGTGTCGTGTAAAACTACCAACACTTAACACCCTGTGAAACCACTAACTTCAAAACGAGATAAACCATGTTCATTTTTGAGCTTTAGAGATGCTGGTAGTTAGGTCTTTATGCAAAGCTAAGCTAGAAAAGTTGGTACAGGACATTGTATTGTGTTGTCCCAGTCTACCAGGATAATCAAAATGAGGAAGAAAACACTCGAGGAAGGCTCTGGAGCAGCTTGATGGTGTTTCTAAAGAATTTTCATCATCAGAAATGGTTAATTGTGTGAATCCAACCAAAACTATAAAAGGAAGTTACTATGTGTTCTGTGAACTATCCACTAGATGGTGGTAGAGGATCAACCTACACACAACTGCAGTTAACATGAAGCTCGAAGCTACCTCAGAGATACACACCGTCAACAGGTATGCATACTGACAGCCATCCTTTATTTTGCCTTTATGTTCAAAAAGATCTTTCTTACAAATGTATAAAACCTTTACTACTGCATGAATTCATTTTTCAAGAGGTTGTGACCTCACTGAGAGACTTTATTGCCAGATTTGATCAGCAGGTTTATGGGGAGATTTAAATGGGAGAGTTGTTTTTGTGTGAGTTCTGACTTTGTATGTGTTTGTCATGTTTGTTTTATTCATTTGTTCAGTTTTTCGCATTAAATACATATCACGGAACAAAACCCTTCTTCTCAGCTTTTCAAGTTTTTGTATCTTTGTAAAGGAAACAAAGCATCACAAAGAAAATGCACAAAAACAGACAGCAATTTAAGCAATTTTTAAAAATCAATCAAGAATAACCACTCAAAAAATTACAATTTTAGAACCTCTGAAAATTGGATTAGATCAATATTCATTATCTGTCTTTCTCCAAAAAGTAGCTGCATGAAGAAGTGAAGTCTGAAAAAACTAAACCTTTGTCCTTACATGAAACTTGCTCGGGGAAGAGCTGAGTGTTGCTTGTGGCAGCCTCAGCTGTTTCCCTGTGTGACTCCGTCTCAGGCTGCACTGAGCCGGTTGCACACCTCTAATACCAGTTTATTGCGTTTAGTATAACCTTTAGGCTGGCTGTGCTTAATGCTGCTAAGAATTCAGTATTTTTATGGAGATTAAGCTCCCGCTGAGGTGAAGTTCTCTTTGCAGGAAGTTTGTTTAGAATAACTCTGTAAGACACACACACACACACACACACACACACACACACACACACACACACACACACACACACACACACACACACACACACACACACACACACACACACACACACACAGTTCCTCATTTAGTTTATTATTAGAAATGTTAAAAGTAATGTTTAATATTTTTACATATTTTTGGTATGGTATGGTATACAGAGGAGCAGTTATAGTAGCCTAAGTATAAAAAAATACGACATACTAAAGACCAAGTGCGTGCTGTGATTTTCCCTTACATGTAATTTCAGAGTGTTTTTGCAGAGTTTAGAAGACCCCCTTAGTAATGGTCTTTTGATGTCAGGTCGCAAATTGGAAAGTTGTCACCCATGAATGTTTCTTGTGGGCAAAATGGCAGGAATTTCATTAAACTACTGGAGCTGATGACCTTGCGTGTCGGTATTCCTAATCCGTGCTTGTTGTGTTTTAAATGGAGTGGGCTGTGAATGGCACTGCTATTAACAGTCACATCAGCAACAGTTGTGTGAAGCACTTCAAAAGCATATTGTGAAGCATATTTTGAACGATGCAGCATCTTGTCACCAAATTTTAATAAGCCAGACAACATCAATTGATGCCTGCTCTGTGTCCAGCGTGAAATAAAACGGTCTTTTTTTTTTTCATACACGAGAGCAAAAACACAAAAGCTGCTACCACGTACGTGCATGCATCCATACATTCACACAGACACAGACACTTGACCTCCATGCCAAATTACATCTTCCTTGGGGAAAAACTGGCCACCAAAGGCTGGAGAAATGTTTGTGGATAGAGCCGCTGGTCGCACCTAATAATGAAAGCTTAAGCCAAAAAAGCATTGTACCCGGGTTAATTAAACAAGTGCAATACGTTTGACTGAAAGCTGCATTGTTGTGGGAAGCAGTAAAATTTGGCATCATAAAAACCATCATTTCCTAAAAAATGTTAAACTTATAATGACTTTTTCCTTCCTTATTGGGATTTACACGTGTAGTACACCGGTATTTATGGCATATGAGTTTTCCGTTGAGTGAATTTGCATCGATCCACCTATAGGCTTGTCTCCTGCATGAAATGGCTGACTGTATCCTCACTGTCTTACATTATTATAACTATATTACTATATAACCTGGTTATGAGTCACATGTCTTGTCCACATCCATACACTGCCTCACTCCCTTTTCCTCTTCTTGCAAGTGTTCATGCATTAGTGTTCTGACAAAAGGCTGTTCATTGGGTGCATATGCCAAAGAAGTAAAGTGTGACTTTCAGAGATGTTTATTCACCATTTTACAGTTTTAGAATCATTATGTATGGGGAAAAATGGTGGATGTTCTTCATGTGATCCTGCACTAATGTGGCCACTGTGCTAAAATCACCTCACAGCCCAGCACTGTTCCCGGGGCCTTGATCCCCATAATCAACCATATTGCACCATTGATCTGTTTGCATACGCGCACAAGTTATTGCTTCAGTTCATTTCAGAAACGGCAGCAGCGTCGATACCTTCAGATGAACCGGCTGCTGCCTGCCAGGCTGACCTCCAGCAACTTTCATTTCTCGTCCGCTGTGGCTCCCTGCGCGTTGTCTAACTGTGATTAATGGAAGACCGTTTCAGGGGTCACTACCTGGACGGTCAGCTGGAGCCGCGTGGTGACAGAGTGTCACTGACAGCACAGTGATGAACTATAGGAACGGAGAACAGGCAATCAGCATGCAATGGTGCTTTCCTCTGATCGTTCGATCCAAGGTCCAGATTTAGTCACACGGGTAATCATACCTTCGCTGTCAGAGCTCCTGCACTCCAGAGAGACCAGTCTGTAGAGATCAGGGAAGCAAATACAGTTTTTTGCTTAAAGTACCTCTACAAATGAATGTAGCCTTCTTAATTGAAATAATGATTCTTTTATTATTTTATTATTTCACATAATTTATCTAATAAATTTGTTTGACTGTTTTTATGCTATTTTGTCATTTGTTTTCCTTTGTGTGATGTACACAAAGGAAAAACAAATGACAAAGTTTGTACCTGTGCAATTTATAATAAAGTTAATTGACAATGTAAGTCGGATGAATTAATAGATGGATGTAGGTCGCCTTGTAATCCTGGAGAGAGCTCCACTTTCAGCTTGTCCTATAGCATGCCCTGTTGACCTGTCAGGAAACTCAGCACCTAATGTTATGCTGTTTACTCCGGAAATGGAGGACACTAACGAGCAAAGCATGGAGCAAAGCTTTCCTGAGCGGACAGTCGCGACACCGAAGCATCTTCAGTCGACTTTGTACGAAGCCGCTGTCTAACTCTACAATGACAACAAATCTGTGGACTCACTTGCTAACGTTAGCTTGCCACCCAGGAGGCAGCGGAGCAATGTCAAATGTACAACCTCGTCTGACTGCCTACTTTTTGGCACACTCAGCTTCAGCGGGCCCCTTGCCTGAAGCTCATAAAAATGTCACCACGATAAGATAGCAAGATTTATATGTGCGGATATGCGGCCCATTGTTGTGGTAGGAGTGAAATTCTTATCTTTGACTGTAGTCAAATTGATTAGAACAATTTTTGTGTCATTTCAAATTCATTCCAACTTGATTTTTGGAACAAGTGACAGCTCTAATGCATATATTTATATGTATGTGTGGATGATAATGAGTAAATGAATAGATAATGAGTGGATGGATGGTTAATGGATTGATGGCTGGCTGGATCTTGTATGTGGAGTGCTGTCACAGTCCACAGAACCAGATCAATGTGTGTCACCTGACTGGACATGTGACTGTGTGAGTGGGAGAGCAGAATGTGATCAATCAATCGTGGGGCCACAGCTCACTGACATGATGACTCTGACCTTGGATAGACACCATTAATTAAACTCTGTCCAGCTCTTTATCACTCACTGCTCCCCCTCATGTGGACGGCCCATCAGTCAGCAGCAGCAGGCCGTCAGCA